TCCTGCAGTTCCGGCAGTAGGGCAGATGCAGCTCATCATCGAACAGGAGGAAGAAGAGCCACACTCAGCTGAGTTGCAGTTCGGTCAGCTGACACCAGTCCGTAGCTCCATTCTGGATAACCGTGGTATTTTCCCTCTGAACCCGTTTCTGCCGCCGATTTTTCTGAAGTCATTGTGAGTCCAGGTCGTTTAGTTCATGTGAGCTATATTGTTGTTATTTTCATAAGTACACTTCTATTATTTTTATTCTACCGGATGATTGAAATTTTATGGAATTTACGTGCATTATCCTACTTATAATTGTCAGCTCTTTTGTTAACCTTTACTTGACCGTGCAATCTGTGCCTTCACTTGCCAATTTTATCCGGATAGTTCAGTGTAGTCTTTTGTTATGGCGGTGCGCCTGGTAAAATTTAATACTTTAATCTGATGATTTGATCACGTATAGCGGAGCCGATGCAGTGACGTAATCTCTCTGAGTCTAATAAAAGAGCTTTAACCTGTGGTTGTGATTGGTCGGTTTGAATGTGATTCGAAAGTGGGAAATTTCCCGATACGCCGGCACACTTTAAGCGTACCGCAGGCGCAGGTATTTAAACAGGTGAAAGCCGTATAGATCCTACAGTGCAGTCGTTAATTTTAAAGTTCGCACTTTTTCGTTACGCCGCACAGGCTGTATAGTAGTTCCTTGTTGATTCGTGTTGGAACTTTTTGCTCTCATTTTGTCGCTGTGAAAGGTCACTTATTCCCGTAATGATTCGTTATGCCACCGATAGATCCGAATAGAGCTTTCGAAAAGCTCGTTGACGCCGTATTTCAGTCCTCGCAGTCGGTGCAACAACAGCAACAGTATGGCTGGAGAGGAAGATGCCGTGGTGGCCGTGCGCGTGGCGGATTTTGCCCGTATCGCCCTGTGCACCATCGAAGTCACGGAAGCAACAACGTCCGTCGTGGGCCATCTGATTGGGTCCGTGGAGGCAGACCCTTGGGGGAACAGGGTCCTGCTCCGAATGCTGCTGGACCAGATGATCCGCCTCAACGAATGGAGAATTCCGGCATCCCTATGGAGGTCGACGTCGCGAACCCTCCGCAGGCGCCTACACCAGCTGAAGATCCGAGTCGCGGAGTTGTGGGCCAGATTGTCGCCGCTCCTCCTCTTGCTGATCAGCATCTATCAGGCTCGTCTGTCCTGATCGCCGGAAGCGTGCCAGCCAATGTAGCAGCATCGCCGCAGCAGCCTGTGCAAGCAGTGTCAGCAGTGAACTCACTTCCGGGATTGCCACCTGGAGTTGATGCTTTTGTAGTACCGGTGAATACGAGTCGTGACCGTTCAGCTTCGCGAGACCGAATCGGGAAACCCACGCATGATTTTGTGCCCAACTTCGTTGCTGATCAAGAGTTACTCCAGCAGAAGCTTCGGGAGTCAGAAATGGAAAAGCGCAAGAAGATGGCAGAAGAAGTTAGTCGCCGTCTGGATGCCGTTTCAGCCTCGTCGAGTGTTGGACAGACAGGACTGTTTTCTTTGGCACCAAGCAGCAGCAAGTAACGCGGTAAATTTTTGGCTTATTTTGTTGTTTTACTGGCAATTATCGAAGTGTTCTGATCTTGTTTGTTCTGTGATATGACCTTGATATTTTTGCTGCCGATGTTTTGTTGTTGTTTCGAATTTTAATGGTGCGTGCCGTGTCATTTTTGTGGCCACTGAACTGTTTCTCTTTCGTGTTCTGAGTTTGTTGTTAATGGAAATGGGACAAATCCGGTTAGACCGTCGTCCCCAAGTGGAGTATGAACCGTACGCAGCCCTCAGGGACCCTAAAATAATGAAATGTAAAATCCAAAAAAATAATAAAAAATTAAAAAGGTCGCGCGCGTTCTTGTTCCCTGTAACTAGTGATCAAATATTGGATTAAGTACAGAACACTCGGTAAATCACGTTGAATAAAGAAGTTTAAACAAGTATAACGCGGTAGTACAACCGTGGCACAAATACACGGAAATTAGTCATGTTAAGACAAAGAGTGTATCATAACCTTGTGATTCTAGAATTCGATTCCCTGCCCAGTGTAGTTGCAAACGCTAATTCGAAGTGGTCATGTAATTGCCGTTCAGTCAGCGTTTAGTTCAACGTTTTCATCACGCTAATCTTCGGAAGTGTTGCACATTATGGCGAAAAAATCTCAACGCAACAACACGTTTTTCCAGCGTTACGCTTCGGGTCGAGAAGAGGAAATGGCATCTCGCTCAGCTCCAGCGGAATCTACCAGTAAGATTCCTGTTGTGATTGGATATGCGCAGCACCATGGCTCTTCGATCGCCACTGAATTTGGATCACCACGTAGCTACCGTACTGGATCGATTTCGTCATTGTTTTCTATGCCTGACGAAGAACGAGAGATGAAGGAAGCACCTAATCAGCAAATGGTTCGTGCTGCTCAGCTGATTAACATGGCACTGGATATGATCGATACTGTTCCTTTGGACCAGCGAACAGTCGGAAAGGACGTGATTTGTGATAGTATGACCATTCAGCGCTGGGAAAAGGTTGCCCCGCTGCTGTATCGAAACACTCCGGACCAGTTGAATGGAGCCGCTTCGCGGATCGCCGAACCGCATTCTGTGCCTATGGCACCGATTCACACGGGAGGATTTGGCTTTTATGGGTTCCCATTGTCACCGCTGAAGAAAAACTCGTCGGAAGTGCGTTCTAGCAGCTCAGATAATAAACCGCGTAAATTGTGTATCCAAGAGAACAAGGAGCCCAATACCGTTTGAGTAGTCGGCGTGTCTTTCGTACCGTTGCTGTTGTTGCGATTTTATTTTTAGTTTAGCAGCTAACACTTCTATTATTTTATGCTATTTTTGCCCTACATGGACGATTAGTGTTTTAATGGGGAATGATGCAATTAATAAGCGGAAATTATTAATTCGAGTTGAAATTCAGAATTAAAATAAACGGTGTTGAATTTCCGGTTCACACACCATCGGAGTGGCAGTTTGGTACATTCTACATATACTCGAGGCAATATTATTCGTGCAGTTTAAAAACTTTATTAAGGCCGTGAAAATCCATCACGTGAACGGCACAATAGTACGCAGTCGATTTTAGCTCCTTGGATCCTGGATCTCCTCCTCGCCAATCCCATGGACTTCCGGATGCCAACGACGCTAGGATCCACATACTAACAACTCATACGGATCAGGCGTACAGTCACTGGGCATCGGATGGACATGCGTGGATTGTGGCGAAGGATGGGAGATGGATCAGGGATGGAGCGCTCACAATCGCACGGGATGTTGCGGATGGACTTGTTTTTATTGGCAGGAGCCAAGAAACGTTTGTGGGGGTGACGTGTGGAGGAGGAGTACGTACGAGGGATTCCACCGTACATCCACTGACTGTCCGCCTTCACCTGCAAGTACAAACACTGGATATCAGCATTGATCAGTTCTGTGATTCGTTATATCTATGGCTTAGCGGTGTATCTGATGTTTTACTTCTGAAGTCTATTTAAGTCTGAGATTTCACTAATATCGATAGAGATTGGATTTCAGTCTTGGATTTCTGATCTGACGACTACTTGCTTTTAACTTTCCTTGTGTTGTACATATGATTGTGTGTTAGCGAAGTAAAGCATCTTCTGTGATTATCGACGTTCGTAATTTATATCGGATTATAGCGTGGTAAACACGGTATGCTCGTGCTTCGTCCGACCCGCATATGTAACGACCGGAAGTTAGAAGTATCATCTCAGCACAATCGCTTAGGGACTCCTGATCTTCATGTTCCTGAACCTACCAGATTCCGTGTATTTCCTGCGATCCGCTGTAACAGTTGAGACAAGAGTTGCGATACCCACTGAGCAAGGCAGGGATAGTGGCCACGACGATCCCGTTCGGAGAGTCGTTAGTTAATCGCGTACTTCTTAGTTCCATTAACGACCACATAACACGACACACGGGAAAAAGTGGTGTGTCGATGGCTTGGAGATCTGGAGGTGGCAAAACTGTCCCATCTTGCACAGCATTTTCTCATTGACCTGGCCAAAAATCTCAGAATCTGATGTTTCCACGATGCGGTGGTTTAAATTCAAACATTTTAATGTTTCCTACATTGAAATAAGGAAAACTATGGACTTCGGCGTTTTTCACATTGCGGATATTTTCACAATATGGATTCGCGTACCTGACACCCGAGACACGGTATTCTCGGCCTAACTGAGCCTATTTGATCAGTGAACAACCGAGTGTTGCCGCAAGCTCAGTTTGAGTGCAATATCATTTTTGTTCAAGATTCTGTACAGGTTTTGCTGTTGCCGGAAGTGTTTTATCGTGGATGTCGTGTTGTATAGTTCTGCTGCATTGTCTGAGTGTTTGAAAATTATATAAAACCCTCATTATCACTTGTATCCCTGCCGATAAAGGATGTAAATACTCGTACATTGAATTACGCATCTGGATACAGCACATTTTTCGCACTGCGGGAATCTAGTAGGTTGTTAGCTATTATTAGGTAGGGTGACTATCGCATTTTAAAATTCCTCGAAATCTTTACGTACAGAATTATTGTGTCGGCACAGTGGCTGGTTCGGTAATGTTCTTGCAGTATGTTGATTATGGGTAATAAATCAGCCGGTTATCGACGCACAGTTCCCCACTCTGCACTTTATGCGCGGGAATTCGTGGTAGCAGACAAACTGTAAAATTCTCTTTACGACAGCAAGACGCGGCACAACGTTTTCAATCATAAAATTAAAGCCGGTTTAGAAAAGGATGTCAGGTAAAGAAGATTTTGCTTCGCCGAAATATCAGCTTGTCATATCAAGTCTACAATTAACATTTCCGGAAAAGCAACCGCCACAATGCTGCCGGGGCGGGTAATAATGGATGTGAAATGGTTTTTCTCAATCCAGGTAGCAATAACATTACCATTTTACTGCGAATATGATTTACGAACCATTAAAATTATATACTAAAATACTGCTTTATCACTGTGTCTGTACAGACTGTACTTGTAGCATGATATAAACATTCTTGGTTACAGTAAGAGCCGTCATCAAATTGGACTACTCAACGCTTTTTCTATGCTCTGTGCTATATGCCACTACACACTAAATGATTGGCATTCGCTGCATATTTAATGTTACAATTTTTACCATAAATGAATAACATAACTGATACTGCATATTATTATTAATCATGGATATTCCGTGTTTAATGTTTGCTGCTCTGCTTTCCGTCAGTGTTTTAGCAGGTAAGTTCAGGCAAACAGCAAATAAGGGCTATGTCGATGTCACTCTCGACTCTCGATACGCGCTATTTCTCTTTTTTAGTTTCTGGTTTATGTTAATTTACTGCACACTGCACACAGATGATTTCAACTGGAGTGCGGTTCTTCCACCGGTACCTTTTCCGATATTCTCTGCTGAGCCAATGGCACACGATCAGTGCCGTCTACAATACACGGACAACTGCTGGTCGCGTGAGAATACGCTCAGCTGGTGCATCAGCAGCCCCGTACTTAACATCAACTGCAACAGCAGCGCCACCTCACATGAGATTCAGCAAATGGCTGAGAACTTTGCACAGCCCCCCTTGCGACCGGTATTGGTCGATCTAGATGATGGCGAGCAAGTTACTAGTGAGAACATGGCTGCCGTTCGAGACCAAGTCGTTCTCTTAAGCTTGTCTAACTGCGTATCCGCTCGCACTACCGGCAAACTGTCCTCACTGCGTTTCCCTAACCTGTTAGAATTTTCTCTAGGTAGCTGTTATAATTTAAAAATTCGGCGATCAGATTTTTGGCAGTCGATGAAATTACGTTTCATAGAATTTTTTAACGGAACAATTCAGTCATTGGAGAAAGATACCTTCGCTGATCTTCCCGCCCTTCGAGTTCTGTCACTGGAAGCGGGACTGGCTTCGATATCCACATTTAGTGCCGAAATTCGAACATATTTGAAGGAACTACATTGTAGCACGGCGTTTGAATGGTTTCGCCGTTGGTGGGACAACAAACACCTATTGAAAAGTGCCAACTACAGTGAAGTGTACCAAATGTACCCGTCAGCTTGGGGAAACCATGCTCTTAATAAAAGCGAAATGTATCTGCCTATTGACTGCGCAGCTAAACCCTTTCCTACTGGTACATCCTCCATCGATTTCAGCCAGGAGCGTTTCTCAGTTAACGATGACCTTTGTAAGCCATACCGAGATGCTTCTTAATAGCTGCGGCGCATAAAGCGGTCTTAGATGCTAATAAGAAGGTGCTTTAACTTTCAGACCATGAAAAATGGCGGCCCGGTGACACTGCAGATGCGGACGACCGGTATCCGGAATTTTCCATCAAACCACTTTCCGCGGAAGAGTGTGTCATACAGAAACTTAGCCAGTGCTATCCATCCACGTGTGAAGACGAACAATATAGAAAAAATTACATAACTTATCAAATTTCCTTCAAAACCGACACCGATTGCCGAACAAACCTCTCACGTTCAGATCGCATCCAGCGCGTAGTGAATGCCCTTATTCGATTACCAATTCGTCCGGTCACGCTCGAGGTAGATGGCCGTGTTCCGGTGCTTTTCGCAGAGATGGCTCCATTACGCAAGCGCATTATTCAGTACCATTTACTCGAGGATGCAGAACGAGGCACCGCGAAGTTGCGCGATTTATATTTAACCAACCTCATCGAGTTTATGGCCACCAACTGTTCCGATCTTGATATCCGGAAAATTGATTTTGAAAGGTCGAAGAAGCTGAGGCAGATCATGTTCCATAATACAACGATCCAGACATTGGAGGAAGGCTCCTTTACCGACCTGCCGTCACTTACTTTCCTTTCATTGGAATTCGCTCTGAAAACTCTCCGAACTTTTGAGGAGCATTTGGCTGAAGGTGACTGGTGGCTGCGGCCGGTGGCATTCGCGCAGCGAATGCGTGATTTTCTTTTTCACCTGCACTGCAGCTGCGAGTTTGCCTGGTTTCGAAGATGGTGGAATAGCAACAATACCGTGAGATTTTCGCCAGCCGTGGGACACGGAAAAACGGCGATTTTGACGGCTGTTCCTCACTCCCAGTATACCTTTTATCCGGCTGACCAGATCCCCATAGACTGTGCACAACCGATTCCCTTGGGATCAGAATACGTGAATGTCAACCAAACCGAATTTTCTGCTCATGAGCCAGTATGCTGAAGCTCTGTTTAAATACCTGCATACTGTTTGTGTGGTGTTTACTCTGTGAAAATTAATAACTACAGCAAATAATGTTTAGCTTGCATTAATTGTGAGCTTTGAATAAATATTACTGTTTAATGGCGGTGAGTACGGCAGTCTTATTAATTCCGCATGTATCTGTTAACGCTTCAAAGTTATCAAATTCTACAAAACAGCTTACAGTGCTGGCAAATGTAATTTGTTGTGTGGACAGAATCTGTATTTCGTGCAATCGACCTCACATTTGGTTTTTACGGAATCTCATAACACAATAATTATCAACGACGGTTTATGCAAAAATTTCGGTTTCCGCATGAGGTCACGTATTTAAACACTTGCGATTAAGAACGTAAACTAAGGTTCAGCATAAAGACAAAAAATTATAGACCTGTAATGAGAGCTATGAGTTACGGATACAGTTAGTTTCGTTGTTTTTGCGTTAGGTGTATCGCACACGTAATTTGATGAATACAATCTTGTATGGAAGCTATGAACCAGAGTACGAGTAAAATTGAAGACCATAGAATTGTTCGATATCGATTCGCTGACGAGCCAACTAAGTTTTACAGAACTTGTTTTTGTTGGGATTTTCCGGACGCGGCTTGTACGCGTAGCCCCAACCGGTCCAGAAGCATTCGGATCCTTCCCATGCCCAGTTGCAACATTTGGGGGGTGCCGGTTTTGGTTTCGGGGGCCAAGCATCAGCTGCACCAGTCATCGCTTGCACAAGCAACTGTAATACGCGAATCGTAAAACGGTTTTAACAATTATATTTATTTGCTTGTTCATTACATACCAAACCCAGCAAAATTCCAGCCATGGAGACCTTTCCCATCGGTGAATGCATATTCGCAGTACGGAAATCTGCGTCGGAACACTTACTCTAGCGTAGAAAATATCAAGTTTGTGTAAAAGAAAGATCTTAAAAAGGTTTTGTCTTCGTCATAAAGAACAAATTACTTAAAATTCAAAATAAATGTTGTATTACTAAAACATTTAGTACATTTAACTGCTTCACAAGGTATATTATAAGTTATTCTGGCCTTTAGCAGTACTCGTACAGAACGACAACAATATCGCCTCTTACTTACCCGAACAATACAGGCAGAAACAGCACAACGGTAACCAACAGTGCGTATTTGGAAGACGCAGTTAAAACGATGGATAACTTCTGTTTACAGTATTTTAATCGAGTTAAACACTGCGAAGGTACAGAAAGCATGTAATGGACAGACAAAGCCAGCCCGATTTCTTTTATACAGATTTCGGCAGCTGTTTCTGTGCGCTTTGAGCTCGCACATTCAAGGAGGTGGCCTTGATTTCCAGTAGTCGGATCCCTCGATCACCTGGAAATTTATTCGTCAAGTGGCAGAGGTTCCGACATGAGCTGCTTGATGCTGTTTTTGCACTTGAACAAAGCAAAGATATTCTGACTTGTTGCTGACTGCCGCAGAATCGCTGATGCTAAAATCGCCATTACGTAGAACCATTCTTTGCAAACACTTGAAAAGTATAAGCAACTGCAGATCGTAGAATATTGCAGGCGAATGCAGCTTTTCCCTTAAACTAGTTGTGCATGAGCGCAAATTTTGCAGAACCGGAAGCCTAGCTGCCACGAAAAAGTTTTTCCAGGTAAACAGTAAACAGGCTTATGCAGGATTAACCATCTTAATATACTGCAATAAAACTAAAGGGAAAAGTTGGATGCGTTTTTAGGCACCCCGTTCCCACCAGCATATATTATGGGCATTATAGACACACCTTTTCGCACCCTGTTCAATGTGTTCATAGGCACCTTTTTTAATTTAAGTCAGCAAGTATCAGCAAAAACAATAAATTGCTGCGGCTTCGCCTCCGCTAATTCATATGGTCCACTACCGGTTTAAAAGATAAATTTCTTTTAACTCAGTACTCTAGTTACTGTATTAACTGCAATAGCAGTTATTGTAAAATTTATTAAAGTAGGACTTGAAATCGGGCTGTTGATGTCTCCATACTAACTAGTAGTTGGCAACTACCACCATTGTCCAGTGCGCGAAATCGCTAAGTGACCGAGGTGCTACCGTTTCCCACTGCATGTGTTGTATCAGTTGATAATTTTTAAGTAGGAGAGTCACTTAGCGATTTCGCGCACTGGACAATGGTGGTAGTTGCCAGCTACTAGTTGGTATGGAGACATCAACAGCCCGATTTCAAGTCCTACTTTAATAAATTTTACAATAACTGCTATTGCAGTTAATACAGTAACTAGAGTACTGAGTTAAAAGAAATTTATCTTTTAAACCGGTAGTGGACCATATGAATTAGCGGAGGCGAAGCCGCAGCAATTTATTGTTTTTGCTGATACTTGCTGACTTAAATTAAAAAAGGTGCCTATGAACACATTGAACAGGGTGCGAAAAGGTGTGTCTATAATGCCCATAATATATGCTGGTGGGAACGGGGTGCCTAAAAACGCATCCAACTTTTCCCTTTAGTTTTATTGCAGTATATTAAGATGGTTAATCCTGCATAAGCCTGTTTACTGTTTACCTGGAAAAACTTTTTCGTGGCAGCTAGGCTTCCGGTTCTGCAAAATTTGCGCTCATGCACAACTAGTTTAAGGGAAAAGCTGCATTCGCCTGCAATATTCTACGATCTGCAGTTGCTTATACTTTTCAAGTGTTTGCAAAGAATGGTTCTACGTAATGGCGATTTTAGCATCAGCGATTCTGCGGCAGTCAGCAACAAGTCAGAATATCTTTGCTTTGTTCAAGTGCAAAAACAGCATCAAGCAGCTCATGTCGGAACCTCTGCCACTTGACGAATAAATTTCCAGGTGATCGAGGGATCCGACTACTGGAAATCAAGGCCACCTCCTTGAATGTGCGAGCTCAAAGCGCACAGAAACAGCTGCCGAAATCTGTATAAAAGAAATCGGGCTGGCTTTGTCTGTCCATTACATGCTTTCTGTACCTTCGCAGTGTTTAACTCGATTAAAATACTGTAAACAGAAGTTATCCATCGTTTTAACTGCGTCTTCCAAATACGCACTGTTGGTTACCGTTGTGCTGTTTCTGCCTGTATTGTTCGGGTAAGTAAGAGGCGATATTGTTGTCGTTCTGTACGAGTACTGCTAAAGGCCAGAATAACTTATAATATACCTTGTGAAGCAGTTAAATGTACTAAATGTTTTAGTAATACAACATTTATTTTGAATTTTAAGTAATTTGTTCTTTATGACGAAGACAAAACCTTTTTAAGATCTTTCTTTTACACAAACTTGATATTTTCTACGCTAGAGTAAGTGTTCCGACGCAGATTTCCGTACTGCGAATATGCATTCACCGATGGGAAAGGTCTCCATGGCTGGAATTTTGCTGGGTTTGGTATGTAATGAACAAGCAAATAAATATAATTGTTAAAACCGTTTTACGATTCGCGTATTACAGTTGCTTGTGCAAGCGATGACTGGTGCAGCTGATGCTTGGCCCCCGAAACCAAAACCGGCACCCCCCAAATGTTGCAACTGGGCATGGGAAGGATCCGAATGCTTCTGGACCGGTTGGGGCTACGCGTACAAGCCGCGTCCGGAAAATCCCAACAAAAACAAGTTCTGTAAAACTTAGTTGGCTCGTCAGCGAATCGATATCGAACAATTTGATTTAACGGTCTTCTACATAATTTGTTATAATCCACACCTTATGCATTTTAACTATGCAGTTTCGATATCTGGATTTTTTTGAATATGATCACGCTCCGTAATAGTTGATTTTCAACTGTAGAAATTTTCAGAACCTACTCGCTTTTTATGATTACGGTCTTGGACTGAACTATAAATTAGCTGTTGCACTCTAAATGGCAAATGTTCAAAAAGCTGCAGTAACCACGATTTGTGAAACTTGTTACACTGCTCTTACAGAGTCGTGTGGGCAGCGAGCGTTCCAAAAGCCGCCGAAAAGCGTTACACTGTAAAGAAACTTACTTTCCCATATTTTTCATTAGGCTGAAATATTCGACGCTTAAACTAAGTCGGATCTGCGTAAGTCGCATGCAGCCGCTTACAACTAAATCTGAACGTAGGGTTTACATGCTTGCTACCTGCTAATAAAAAAATGGCAGAGCGTCACATTGCGCACCGCAAGCGCATCGTTAATGTAAACTTGTACGAAGATTCGAAACGAGCCACTGCAAAGCTGCGTGACCTACTGTATATTTGGCGAACTTTATTGAGGTTATGGTTTCGGGATACTCCGCTCTCGAAATCCGGAAAACGGATTTTGAAAGGTCGCAGAAGCTGAGGCAGATTGTGTTCTGGAATACGACGATTTAGACACGGGAGGACGGCACCTTTAACGATCTGCCGTCGCTAATTTTTGTCTCATTGCAATTTTCTGTGAAAACGTTGCATACTCGCGGAACAGCAGGCTGGCGGTGACTGGTGGCTGCGGTCGCTTGGGTTCACGCAGCGGATGCGCAATTATCTGTTTCACCTGCACTGCAGTTGCGAATTGGCTCTGTTTTCGACGATGGTGGGATAACCACAATAATATCGCTAAATTTTCGCCAGCAATAACGAACAGCGGAGCGTATGTCATGGTTGCCCCTAGCTTTGGATACAACTTATTACCTGAGTGACCAAGTCCCCATCGATTGTGCACAGCCGATTCCATTGGGAGTAGAGGACATGAATGTTAACCAAACTGAGTTCTCTATTAACGAACCGATATGTAATATATCTGGCTTACGATTTGTAGCGCTATAAACGTTACATATGACGTCTGCGTATTACGTACACGGTCTGCAGTTTTGAACATTTGCCCAAGTTCTTTATTCGTGCATTAGGCTTCCGTAAACTTTACGTAGATTATTTACGGTCAGATCAAAACGGTGATATTGCATTATTCTACTAGGCGTGACTCGGTCCGTGCTGTACCTCACCGGATTCTTACATTCACGCTCCGAATTTAGCTTACTACACGGGCCCAAACCGCGTATTAACACAGACTGCATTCATAAAATTCATTTAAGGGAAGCGCCCGGTAGATGGTACCAGATTCGTGTACTTGCAAGGAAACTTTCACTTTTTCGCACTCCCAAACACTTTTTTGCTTTGTTTTATGACATTCTGTAGCCAGATGATTTGTGTACAACAGCAAAAAAATCACGGAAGCTTAAGCGAATACAGAGGCGTGAAAACTATTTGTGCGCGCAACATCCGGTTCGGAAGTTATGGCTGTTTCTGTTAGAACACTCCAAAATTTTTAAATGCATTCAGGTGTACTAAAAGTCTTATTATGAACCGCTTTTCTGTAAACTTTGTAGTCTGTACATAAATGCACGTATGCGGTACTCGTATGAATGAAGATCGTTTTTAGTAGACCAAGCTAGAGCTGCATCATTTTTTAAAATGTTAAAATTCTTTTTAAAATTTGAAAAATACTGTAATATGTAGTCGTTCGGTGCAAAAACGATCTTCATGTTCACGTGCGCTTATACGCGAAACTTAAAGCAGATCTGCAAATATTGAGACTTTTATTGCACCTCAATACATTTAAACTTTATCGAATTTTCGTGTAGCCAAAACTTCCGAACCGGATGTTGCGCGAACAAATGATTTCACGCCTACGTATACCCATCATCTGGCTACAAAATGTCATAAAACAAAGCAAAAACGTGTATCGGAGTGCACGAAAGTGAAGGTTTTTCTGCATTTAAACGAGTTAGGTACGTACAATCTACTACCATGTACAATACCGGGTCGCTTCCCTTGATATCTGGGTTGGTTTTTCGGTGACAAACCGTGCGGTATTAGAAGTGCACTTTGTACCAAAACATGTACTAGTTTTACTGTACGGTTTTGCATTCTTTCGGATAGTATTTTTCATAATCGTAACATAAAATTCCGCGACACAAATCGTTTCCAATGATCTGAATAGTCAAAAGCATGCCAATAAAAAAACACCGGCCAGCATAAGCCGCAAATAAAAAAGCCCCCAAAATTAATAACATTTTCGCGCCCTTCAAGAAAGCCAAAAAAAGCAGCTGCCCATATGTGATTCTTAGCCAGCAAGAACCCGCGAAAGTAACAAAAAATACTGAGCCGTAATGTCCAGATTACGAACCCAATGAGGTCAGCGTGAATGAAAGGAACACCCTTGTACGGCACAGGGTGCAAGCGGTGCGTGCAAGCGCGGTCGCACAAACGTTTGACAGGGTATTTAACGGATCAACATAATTCCCTGGATCCGACATTTGGAAATGGAATCACCCCACGTATGCAGCCGGGTGTTTAGCCGTTGCGCAGTTTACGGCGCGGTATAAAGCCGGCATCCTGACGGACACCGTCAGCTGGCGTTGACGACATGACTGACGGGTTCGTCCATGCTGGGCTTAGCGCATGGCTGACGGCGGCCGCGGATTTGCTCTGCCGGTAGCCACTGTTCGGTAAACATCTGGCAAAGAGAAAAAGACATGGTCTGCAGAAACTGGAAACTACGGATATGTTTCTGGATTCTTTGCTGCATATATGGATATGTAAAGCAAACACATAAGAAATTTTTTTAAAAATATTGTTGTATCAACTTTTTTTGCTTATGATGTCGGTACCGGTATACAAAAGCAGTAATGGAAAGATAAATTATTATAATGTTTTTTGTGTATACTTTACGGAAAACATTAATAATTGGACCAATTAATTTTTAATATAAATTATGTGCCTGGATATACATTATCTAGTACAATTAAGGCCATTTGCTAAAGTTAAACGTCAGATCCACCCAGAAAACTGATAAAACAATAAAAATTCTTAAGTTATTAAGAAAAATTATTTTCATTTTTATTCAAAGAAGCGAAGATTTAACAAAAATGTAGCGAACGGTACGAGCATTTCTTGAAGATTCACAAAACTGATTCAGCCAGATTATTTGTGCTAAAAATATTCACATGTACGAGTAAGAATTGTGCACAGATATACTGAGAATCCCCGATTAATGAATCGCGCAGCACAACTGCTTGTAACTTTCGTACAAATATGTATAAACGTGGTTAGTAAGTTTTTTTCAAGTTATTATTTATTTTGAAACAAATTTACAAATTTAACGTGGAAGTACATATCTATAAATATTAAAAGCATATAAAAAGCCTTTTAAAAATGAAAACGATAATAAGGGATTTTGAAATAAAGCTACAACTCTGCGGTATGGCTGTTCCAGTATTTCTAAACGTCAGAACAACAATCTGTCCCTTTCAGTACCAAAACGGAAATATCAGACTTACGAGCAGAAGAAACCGGATTCAAAGAAGAAACCGACGGGACAGGTACCGCTAGAGTTGGGACATTTGCATTCGCAGCGCTCCGCGTCCCAGATGCGGTTGGGACCGCAGTTAGCGGCCTTTTCCGGATTGCGACAGGTACAACGACAGCTGGCGGCCTCGTACACCTGATTGACATGACAGTCGCTGGCGTTCTGCCGGCATACGCACGCGCACTCCGTGTGCTCCTCCAGCGACACTACCACGTTGCTGTCCACCACGCGCAAACGTCCGTTTATGTAGGCCAAATGCGAAGCCTGTATTATTATTGCAAATTACAGTCATTTCCACAAAATTATCTAGTCAGCTGAATTAATAGATCAAATTTGGAATTACTATAATTATTTATTTTTAGTATATCGATTAAATTTTTTCGGAACCTTTTTCCGATTCACACAAATTCTAACGTTTAAGTTTCTGATAAATATAATTTTTTTAAAATTACATAATGATTCAAGATAATGTTTTTCGAAAATTCCTTTTTCGTTTATTCCTAATTCTGGGCCACAGGAAACATTTTATTTCTGGAAACGTACCTTCCGATTTTCTCAACTTTAACGCCTAAATTTCTGGCACTATTGCTATTTTTCTAAATATTGCGATAATGTTTCTGAATACTTTAATCATCTCAGAATATTTTTCCTATTTCTCAAACTAACGTATAAATTTCTGATAATAACAATCTGTTTTAAATAATATAATGATGTTCCTGAATAACATATTTGTTTCTGAATATTTTTCCCATTCCCACAACTCAAACATAAAAATTTTTGATGCGGATAGGAAGCAAGGCTGCTTTTTATTGTAAGTTTCTTTCAGCAAATAATATTACGTAAATATGTAACTTAATAAACCACGGTTTTCTGAATTGAAAACATGAGATCAAGAGTAAATATCTGTTATGATCCAAAGCCAGGAAATAAACAAACATGTACATTGATGACGACAAAATTAAACCTTCTGATATTTGCGGCACCAACCTTCCGTTTAATGTTTTGCCGGGCCGTTGGTTTACACACCAGTCCTGAGTCACCGCAACATCCGCCGCATTGTTTAACCGTGGTACACTGTGGATAAATCACCAGGGAATGGTTGTTTGGTTTCGGCAATGGCACCACCGCTGTCAACACGTCAACAAATATAATAAATTAGACACAGCCGCTATATATGTGTATCCAGTACGTATGTATATAGCACTGCATATATATGTGGTTGATGAAGTTGACCTTTAGCCGATGATGACACCGGCGAATCTACGGCGCATTAATCAGTCTGATCGATATTACAGCGTTTATATCCGCACTCAAGGCAGTCCGATGTGCGCATCACACAACACATGACCGGTAACAAAAATGAATTCTGTTCTGATATCACAGGACAAAGTGCGCATCAAAAACCATCAGCAGGAATCTTCAAATCTAATTTTAATTTTTATGCACTTAAAAAAATCTTACCTCGTTTTCATATTTTAGTTTTAGTTAAAAAATTTTATTTTTAATTAAAAAATTTTCGAAAAAAAACTTATTCTGTATTGAGCTAATATCAAAAGTTCATCTTCGCTTACCATCGTTAGGAACACAACGCGCATTATCCGCCATTTGAACGATTTCCACTGCCGCTGTAAACAAACGCAATAAAGCATGTACACCCACCGATAACGGAATTGTTTTACTATTTTATTTATACTTGTTTATTTTTTTTGTTATTTTAAACATTTAGATTCCAGTTTTGCTTGGTCACGAATAATTTTTCGTTGTCATTTACCAATTTAGAAATTAAATTTTTAATTTAAAATTTTTGCAGTAAATAATAGTTTTAACGAATAAGAAATTTCAACAATTAAAAAACTTCAGCAATTAAATTTTTAAACTTCAGTTTATAGCAACGCAAACCTTGGCCATAATTAAAAATATCTAGTCCATTTCACCAGTTCTTAAATATGGGTATATTGATATCCATTAATCACGTACGTGCGTTGACCGTCAAAATACGACTGAACCGGAAGTTGGTTGCTGGTGGCTCCTGGTCGCCGCTGGCCGCCATGAGATAATGCGGTGAATGATTATCGAGATTAACGAATTTCTCATCAGGAATCAGTTCAGCCGTAAACGACTCCCGCATCCGGGTGGCCGGCGGAAGGGCTGCTGGTACCCCCATCCGTTCTGCCGCCTGGATTACCACCAGGCCGTTGCCCGGAGGCGGCGGCATGGTCTCTTCATCGGGACTGTATTTCTTCACAAAATCCTCGTTGGTCATTTGTGACAGCTCCCATAATGCGCTGCTGGGGATCTGTTAAAAATCAGAGAAATACATAATAAAAATTCGAAAATATAATCACGTAATAGTTTGCATATACGGCGCAAATTATTTGAGATTTATTTTTCCGTGGTTACATGTTAAAGTTAATGAATTTAACTGCAGTGATATACATATATCACTGCAGTTAAACTTTAATTTACTATTTTTTTATTTTTTATACATTTTTCGTTAAATTTTAATTTACTTTATTCAAAAATATTGATAATAATTTAATTACAAGTATTTTTCAACAGGCTGCAACTAGCGCAGAAATCGAAGAAGAGTAAACAAAATAACATGGTTATTGCCGGAAGTTTGTATTACAGACATGGTCAAACAGAATGACCACTTTGTCACGTTTGACGACGTTTAACGTCATGATAATTATCGGTACATATAAAAAACTGGTTTTTCTTCGGCCACAGCTGATAAGGGATTGTCACGTTTACAGCTGTTTTTGAAAATTAAGTTCAAAGAAACGTCTTTGTACCAAAACACTAGAGTGAATGACCGATACAGATTAGGAAAAAATCACGCTTAAGACCGGCTTTCGCCGATAGACAAAATACAGAAAAAAGTTTAGTTTTATTGGGAGACTGAGTTAACTGACAGAAACACCAACTTTGGAAACTTACCAAATTATTCGAGCAATACAACGGAATAAAATAAATAAAGAATAAACAAACGAAATAGTATATCGGTCATTTATTAACTAACAATTATCATTGGTTAATAAATTGCAAATTAAATATCACTAAAAAACTGGCTGTATTAACAAAAAAGGTAAATCGATTTTTAATTTTGTTCGACGAAAACCCGGCATCAGATAGTTATTACATCATAAATCGTTACCGAATTTTATGTATGCCACTCCTTTGCGCTGAAGTGCGCTCAACCCGCATCACTTGAAGTTTACCGCAGAATATCAATTTTTAAATGTAGCACCCGCGCCGGCGTAATAAAAACCCGTGTTTACCTTGGGTGAGTCAGAGACAGGCGCTGCACAGCACGCACTACCGGTGGCCGCTGATTCATCCTGCATGGGCATATCCCGCAAGATAATATCGGCGTTGATGGCGCGGATACCCGCGCTACCGTTCGATAGCACACATAAATAGGACAGTATGACCAGCGGCAGGAACATTTTATTGGCTATCATTATTCTTCCCAGGGATTAGAATTATGCACGCTCCAATGGAACAATATTTCCTCTGCGGACCACTTCCGGTTTCCAATCGAGCGGACGTGCGAAAAAAATAATCGACGAGGAAAAACTCCACTATACCATATTGCGATTTATTTTTAATCCGCGGATGTAGCGATAGTTTAATCGTGATTAAGAATAAAAAGAAACGTTAAAAATTCGCGACTGTAATTAAAAATTGTCGCAGTGAGAGCGCGCTGCATAAGTACATAAAAAAAATCCGGCGTGAATAAACTCAGAACAAATCGGAAATAATTTTAAAAATAAAATTATGTCGATGATATTAGTGAGTTAAAATATCATATAAATTGAGTGGAGAGAGAGAAAAGACCGGAACAGAAAAACGGCACGAAGAAATATCGAAATGCAACAACAGACGCCCAAGCCGCATCTGTTTTAATCATAAACGGCCGGATTGACAGCCGGCAAATCGGCGCGCCGCAGGGCGGAGTTTGTCGGCCACGAAGGGAATTACACTGTTCCTGTTCAAACGCGTTTAATCACGTATAATCCACTTTGATTGTCAGTTCTTGGGATCTACTGTATTAAAGTGTATTTGCCTCGAAATACTGCAACAATGGAATGTGTTGAACAAGCAGTTGTTTGAAATGCGATAACCCGGGGAATTTATCAGGTAATAAAACACTGGCCACAATGCATTCTTACACAATGACACATACATGGTATACGGAAACGATAAAATTGCTCCTTTAGTATATTTGCAGTGACCAGTTACATATGGTGCCGAAAAGGCTGCCGCCGGGTTTCCGATAAGATAGCCCCCTATTGCGCCATGTCGATGCAGATAAATCGCTCAAAAGCCTAAATTTAATAAAAATGCAAAACAACCACGCCTGCAATACTGTGTTAATGTATAATAAGGTTTTTCTCTTCTGTAGCTCTTCTTGTGCGAACCATCGTGGCTATTTTATTAGCCTGTGATCCAACGCGCAAGAAAAACTTTGCACGATGCATTTAGTGCGTAAAGCACGTAAAGTTCTCATCTGAAATGGCCCTTTATTACAGGTGATGTGATTGCCTAATTCGTAACTGCAGATAGAATCACAGGAGCTTCGTACCGATAAATGCCGTATATAAAAGGTATAGCTAATATAGTGAGGTACAGGTTTTTCCCAAAATTTTTATCTCTCCAGTCTTTTCAGATTTCCAGTTTTTTTTTGCTATAGTAGTTTTTCTGCTTAGCTGCTGCTGCTTCTTTCCTGCGGTGAGCTAGCGATTTTTCCCAAAATATTTATGTTTGCAGTCATTAAAGGTTTTCGTCATTATGCACGACAGCTGTAAAAACCAAGACGTCTGGGACAAAAAAAGTGGTTGGGTTTTATGTTAGAATTATTATTAAATAACAGTACACACGTAAGTATTGACTATATGCTTTTCACAATCAGGCGTAATTGTTCACTGTTCAATACTTTGCAGCAGCTGAAACCATTGCACTACGATACTTCTACTCGAACCACTCGGCCGTCGTAAATCTCGTCACGTTTGGCTAATACGTACAAACTTTGGCAGCTATTATTATTATACGAAATGACTGCGCGCGAGAGTTTTCCCCGCCTCAACTAAACTACGAACAAAAAGTTTCAATCAGTGTATTTATCACTTCACGGCAACTCTTAATTACGAGAAAGTCACCTTTTAGTAAAGGAAATCTGATGGTATATCGGCATTGCACATTTTCTGATAATTCGAATTTCACAATTTCAACCGTTATGGTGTCAGAACTTAAAGTGGGAAATATACATGTATAACAGATATGAATGATGCGATTTTTATTTCACAGAACACGAATACAATTAAAAATCGAAAACAGTTCTTGTCACTCAAAAAAAAAGTTCATTTAACGCTGCCGCTCCTTCCATGGTTCCGAATACGGAAGCGGCGTTGCCCGGTTGGCATATATATGCCATAATAAATAAATAATAACATACTGTATATACCTCGTATATACGGCATATATATGGTGCGTATATGGCATGTGAGCCCGAGTTTGCCCCTTATTGTATTTTGATGGCTACTGCCTGTTAAAAGTTTCGTATATTCATCACTGAGATTGATGACCAAAGAAAACTACGAAAAAATTATGCGTTCACAGGCATTAGTCGTCGAACCGAATGGCCATTCGCTTTTACGACTGCTTTATCCGCATGTTCCGTTTCTGACTCATCGCTTCCAGAGCCACCTTCGTCGGTTCCCAGGCAATTCCTATCGGTTCCAGAATCACCATCACGTGGATCATTTCATAAATCCCCGTCCATTTCACAAAAACAACCACTCACGCCACCGGAAGGTGATGCTGCAGCGACTGCATTCACGCTGGCTGCCGGTAATACAGTCAATCGCCATCATTTTGTCTCCTCCCCTATTCGGTGTAGTGCCGATGTTTATCTCCCAACCGACGGGAACAGCAAGACAGTCGGCTGTATTAGAAGATGGCCTCCTTTGCGGTCACATGCTTCAACAGCGCTCCACCACCTACCTGTCCGCTCTGTCGCTTGTCCAAAATTCGCGTCGGTTCCTCGCGCACTGATCCGCTCGCGGTGGATATCCGCAGTTACGTATCCAGCTGGCCTCACACAATACATCCACTCTTGAGACGATACGCGTGCTGCGTTTGTTCCACGGGATTACGTATGCACGACAACATTATCATCTGAAAAGGTCACACTTTGAAAACTATGTAGGCAGATCCAGGATGACAACTTACACTGAAATAACCGCTGATTTTCCAACAGAAGCTTCTCATTTTGCTTGGTGTCACTATTATTTAGGAGTTAATGTTAATAACACGGTTTAAAATTGTCTCTCTAGCACTCTAACTGCTTTGTAAATCAGTTTCAAATGTGATCAAATTGCAATTGGATGTTTTTGCAGACGCACTGATCTAATACACCACAGACCATGGTAGTTTATTTGGCAAAGCTGAGTGTTCAATGCAAAGTCAGAAGTGGAGTGCTCCAACCACCATTGTCCAGTGTGATCTGGATTTCTTCCAGACCTGGTAGTGGCACAATGAGTCAATCGAAATTAGTCGCCTAAGCTAGTCACGGACGACAAGAAACGCGGAGCGAAAACTTTCTGTAGTGAACGAAGCTTTTTTGTTGTGAACCAGTAAACCGCATTTAATTCCCTTTCTTTTTTCCCTTTTTACTGGGGTAGATTTCCGCTGCCATATGCAGCCCATACCTTTTAAACAGCTCTCCTGCTACGGTGTGTAAAAATTAATGTGTAATGTTCATGACTTCATGTTGTCATTCACACTTCTACCGACGTGCGGCTGCGAGGCGCTAGGACCATACGTACGTATGTACAGTATTGTACATACAACTACCACATCGCGCGCTGATTGGGTACCACGCATTATTATCTTCTAATCGTCTGCATTCGAACTTCCCGCCAGCGCCCAGTACTTGTGTTAGTATTCTATGCTATTTTATGTACAATACACGGCTAACGCCAATTTTATGTAAGTACTCGGCTAACATTAAATCGCTCAGTCAACCGTTAGTAGCAGCCGCTTCGACTTTCCAGTGCCGCCAGAGATGTAATGTTAGTACTAATCATCATTTCTTGGAAATCCAAAGCGCGTACTCGGGTCCATGCAGTGCTTGCTATTGTGGTGAACACCGTAAGTACAGCATGCGATGTCGGTGTGCATCGTTGCTTCCATCAGCACTGCTATCGCTATCACGTCGCAACCGCTGGTTTTTCACTGCTCTTCTTCAACTAATCAAAAATAAGTTTTATCTTTTATACATACTTTTAGTTGACGGAACTCTATGGTGCACACTGTGGTTGGACTTTTCTTTTCCTTTGGTCGCCATACATCTTCAAAATTTCAGCCCTGCCAAGCGGAATGGGCCGTAACAATAGCTGGACGTTCTGGGCGACGACGGGATGATGCGGTACGGGCGGGTAGTGGACGTGTCCGGCGACGGTCTCTTCATCGATCTGCTCTGTCCCAACCGGCGACGTGAATACGTTCCGTACCACAGTGTCTTCCGGCTGAATAAGATCAGCAAGTGCGACCTGCCTCGAGATCGCAACAGTTCCCGTTCGGTTCTTTCCGTGGAAGTCCTGCCACCTGAGACGCCGTTGGGTCGTGGATTTGGTTGCCGGGTGAATCAGACAGTTTCTTATGTGAAAATTCGCCCCACCAGCACATTGGGGCGGTAGCGCACTGGCGACGAAAGGACAACGGAGAGCCGTGCACAGAGTTCCTTCCCATCGAACGCATCCGCTGGCCAGTTCGTCCAGGAACCTTCGTAAAGCGAACTGAACAGCTGGACGATAAATTTAGCTCGATGTCCGCAAAAGAAGCCGAGGCGCTCATAAAGAGAATAAATCGCCGGATACTCTCTTTCTTGTGTTCTGGCAACAGCGACAACCCATTCTATCATGTTGACGTAGTGAACCTCGTAGATGGGCAGTTGGGGTACATGTCTCAAGTGGGAGCGGCAGAGAGTTATCGAGTAAGAATGTAAGAAAGTTATTTAATACTTACGAGGGTAATCACGAAAGTAGTTTAGTAAGGGTTATCGGATAACTTTTTTGTCAGAATGAATCTGGTAACGGTTGTCGTACGGTTTTCAGACGGACAAGCAGTTGCAACGCATTATCATGCTCGCACATATAGTCCCCGAACGTCACCTTTTGCTGACAGTGTAGTAATTGTTGCAGCTTCTCGTCGTTCAGTTTCTGAATCTGCTCGCCATTCGGTACCGGCAGCGCTGCTTCCATTGCGTCCCAAAATGCACAGGAAAATTAACACTTTGGCATCCGCGTTTAACGGACTTCGACACAGACGTAAGCGTGGTTCAAAGGAAAACGGCAGTTGCTCATGACGATGGTATCACACGGAAGACCGCCACACTGCCATAATTATAAAATTCTGCAACGGTAGCGTATAGGACTGTTCTTCGGAGGGCCTTCGACAATTTCATCTGCGGTCGGGTAAGCTCAGTAACGACAGCATCATTAACGCGGTTATCAAACTCTAGGCAAATTTTCCACTGCCGGAAGAGCAGACTCTTTAGTCGAATCCCGTTTGCTGGTCCGCCACGAAGCGGACCATGTCGCACACTGCCATTATGTCGTGCCCCTCCATCCACCCGTTTCCCACGTCCATCACAGTGTGTTGTGTGCCAGGGCGCAAGCAATTTGTACACCGCCGCCCAGCATAAGAATGCCCGGTATCCATGCTTTATGTCGTCCCACAACGCGTCTCCGACGAGGATACAGCCACGCAGAGCCGGTGTATCCATCATCGCGTTCCACACTGCGCATACCGCGAGCAGTTTCGTCTGCGTCACCGTGTCCAAGTGCACGAACACTTCTAGCCACAATTCCACCGGCAGTGCCATCTCTTCACCGATGTAAGGTTAAGAAATAAGAACTGACCTTGGTCTTTTTTACTACAAAAACAACACTGATCGTGGATTGATATTGCAGATACTGAATGCGACGCAGTCGATTGATCCGCGTCCGTCGGCGCATTATCGCGGGAAGGAGTGGTGCATGGACGGTCTTCAGGATTTGCAGCTGGAGAAACTGTCGCGCATTTCCATTTGTTTTCTCGTTGCACTGCAAAGTCCGAAGGAATTTTGTTTTGTTCAACCATCTGACCACTGATACACCGGAGACTTGGCATGGAACGCTTATCCTTGCTGCGTGTCATGGCGCTTAATCCGGACAATTATCATGGCCATCATTAGCATTGGCGTCACAACTTGTGTGCATGACTTAAACCGCATTATCAACGCTAACCAACCGCTGGATCTGTACCTGGCCCGCTTGTTTTGTTTATTGACACTTGTGTCACAAGTTGTAAGACCATATTACAATTCTACATGTCCACAGTATTTCAACATTTTCAGAAATGTGGAACTGAAGCACAGTATATATATGGTATAACAGTATCATGACACTAGGGTTTTTAATGTACTCGTATCAGTTTTCAACGGGAACATCGACCACGTATCAACGCACTGCCACAAACTGAAACCATTACGCTTTGCTATTCTTCCGCAAACTTCGAAACATTCTTCAGACTTTCTCTGTATGCACCTATGTAGTCGATTCCAAGGCAAACCACGTTGGCCAGTTCGCTTTTGATTTTGGTTGACTGTCATCGGAGACGCAGTATCCAAGGAATCACTTACGGGAAATGACCCGATACATGGTAATAAATTCGGGTACATGTACGAAAACTTCACTTTGCACTCCCAAATAGTTTTTTTACAGTGTCTATGACATTGTATTGCCCCTATAGCGGAGCGATTATTGGCATACGTTGGTACATGAAAACCGTTTGCACGGGCAAAAATATAAGGTTGCTGCACAAATCACTTCGTGAAATAACGTCATTTTCTCATTAATCTGGGAATGTGGGAAAGTGAAAGCTTTCGGCATGTACCGGAATTTCGAACCATGTACTGGGACACTTCGCTTAAATCATTAGGGAAGGACACTGTCGTCCGTTCTGTCGAGGACAACTAGTCGAAGGACATTTCGCCGCAGAAAGAACGAGCAGAAATGACAAGTGAATCACCGCAGCCGAGAACCGTGACCATATATCGACCGGAAGGAGTGCCACGCATTCGTATCTTTACGGAAACATGCCCTGTTGGCTGCAAAAACATTTCGAATACTTCAAAAGTAGCGAAAGAATACCCGATGCAAGTATTGCATCGGAGACATTGCGCCAAAATACGCATCCAAGTGTAAACTTGAAAAGTCTGTAACGTTGCCGCGACTTTAGGCATTACATGAAATCAGTTTATGCCGCGAGTATTCAGTTTTCATTTTAATTCCTTTATTGCACTTGTTTTTCTAATTATTGCTTTCTTTCATGTAATTTAAAAACAGGAGCTGCCAACCACTTGTGTTCTACACAAAAAAAATGCGGAGCGGAATTAACTGTTGAACGACCAAAAATGGAAGGTGTCACAATTAATTACAGCAGATATTGTGTAATTAAGTTTTATTACTCTGGATCTTAGCGATGGTTTTAGCCCGTACACTACGTTAGTGATGTTGTCATCCAAAGTGCTTATTTAACGGTATTTGTCACAGAGCGATTGCATGGTTCAAATTAAATGAGCCATTTGTCATACGTAATGCATCAGCGACGTAATAATGTTTGGATATCCCGATTTTAGATCTACAGTATATTACCACGAACAAAAGCAAGTGGATACACTAATGCAAGTACCCAGAAAGAACGAACAATAACCTATGCTATAATCGGAAAGTTCCTGCGCCAAGACCCGGCCAAACAGTGTCAGTTTCTTAAAAATATATTAGCGCGATCGAACGAATCAATCTGTTCGCTAAATTGGGTCTGCCATATTATAAATCCAAAGTTTGTCCTTACTCCAAACTAATATGGACTTAAGTATAAAAATTAGTACTGCGGTACTGCGACTTGTGCTACATCAAAAATACTGAGTCTGAAATTAAAATAACCTTTGCAAAACAAGCCCAACATAGAAAATTGGCCATACAATAAAATAAGGTTTCATAAATTTGGTCATAAACCAATCAGAGTTTCGTGCTCTGAAAAACTTATTCCTATCATTACTCCCCAGTGAACAGAGGAGCGAAAAATTACAGAGCCGACTATGGAGAGGAAGGACGAAGCCGCGGACAGTTTTGCAAATTGCGTCACTTCGCTGTGTCAGATCACTATTGCAATTGCGTTTTAGTCCTTGCACTACGTTTGCATTTGCTATCACCAGGCAGTTATATACTCTGTAGCCGGCCACTGGTGCTACGTTTCGTTCAAGGTTGAAGAACTTGAAGCGCATCTGATTATACCCTATCAGATGCAACAGTCGTTAATCAGCGCTTTGACGTACAGGAAATTATTACTGCATCTAAGATTAAGTCACGTCCTTACATAGTTTTATCTGTGTATCTAAATTTGGTGACAAACAAATTTTATTGTGGTCAGAAATTGCAAATTCTGGTTCACAGGCATAGGTACAAAGAAGTAGGAAGCTTTCAGTGCCTCAGGAATGTCAAGCGCCCAGTCATTTACCTATCCAAAAGTAACTTTCTGCATGCGGTTGGTCTGCGAAATGGATGTTGTGCGGAAGCCCACCGATAACAAAATTTTGCAATCTCTTCCTTGCATTAGTTGCATACAAAGAATCAGTACGTTCAAGAGCGATCTAAGCACAGCGAAGCGCAAAAACCACGAGTTGAAAAATGTAAATCTTTCATTTTGTAAGTAAATTACGGAATAATGTGAGCGGCATGTAAATGAGCGTTAGCTTTGATTAATTTTGAAATTATTTAACATATTACAACAGCAAATTATTAAACGGAAAACCTGAGAAAAACGCACAGGTCATTAATATTACAAAACTTTGCAGAAATTGAGCCATTCTGCACAAAGAGTTTATGGCAGTCTTATGATGGAATGGAATGTTACATCGGTGTTTCCGTTTGCGCCATTAAGTGGGGTCCCAGTTGAGCGCAACGGCCACAGTGATGCTGTATCCGTCTCGTCCGATCCACTGGTCAGTGCGCCGACACTGATCGAAGACAGCGATGACACTTGGCCGTCTGTGTAAGATCAATCTTATGGCAGACCACGGCTGATGAGTGCAGAATCTGCGATCTTGCCACGACTGACCCAGTCTCGCGCGCCGCTTTAAGATGATGCCGGTTGCGGAATAACCCGTCCATTTGCGTTCCCGTCGCTGCATGTCAAACGGTGTTCTCTCGCGTGTCGGAATGAGAATGAACGATCCGGTGTGCTTGAATAAACTGCTATCGAGATTAAGAAAAGGAATTTCCATATTAATAACCAACTAATTCTCTTCGCAACGGCTTGTGCCGGAATTAGCGGCGAACACCAGCAAAACCAGCATTTGCTTCGAATATGATACGAATGTAGTACAGTTTGGATCATTTCTGCGATAGTACGACAAAAAATTAAATAAATAAATTAATCGATATTATTAATTTAATTATAAACGTGTATACTCGTACAAATATAAATCTGTGTTCACCAGCGATCCAGCATCGAAAGTAAAAGCTGCGATAAAGCATAAGGAGCTGTGGATCAATATAAATTTTTAACCTGTTTTTCTGTACTATTCTTCATCGGTTCAGTTAAAGGCCAAAGAACCAGAAAAGATGTTGAAAAAGAATATACATGCAGTTCGAGTAAAAGCGTAGCATATGGGCAACGTGCTTAAGTACATAACAATCCAAGTGCTTACTAGCGGTATCTGTATTTCGTAGTGCCAAGTAAAATAAAGCGATTTGAGTATAAAATATATGTATTCCGTGCTTTTTACTGTATTGCATATTTTTCAATTTAGGATTAGCTAACTATTTTGCCCGCGCTTTGTCATAATAAAAAAGTGAACTTTGCAACAAAATATAAGTAACATATAAATATCCTAAGTTTTCAGAATCTGCACCGCCGCTCTACGTCACGGCACGAATTCTTAAAGCAATTAACTAAATTCTTCGGTTCATAAAACCATTTTATAGTGTTCAGTATGATACTTTTATGTACTCGTTGGTTATAGCGATGCATATGGGTTTTCAAAAATTCAGATAACCAATGGTGAATAAGTATTCCTTCTGTCAACAGTAAGGATTATATCAAAGATTCTGCTGGTAATAGTAACCAAATTTCCCGAATAATCGATGTTTATACTGGCAACTTGCTGTACACGGTTTCCCTGATGTATACGCGTACGCCAGCATAATGGGCAATTAGGATAATGGGTGCAATTTTGGGATTATGTCGCAGTATGCCGGCTGCTGCCTCCCGTCGCGTATAAACCGGCAGTGCAATATGATCTCTTTTGAAAGGTTAATTCTTCTATAGGAGATTATCAGGTTTTAATTGGCCCGGCTTTTCGCTGGACCTGTTTATTATCTGACCACTTGACGAATTATGCCGGTAATGCGCAGGGCTGGACTGTGCCCGATTATCGTTATGCAGTTTGCAGGATTTGTGCGAAGAACGCAGCCGGCAACCTGTTTATTGCAAACCACGTGAGAAAGGTCATTGAAACTCATTATGGGCTTAAGGTTCAGCTTGTCTTACCTGAGTGACTTTTTAGTCACTTTTTATTAATAAAATGTTTTCATATTTTTATCTGTAAAATTATGTTTAATCTAACTGTACGGAATTTTCGTATAAAAATTTTTTATTTGTATTTCTGAATTATTATATTTCCTGAAACTTTACGGCAACACGCGTTTGTAAATTCGCTCTTAATCGACGAAATTATATAAATATTTTAAAATTTAATTTTGCGTTTGCTATCATATTTTTAAGCTGGATTATATATAGTCTGTCAGTTTTAATATCTTACATATAAATTTTATAAATTTAGTGCTTTATATAGTTGCAAATTTCATAAATATTGAACACAGGAAAATAGGAAATGTAATTGTACGAAACGTGTGACGACCGATTTCTGGCTGTGTATGTGTACGTAACTTGATTACGATTTACGCGTCAGACTTTAATTTACAGCTTTCGAATGATCGATGGCCGCATCTTGTCTGGATACGGCGATGTTTGACACTGAATGACAATTAGAAATAATGGACATGTAAGTCAATTAGAGCGCTCCATTGAAATCCCCTGAACACCAAAATGGACCATTTTGCTGCGATGCTTAATCGGGTTATATGCTGTACCGCATTTCTGACACTTCGGTTACGCTTTCTTGCATATTACATTTCAGAGCGATAACTCGCATTAGAACAGCCCGGAAAAAATTTTTGTGCTATATATACTGCTTCCAAATTTTAAATTCCGAAAAAGAGAAAGTAATATTATATACGTAACGTTTATTCTGCAAAAAAGTAATAAATGCTTCTTAGTAAAAACAAGGTTAGTAAAAAATTTTCATGAACGCTTTAAATAGCTATCAGGTGAAATTCTTGTAAAATTTGTGTACAAATTTTAACATTAGATCGATGCACTAATAAATTAAAACTAAATAAACATTAAATAACCAATAAATCAAAAATTTAACTTCAAATAATAAACACGGTATATGTATGAACAGCATATATCCAAGCGGCTTGGAAGCGATTTCGGTGGTCATTTAGCGAAAATTGCTTGACCCATTTTCGCGTCTTGTATTACGCCGTTAAATGGTAAGTAGTCGTGTGTATACATTATGCAGGCGACATGGAATGTCGGAGACTCGGAGCCGGCACTAAGCCGTGTTGATGGTTGGTAGCACGCTATTTTCCGATTAGCCCAATGCGCGGAAGTTGCAGCGCTCGGTCTGGCAAATCCGCAATAACATGACAGATTGATAGACTGGGAATTGTACATTATTGCGTCTGTATGCATAACGTCAAGTATTAATGCATTTTGAGCCGCACTGTTTCATATAAATAGCTTCAGCATTCCGGAAGCAGCATAAACTTGTGGAACGTCACATTTATTACAATTAACGTGTTCCCGGTGGTCGTTAATGCTTTCTGTAAAATGAAAAATTATAGTTATTTTCAAAACTTTTCAACAGCGTTACCGTACTATTAGTAACTGAATATTTTTTGAAATTTATTGAATATTTTTTTCTGAATATAATAATAACACCGCAGTTTTTACCGGCAAAAATCACTTTCGCTGGCCAAAATTCCGGGTCTTAGGTTTAAGTTTAACCTTTATTATTATCGTTGTTTTGTCAATATTGTAAACAATTCGAAGCCGTTTTTTAAAGATCTGGTCAAACCGGTAAATGATTTCCCGTCGATAAGCATCAGCTAGGCAATCGTGACAATTTTACGGCGCGTATGCGCGCATTTAATTATTCTCTTCCTTCCGGGCTTTGCAGATATGTCTGTACGACGGCGCACACACATCCATCGCCATTTTTCTGTCTAAACCGTCAGTTTAAACCGATACAGAATTGAAAACACCAATTAAATCACACATCACAATATACTGCACACGGGGCATCAACAGAAAGCAGACGAAAAAAATACAACATTACTTACAATGAATCAACAACAAAACTTAAACGAAAGGTCAACTAATTTTACCAGGTGTAGCAAAAATAATTAAATCCAAATAAGTTTTTTAAAAAATTCATTTTATTTTGTTATGTTGATTTTCATTTTTCTTCTTAAAAATTATGAAAGGTCATCCCATATTTATAAACTGTGCATTGGTAATGAGCTCGCGCGTCAACCGCCACGTTTGCTTCGCCGCTTGCTCCAGCGACGCCACCGGCTTCCCGCGGAACAGATCCAAATTGGGGAGAAAATAATGCGGACATTTCCGGCACTGTAGACACGAGATTAACTGCAGGAGAATCCCGTTGATCCGGTCGAACAGGCAGATGTCCACCCATTCGATTTCTCGTGGGTGTTTTTCGCATTCATACAGGAGCAGCGTTTTCATATGGTAGTTGGACACCGGGTTGCCGGGCAGTTCCAGATGCCGGTCACGCAGGGTTTTGAGGATACTCAGGCATTTCTTCCGGCAGCCGTTCTGGAGCAGGCGCTCCTCAGCGTCGGTGAAGTTCATGACGAAGGCATCGCCCTCCATGGCGGTCTGCTTGGTGATTAAACCGGAGCATTCACGAGAGTATAAATTGAAGCCTTCAGTCTTCACTTCCGCTACAATACCTATAAACACGGCGGGCACAGTTAAATATAGCTGAAGCTATAGTTCGGCCTTGTTTATTGCTTTATGCGAATCGTTGAATCAATTATCAGCAAAAATATTAGTAATTACCGTATCTCGTTAGCATTTACATACTTACTATGAAGCTAAGTAAAGTAAGTAAATATCTGTGTATCTGTACCTCAAAGTTGCTGCATTATCTGACTTGGACCAGTTAAAACGTTAGTTTTGTGAAGTAGCTGAATTTCATTTGTCTCTATTTGATGGAATTTTTAAAATATTATACGAACCCGAAAGGTTTTGTAGATGATCACTTGTTTTAAGAAAATCGCGAAAAAACATGCATCTTTACATGAAATACATTAGTCATACATTTTTTCTTATCGAATATCGATGGTAGTAGTATTGTAGTCATACAAAAAATATTGTAGTCATACATTTTTTCTTATCGAATATCGATGGTGTACTTATTACAGTGGAAACATTTTCATGAAGACGGCAGGACCAAGCCGACTGCACTTCACAAGCCATTGCACTACGTAATCAGTGTTCCACTTAATACACTGTCCGGCTGATTTTACAAAGTACGGCCACTTCGAAATTTTAGTCATAACACGCTAACTTGCTCACGACCAAGAACTGACAATAAAACGTAATAATCAACGTAATCAACGTAATAATCAACGAACTGATAATAAAACGAAAGTATGTAAAATTTCCTCTTTGTATAAACACTCACCGGGATGCGGCCAGGGAATATGGGGGATGGGCCAGTGGGCGGCACTCCGCGGCCATATCCCGATACACTTGAACGCCGGGGTAATCTGCACGGTGTAGCGTTCACGGATCTTCAGCTTGACCTCGTTGCTGTCCGTCACCAGTTTAACCTGCTCCCGGTAGCGGCTCTTCTCGGCCGCCTGTCCCACCAGCCCCTGGAAACGCGAGCGGATTTTCCGGGCGGAGAGGTAGCCGCTGGCGGTGATGAATTCCACCCACAGGGACATGGAGCGTTTCCGGCCGTCGCTTAATTTCAGCACGGCACAGCCCGGGATACTGCCGTCGTCGACGAAGTTGAACACGCCCATCTGGTTGAGGAACAGCACCACTTCGAACTCGGTGGCCGAGATGACCTCCAGGCCTTCGTAGCGGCCGTTGACTTCCGTCAGGGTGGAGATGAAGCGCGGTTCTTGCACCTGTCAACACATACAGTAAATACAGTAAAACTGACAAATTAAATTAGAAATCCTGCAATTGTGCGATTACAGTACTACGTACGAAAACGTATAACGAAAACGTATAACGAAAACACACTACTTCTATAGTAAAATGTTTCATTTGAAATTTAGTGTTTACCTCACGAACGCCGCTTCTGATTAAAATTTGTACTTTGTTTACTGTAACTGCTACAGCAGGGAAAAGTTTCCATCGGGAAAATGCAGATGCAGTAACTAATTAAGCCTTTAAGAGTGTATGAATGTGGTATTAATCTGTATAAACATTTAGCGATAAGTCACAATAAAAATAACAGCTGGTTTGATGGAAAATGGCAAGTTCAATAAAAATATTAAAGCGCTAATTGTGGACCATGTTTTACAGTTTTCTTTCTACATTCTCCCTTGTCCGGTAGAAGTACACCAATAAATATTTATTTTGATACTAATTATTTTACAAATAGTTTTCAAGGTCTGCATCGCAAAATACCGATCCAATACCGACTGTCCCACGAACTGTATTTGCCCATTTTTTGTCTAAAAATTTTAACACACAAATCCGTATTAAAAAAATTATTCGCAGTCGCGGAAACAACCATTCATTATGAAACCGTTTTTTTTTAATTTTTGGTAATATGGTTACACTCGTCCTTAGCTTCCAAAGGAAAATGTTGGGCATATAGGCAACTCAGATGACTAAATTCATCCCGAAAATAAACATGTTCTTATTCCACAAAATTAAGATTAAAAACATTAACAATTAATTTTGTAAACCGTTGAATCAATGAAAGTGTGGACGTAATGCGAAAGCGTCACTGATGCAGACGGAGTGAGCTCTTAGTCACTACACTACGACTATCGACTGCGGGGAACGATTAATGAAAGGTACGACAAGAAATTCGAAGAAAACGTTCAAACATTACCAGCAGCAAAATTCGCTGCTTAAAAATCATGATTCAATATGATTATTCGATAAATTATTCGAATTTCTAATGAGAAAGAGGAATAGTGAAGAAAGCGTTAATTTCCTAAATTAAATTCGACTGACCTCAACTTCTTTAAGAATGTCTTGGACGATCTGCACAATCTCCATGATGGAGCGGCTGATGGTGAGTTTGCGGGCCTGTACGCGATCCGCATAAAATTTGTTCAGCTGATGCAGACATTTTGTCTGCTGAGCCAGCATCGTAATCCTCAAACAACGCACAATTTTATTCCCATATAAAAACGGTAAATGTAAATCCGTTAATGTAATCCAGAATTTTTCCAAAGATTACCAACACCATGGACAAAAATAAAATACGGCAATATTAAACGCCATTTTGACGTTAAAATTATTCAACAAAATATTATAATATGGTTAGGAAGAGAAAAAAAACGTGGGTAAAAGATCTACAAGGATCGAACGGGAGCAACGTTTTCGGTTGTAACCAGAATTCTGTGCAGTGGTGAAAAATCTATGATGCAAAGCCAGCGCAAAAGAAACAGTTGCGTAGCCATTAGCGGAAGATGGACGACTGGTAAGGCAGCGCAAGACAGTCGACGCAAGCCGATTTCGGGTGTGGCCGCTGTCTTGATGCCCACGCCAATCATGGCCGGCTGCTTTCGCTGGTTGGTCAACGTGCATGTAGGTTTGTACTGTACGCAGCTCGATGCCAGTCAACTGTCTAAACGATCGATACGATACAAGTTTGTGTGGTTGCGTGCAAATGTACAACGTAGGCTTACGTAGCACAGAATCTTGCATTTGACTGGTGCAATCAGTCTTTGCGTTACTACGTTTCCGAAATCACCATAATATTTTATATAATAATCATAATTTTTATACGAAAACTAACACTAAGCGTTACTTTGACTGTCCGTTTACTTATTTAATTTCGAATGATAAATTACAGAAAATATTTACTAAACTTATCATATCTGCAACTTGCAATTAAGTAACCAGCTTTTTGATAAATCTTTTTTTATCATATTTCACTGGAAAATTAATGCGTCGTTATTTTTTTATAGAACTCGGTGATCAGTTTTTTTAGTCACCGTGTTTTTTAGCTCTGGAGAAACCAGTTTTTATTTAGTTGCCTTAAGCTCCGGTTAAAGTAATGATGATTTATTGAAAATCTTTTAAAGTTGCTTGCAAGAAAAATGAGTTACCCAAATCATAATTAATTGCCATTATCTCCGGTTAAGGTAATGATGATTTATCGGGAATGATGGCGATTAGCATCATCATGATCATGGTCAGCCTGCGAGGCTTCACTGTAATAACGCAACCTGATCCGTTGTACGTGTACGGCTGGGTAACTTTCCCTGTAACCGGACGTACATATAAGACAAAGAATTATGACAGTTGCTCTGTGAGAAATGCCTCGAGTTGGGGGTCTTATTATACCGGGCCACTTACGGCCGGATCGTCGCGTATATTAGTTGATAAATCTTTTTCCAGTCGTGATTACTCGACAACTCTGCATCATCATCGTCCGTACGTAGCCACAGGCTGTGTGTGTGCGACGTGGCTGCTTGTCATCGAGGCGGTCTGCGTTATGTCTGCTTCTCGCCGGTACATCAAGGAAAGATGTGAAGCTTTATACGGTAGAATTAACGACGGAGATTGTGGCATTTGTGGCTGCGCCAGACCGATTAACCAATTTAGCCAATTTATTTAACTCTCACCGGGAATGAATTTCTGAGCCGTCTCTTACCACTTTTCTTAAATTTTCTGCAGTTTTATTGTGTTAAGATTAACGTCGTCTTAAAACAGGCGTTATCTAACCAGGTCAAAATTATTCCACATAAATAATTAAAATTATCTAAGCAAGCGCATATAAAAAACGTTAATGAATAATACTTATCATACTACTCTACTCACAAATGATTTTTAATTATTTTTAAATTATTATTGATTTTTAAATTAACCGCATCGTATTCTGTATCGAGACGTAACAGTTTTTCTAAGCCTGGATTAACTTCCAAAGCAGAAACCTGATTTCATTTTCCACGGTATTACAAATACATATATTATTGCAAAGAGGAAGTTGCATTATCGACCCGGCACAATTGTGTCGAATGCCGCGTCAGTGCACTGGCACACACGCAGACAGCCGCCCGCCACACGAACACCCCTCGTCAGCTGCTCGTAATTCATTTTGCAAAATTTTTGATAGAAGCGGAATGTACAGCTGGGCGAGTGAATTAAAGGAGCATTGAGATGTTATTAGAGCAAATCAGAGTAGACAACTGCTGGATAATAGATGGTAATGCTCCCCTTTGCTGACTTTCAGCGCCGCTCATGCGAGTCGCTCATTACATTGGCTACTACATAAATGCGCATTGCACATGAAAATATCATGTTGTGCTTACATGTAAATGCGCAATGTCCGTTTGTGAATAACTGAATTAATGCAGTGACTTTTGTGAGCCGTAATGTAATAAACCCAGTCAGAGCGGCACCGACCAAAACATTAAATGTACTCGTACAGTACTCTGTAGCTTAATGGTAACAGAAAAAGGCAAGTATCTCCAAATCTCTAAACAAGGCAAATAACTTCGTGCAGCACTTAATAATGTTGAAAAATAAAACTACAGCAAATAGTGATATACATGCGGGATTTTAAGATTAAACGATCAAGGAAAATTTTGTGCAAATTTATGTAAATTCACAAGCAACGAAGCAGACTATCAGAAATCTTTCATACAGGACGAATAGCAAGTTGCCGATTAACAGCACTATTACTTAAATCAAAACAGGAACTGCCTATTCCAAGAATAAAAAAAGTTGTGTGTATGTTGTCGTATGTTGTATAGTTGTATGCTGTATGTGCATGTTGAATTATCAACAATATTCTTGTTTAAAATTTTGAATCAGGTATGTAGATGACTTCTGATTATACAGTATTAGGCAGTTTGCGGTCACAGTAGGTAGTTAATATTATTCTAACGTTGACTGATGTTTGATTATTACGCATTTCGTTTGGGATGCGTTCCACCAGATGACCTTTTTCGGCAGTAAATTGCTCGGCTCCAGTGGAGCATGCCAGTATAAGTGCAAAGAAGTGTTTATGCTAATTGTTCATGTGTGCGTATGTCAGCGGGAAAATAAATGCAGCTCTGTAATTATCTACTTCCGCGTCGTTAATTGACCGAGTATGACTGGCACATGCATGCTGACATTTTGTCAGGAAAAACGAGACTCTTGTTTGGAGAAAATTGATTTTCATTGTATTGCGCAGTCTATTCCGCACATTATAATTATTATGTCTCACAATTGCAAGTTCCAATGAAGTTACATTTAAAAATACCGGTTATCACGTGATGATGGTTGTATGACGCAGTCGTCTGAACATAAACGCGCAGTTCTGCGCTCTGTTAAACGGTCCTCTATACACCACAAATTTCCATAATGTTACAGAGTCAGCCCTCAGTCGGCTGTCCGTGGGGATCTCAGCGAAGAGGGCGGTTCCGTGAGGCATTCGCAAAAATGGCGATGGAGCGGAATCGAACCGCTGGCTACCGAGTGAGATCCACGTAGTACAGCCACTGTGCCATCGCCGCTGTTGGCGAAGATCAAGATATTAATTTTGTGCTTGAGCTTGAGTCAATCAGGTAGGCGGCGGTATGGGCGGCTGTCGTGGGCACAGAGTAGTCTACTCTAATAATAATACATTTCTGTGCAAATTCATACTCTGCTCGTTGGTACAATTTTGCTGTCCGAAATAAACCGTAAATTGTTTAATAATTTCGAATCAACGGAACATTAAATTAACAACGCTAAAACCGTCGTTAATTTTGCCATTAATCGTATGGCCGTGCAAAACGCAACCTACTTAATATTCTTGAACATTCGATAACGGTATGACATCACACCCCAATGCCTAATTATTAACAGAAAAGCCATCGGCAGTGCCCATTTACATTTACTGTTCAATCCATCGTATGCATAGAAAATGTATACTAACCAAAAATAAAACCCAAAACCAAAAATATGTGTAGTACTGTATATACATACTCGTATGTATAATAAAACAATAAGCTTGGACGGTTTTATTTTTAACACGCAATCGCCCCATATAGCTACATGTGACATACGCGTACTTGTATATCCTTTTTGCATCTCACTGGTCAGTGTATTAATCAGCGAAGAAGCGATAAATTATTAAAACCAAAAACCAGTTTTATTCTTATGATATCAAATTACGCTTTGTGATACTGAAAAGTAGTGGTTGGCACTGTTATTGTTGATAAGTTTAGGCCTCGTCCCGAATTCAAAGCGAATCTCGTTGCGATACAGCAACTCCACCTCGCGAGGTGGCTTCGCATACCGTATCTGTAGGCGTGGCCACTGCATACAGCCACCTCGTGCGGTTGAGCAACCGCACCACAGCGAGATTCGTTTTGAATTCGGGACAAGGCCTTATAGTTGCTTCTCCAGTAGATTATTTCAAATCGGCAAGTGAGCAATTTTCTCAGCAGGAGGATTGTTTTGCAGCATCGTTAAGCCGATGATGAGCTGACAAGAAAATTGCAGAAATCTGCTAATTTACAGTACTTTGTTGCGTGCACAGGTCTGTACTATACCACTAACTGCGTATAGCGTGCATATGTGCAGTATAATAACTGATCAAAAGGTAAACCTGGGAACTGAACTTTTTTTATCGTCTCTTCAGAGCGTTCTAATTACACTAATATAATATAGTACCGCGAATATTCACTAGCATAATAAATTAATTAGTCCAGAGTAGTTATGCAAGCTTCGTAGCCCAAGTGTGTAATAATTTTGAAAGCGATTAAGCCTTCTTTTAAAATTTTGAATTTTATTGTAAACTATTTTTAAATAATGTTTAAACTTAAATTATTTTAAATAACTGAATTTCAGTTTAGAATCATCCGCTTATTTACCAATACGTGCTATGTACCGCTTATATAATTATTTGGTTTGAAATACATAACAGACTGTATACTCCGCGCAATACTAAAATTGACAATTATACGAGTACAGACACAGAACTAACCATAATTAATTTGTGAAATGTGTATGTACTAAAATTTAAAGTTCAGCACAGACACATTTTGTATCTTTGGTCAGCCCGATTTATGAATATGCCACGAGGCTGCCCTTTCCCACGGCAGTACCCGTTAGTGTTCAACCATTTCCGGTAGAAATGTGCATTACTGGATGCTGCAGTACAAGCTGCTCTGAAATTCACTGCAGCGTTACCACGTTGCAATATTTGCGGCTGGCATGAAAACTTGTCCAATCGACGTGTGCAAATAAACATTTCAAACCGGTCAATAAACCTGGATTACCCTCCAAAGAAGCTGTGACAGTAGCCTAAATAGACCATTCTAATGATAAGAATTAGGCAATAATAGACCGTTAAACCAATGCCAAACCGGCATGGAAATGTTATCAGTAGAAGTACCTGAGAGAGAAAGTAGCCTGTTTCCGGTCAGCAATACTAATTAGGGTGTGTAAATAGCATCGCGGCGCCGCTATGCCGATAATTCCTGGTGTCAGTTAGCTAGGATAAATATAAATAGCCAGGTTAGGAAATTATTATTGATATTCCATAATTCAATAACAATTTCCTAACATGTTATGCTAAAAAGTTGTAAATTTTTTTTGAAACAATGTTGTTGCTGATAGCTGTATTAGTCGTAAATGTACCCGTATACTCTCTAATAAATGGAGAAGAGACCGTGTTCGTACCGGAATTCACTTGCAGTTTTGATACGGGACTGTGTCCAGGATGGACAACGGCCAGCAGCCATTCCAACATATCATGGATTCTTAGTCAAAATGAAAATGACGCCTCTAATGCATCATTTTGTAACGATGTTGGTAAGTCAGCGATCAGTAAAATTAGAGCGCCATACGCACATAATAAAAGGAGAGGTTAACACTTAAGTATAAACCTTATACAGTCTTTCAGTCAAACGTGTGTGACTTAAACTTCTCCGATCTGTAAAAGTAGTTTCAGTAATTTACATTACTCATTAGCGTTCAAGTGTCTAACGTTTTTCCGCACCTGTACTAAAAGTACTCGCATTTCCACATTTGACATACGATACTTATGTAAGAAGAGCTTCATTTGAAACCGTTTGCTGATTGTAGTACAAGGGAATTACGTGCATACGCCAAATGGAACCCGACGAGACGGCGACGAAATCTGGACTGACCTTATCAGCTCTAGTTTAATGGTTGCACCGAATGATATGCCACTCCGGTTTCTGGTCCGCTTCTGGTATTCGGTGCCGAAATCATACGGCACTATAGCCCTGTCGTTCAGGCTACCTTCACCACAAAATAACAGCAGTGACACTGTGTTCTGGATGCTACGGGATACGCTGCATAAGGAATATCCCAATAGTCAGTGGTTTCAAGCGGTAGTTCCTGTTAGCACCGATAATAGTGGATCTCTAGTGTTTCGCGTCATCTTCGGCCGATCAGTTACGGTGTTCGCCCTAGACGCTGTAGTCACCACAAAAAGCGGTCAGTCATTGCTTCAGAAAATTATTTATAGCTTTTCACGCTAATCCTAAGCGAACGTCTGATTTTTGTTTGCAGACAACATCTTTCCAAGCCATTTGCCCTGGGCAACGAAATCGATCACCTGCGATTTCCGCGTTGATCTCTGCGGCTGGACGAATTATCTTGACGGAGATTTCAGCGTTGTCACAACCGATAACATATCCTACGCCGCACTGCGGCATCGTGGCACTCTTCTTCATCCTGGCTACAAGAACCGCAGTGTCAAGCTCGGCAGTATACCGATCCGCTCACCGCTGCCGCTAAACACGACCCTGAGTTTTCGGTACTGGTTCAGCAATACCGGGATAGAGTTTCTTCGGGTTTTGGTAGCGGAACGATACACAGCGGTCATTGTATGGGAAATGGCTGCAGAATCACATAATGTGGGACGTTGGCTAGCGGTCGATCTGCCATTATGTCTACACGACGATGTTTCCGTACATTTCCTGGGAGCCATCGATAAGCAGGGCTCAGAGATCCGATTGGCTGATATTGTGTACCACGGAGAACTCAGCGGGAGTGCCGCTCGCGCGCATGCCTGTACCGGGATCGGGTGTACATTTGACCAGTCTATGTGTGGTTGGAGTAACCAGTACAGTGTGTCGTCCAGGTTGGTAGAAAATGTATTGCGTACTTCGGTTTTTCGCAAAAACAGCGCGTTTTCAGTATAATTTAAACACTAATGACCCACTTTAATTGCAGCAGCAGTGGTGCAGCCTACAGATACAATATAGGGCGCGCATAACATGATTAATCGCCGATTACTCTTGTAATTAACGTCCCCGCTTTGGTGGGTTATGTGAGCGCTTCCAGAAGTACTTCTAGTCTGCTGCTCGCAGCCTCGATAGCGTGATGTGGCGTTAGTTATAGGAAGTGGTTCTGGTAGTGGTTGGGAACCTATGGTAGTAGCAACGGTATTGAGCTTTTTTGCGAAACCAGTGCGAAGAGAGAGTACCAAGTAGTTGCTACCTGCTGAAAAGGTTATCTGCTAGTTACGAATCCGAAGTCTCAAAAGTTTATCGAATACATAGAACCTGACTGCAGGGACTTCATTTACTGAACCGTTATTATTCTTTTTTGCGCTTTATATGGGAAAGGAAATTCTTTGACAACAACGGTATTTCCGAGCCGGAAAGTCTGTTTGCCCTGGAAGCCACGGGCGGAACGACAACTGATGTATCCGTCGCCCGCCTCGTCAGTTCGTGCATCGACATCGTAGCACCTACTGATTTTTTTCGTTACGACCCGATCTTTTACGGTAACTTGCTGGTCGTCAAGTTATTCCATAATTCTTCCGAGAACTACATCGGAATGCTACGGAATAACACGAGATTAAGGCTGGGTCGCCGCGAAGCCGTGCGCATAGTTGTCGAGCATAGTTTTCCCAGGCGATCTGTCAATCCGGCGCGAATCCCGGTACTAACGATACACAATGAAACCGGGAATATTCAGCCATCCAATGCCTGCCAAGAATACCCTATGGAACCCCTACGCCCCCGGTATCCACAGCAGATGACGGTGACCTGCAGTTTTGACCGTAATTTATGTGGTTGGACCAACGCAGGGCCAAAGGAGTTTCTCGTATTTCCGGGTTATGGGACATACAAACCGCGTGTGGGGCTGGGCGCCGCCATGGCTCTTCTGTTGAAAGACGAGCCTGTCCGGACATTTGGACCGTTGCGATCGGTTGTGGTCCATGGCAAAGCCCGGACATATTTGACCTTCTACTATTTTTTTGATAAAATCGTTCACTGGAGCGTTCTGGAGTTAAAAACCGGGAACCGATCATCGCTGTTATGGTATTATTTTGTTTCCGACGAAGACTTGTATGCTAAAAATACGTGGCATGCCCATCGGCTCAGCTATTGCGTGGATGGGAACTATACGTTAGAATTCACCGCTAATTTCAAGTAAGTCTTCAACAAACTACAAGCTTTGCGAATAAAATTCCGTAAATAATACGGGTGAGACAAAAAACAGAGTAAACAGAACTAAGGATAATAACCAACTGCCGCTGGGCCGTCATACAACTGACCAACTGATCCACAATTTAACGGGAATAACAGCAGTACATATAGCCAAACATGAAATCGGTTTTTCCACGGGAGATGTGAAAATATAGGTTACTGAGCCAAGAACATGCGTACGATTTTTATATGAGCTTGGTTTTGGTTCGTTAAAAAAGAACACAACCGTATTCTAGAAAGTACCGTCTCGTGTTTTGTATTTTTGCAAAGCGGTCAGTGCGGTAAATTGCGGAAAATGACTATTGCCGTAATTTGCAGTTATCTTATCCGCGTGCTGGTACATATTTATAACAAACTTAAGTGACTGATCTTTTTTTGCCAGCATGCACGTACCTGACACCACCGGATTTTGGATTGACGATCTGGTCCTGGAAGCTGAAACAACGCACTCCGGTGTGTCGTCTGAAAGTTGCAACAGTGACGCTGCTCCGCATGCACCTATGACGCCGTCGCTTACCTGCGACGGAACCTACATGTTTACCAGCACTGCGACTCTCACGTTCTGCAGCTGACAGATTAGCAGCCATCCTGACGTGACCCTGAAGAACGAGCTACTCACTCGCAATTTCGGCAACGTCCAGTATGCCTACAATACGAGGGCGCTGTCATATTATGCCCATTCTCACAACACCAACATAACACTCCAGCTAAAAAGTCCGGTGGTGGAGACACGTAGTGGTGGTCACTTGCATCTCTGGTATTATCGCCGGCGACCCATCCTGATCCGCGTGACGGCACAAGACACTGACGCAAGCACTGCTCCTGTTCAACTGTTCTCCCGCCAACATCGAGATCTAAAAAGGAGGGAGTGGTGCCGCGCAGTGTTTCCTTTGCGTATCACCGGCTACGCGCAAGTACGTAGTAACGTTAGTTAAGAATGGCTACTGAGAGCACTAGAATTGTTACCAGACAAATAGCGGGTATATCGTGATCAGCTCAGTCAGCATTTGGTAAAATAAAGTACTTTTTTCTTTTAGATCACCGTTACCGTTACTTTTCTCGCGTTAAGCCAGGACCCTAACCAGACTGATCCAGGGGCCACGTTTGCCATGCATCGCATCTGGTTCACTGATGAAAAAGGTTAGTAGCGCCGTAACATGCACACGACATGCAGCATAGTTCAGGAGAAACCGACCCAATTGGGAAACAGCGCGAAGTGTTCTTGCTTGGATAAACTATTTTAATGAGTTACGGTTGAGATTGTTTAACCATACAGGACGCAGCTTGTAATTGTTGTCTCATTTTAATACAACAAATCAAGATCAGGGGTAGGCAAAAAGACGCGTGCAAAAGTAATCGGCGCACAAAACACAGTCGGTTTCAAGCGGAGCGGTGCCGGTAGATCTGGAATCTACAATCGCTCGTTTCATTGATTCTAGACACGTCTTCATAACTTCGCGAAGGGTGTGTGTCAGCTAATCATCTGGGCTAGAAATAACCCAGAAGGGCCAGATCTAAGAATATAGGTTGGCCAAGCTTTTGAAAATGAGTGATTATGGGTCGTTCTCTGTACAATTAGTCTTGTGAGCCCTGTGTTAACGCCGCATATTGTAGGTTTCGAAATGGGATCTCAGTCCGATAACCTTCCGGAATACGGTACGCAGGTTACTTATTCAGTACCATTGCGTAGTCATGCCATCGGTAATCAAAACCGTTGTTGTTTACTATAGACACATTTGTAGTCTTGAGTAACCATGTAGAACAATGACATACCCGTTTGCATCTGTTATTAATGCACTGTGGAACAGGAAAAATTATTTGCTCAATAAAAGTCCTACTAAAAAAATGATATACAAGTATACGTACGACAAAATACTTATACATTTGATCAAAACATAGTCGGTTCTGATACAGCTGGATGCGATCACGCAAGCTATCGGAAAGTCTCATGCGCGTTTGAATCTTCTGACAACTGCAGTTGGTTACCCGGTTCACCTGGCAATTGGGTAACGGCGAACCAATCATCTTCATCTATGCCCTTTGCCATTTCCAGCGGTGACCTGTACGGACACGACCACATGATGATCCTTAAGGGAACTCCACAATCCAGGAATATTCTGGAGACTGACTACATCGGACCGCTACGGACCGTTCTGCAATTTTCCCTCTACATCTTCGGTCGCGGTATAGAGTCTTTGCGACTGTGGGCACAAACCCGAGAAAACCACTTTTTACTGTGGGATTCAATGAGTAGCAACAACACTCATCATTCGTTAAGGCGGTGGCAAAATGTTTCAGTGGATATTTGCCTGAAATTTCCTTTTAAGGTATGCGCGTGCCACATACGTTAGCAGATGTAACGATACAAATATATTCTTTTCAGTTGGTTTTCGAAGCTTCGACTGGCGATGAGCCTTACGTCTGTGCCATAGACGACATTGTCCTGGTTGATGAGTGTTCAGTGCTGCAGAATAATGTCGCTTGTCCGGACCTTCTGCTTTATACATCAATGGATCAAGACAACCACGCAACAACTACACCGATTCCGAGCATGGCTCTCTGTATGACCTTTGCACCGTCCATAGCACGGTGTGCCAGAAAACGGTAGAATCTGTAATAAAAACCATCTTTGCTTTTAGCCCCACCTGAGTCTGGTGACTTAAACTGCAGCTTTAGTCAGCAGAACTTCTGCAACTGGACCACGTCGGCGAACGACCAGACAGCATGGGCTATCCTGTCAGTGTCGGATGAGTTTGTTGCTGTCGTTAACTGCACCGAAATACCAAAAAGAACCGTGACAGCTTATTTGCTGAGTCCAAATACATCCTGTGCCGAATCGAATGCATGTTTCTTTAAGGTACAAGAAAACGGTCTCCCTACAGCATTGTGGGAAATATTTTACGACATCGTATTATTTCTTTTTAGTTCACCTCACGAAGAGTGCTTACATAAATGCATGTTTTCATCCCTTTAGTTTCGATACAGAGGCTCTGAAGGAAAAGTGGTGCAACTGCAGCTTTATATTGTCACTCTCACCGATACGCTACCCTTCAAAATTTGGGATAGCCAAGCCGGAGAAATTCCAGAGTGGCTCTCCGCAAAGGTCAATCTCACCACAACCAATGTTCCGTTTTGGTTAACCTTTGCGGTTACGTTTTACGAGGATAATTCATCTACCGAACTGGACGATTTTCAGTTTGCTCGTGACGACGGTGAGCTGCATAATTGTTGCGTAATAAAAGTGTTAGTGATTAAAATTCACATTAATTGACGGTTGACGGTTGACCTCTGCTTTGCAGCACCGACACTTCCGCCAACCGCTGCAACAGGTGCGTCAATAACAGTATGCAACAACTATCAAGGAGGTGTACTTAAGAAGCTGTGGACAAGATAAGTTTGTAATACAACAAATAACTTCAGGATCCTGGCTACCTTTATATGGTAACCTCATCGGCATAATCAGTTTGGCTGTTGTTATTATCGGGATAATATTCTACCGCCGCTGGTATTCAAAGGTAATCCCTTAAAATCAATTTCGTAGATTTAAAAAGGCCTTCTACCACACAGCTGTTTCATTGCAGATTACGTATTACAGTCGGCTGGCTTTCTGCGATGTACCTGATTCATTGTTGCGAGAATTCGAATTGCCCAGCAATGCAGTGACTTTAAGTAAGATCGGCAAACATAATAGCGAAGGGCTCAAGACTTCAAGGGCGCATTAAAACATTTTCATCCATTGTCCGGACTCTTAAACAAAATCATGTAATAAGAAACTAAAACACTGTCTGGTCTTAGTAAGTCAGGATCTTCGGACGAGCCATTTCTGTCGTATCGGAGTGGCGCGTATTAGTGCTGCTCGAGACCAAAGCCTGTCTGAAAGCGCAGCAACTGTTGCGGTCAAGTTTCTTGATGATAAACATACGCCGGAAGAGGAACGGTGTTTCATAGCCGAAATGGCCACATTTATGCGAGTGGGCCGACATCCAAATATTGTCAATCTCATTGCGGTTGTCTTGAAGGGTATGTGTTATTAACAGCTTAGCACCGTGATCGCGTTAATCCATCTAAGGGCGCAATTACTATCCAATTGTGTCACAGGTCGTCCCATGATTGTTATGGAATACTGTCCTCATGGATCGCTGTACCAGTATTTACAAAATTTAAAGGCCGATAACGCAGAGACCGAAATCACAGCGGATGTCGATTTCCTGCTGTCGAAACTCCAGCAGATCGCGATAGGCATGGCCTTCTTAACCACCCGGGGGATTCTGCACCGTGACCTAGCCGCTCGTAATGTCCTGCTGGACGACAACCTAACCGCGAAAATCAGTGATTTTGGCTTAGCAAGAGCTCGCAGCGAGTACATTCTGCAACGTCCTAATGTAAAAGAAATTAGAATTTTAGACGTTTATTAGGTTTTATGTTACTTATTCTATAATGATTTGACGCAGCTGTTTAGGCATTATTAACCCTTTTTAACTCTTATGCAGACACTTTTACACGTATGAAACTGCGTTTATTTAGTGTAGTTTTACTAAAGATAGTTGGAAGCTACTTCAAGCTATTCTAGTTTTCTGGTATTAACTCGGCTAAACCTGACGGTACTTTTTCTGGTGCAGATCAAACTACCCTTGGGATGGATGGCACCGGAGACGCTGATTCCCGGAGATGGGCGCTACAGCGAAAAGAGCGATGTGTGGTCCTTCGGAGTGATAACATGGGAATGCTTCACCTATGGTCAAACGCCGTATTCGCAGTCGTTTCCGCTAGGCCTGGATGTTGATGGCCTTTCGCAGTTTCTCTTGAGTGGACAACGATTGATTCTCCCGGAAACATGCCCGGACTGGATGTAATACTGAGAAAAAGTCGGTTGCCTTGCCATATTAATTTTATCATGGTGACAATTTTTGCAGGCGAGCATTGGTCGCTGATTGTTGGAGCTGGGAGGTCAGTGGTCGGTTGTCGTTTAAAGAAATTGTGAGCTTGATGGGTAAATATTCCAAAGTTGCCAATCCCGAGGAGGAAATCGAAACCTTGTAGACCGTTATTTGTCAGATGTGTCAGCTATCGGCATGGTGTTACGGGCGCTGCCGTACTGGCACCGTACCAAAAAGAATTTAAACTCCTATTCAAGCGAGAACTTGAAATTTTCTCTCTTCTTGGACTATCCGTGGGCGTGTACTTATTATTTTAGTTGCTTTGCTTTGTGATTGACTGGAATAAGGGCTTGAATAACAATAGATCGCAAAAAGATGTTGTGCTTCTTGTGATGTGTGACATTGGAACTACCGCCTTAAAACCTTACTGCGAGACATGGCGGGTTTTTTAGAATTGGTGATTTCTGATTTGTACGGGTTTCTTTGCAAGATGCAGTGCACGAAATTAAACTTGGTTGGTAATCGTATAGCAGAATTAAGGTGTGAAATAAAACTATAAAAGCCATCAGAAAAACGTAATGTAGGGGCAGTAACACTACACTGCCTAACAATCATATTAGACGTCTAGAGTAGATGCCAAACCATTCAACAAAAGGTGATATCTTACCATTAGTAAAAACGCGACGGTAGCATGTTTTTCATGCAGTAGCTTTACTACAAAATCACCAAAAAGTACTACAGAATTTCCAAAAGCAGGGAAAATACAGTAGAAATGCAAGTTTTCCTTCAGGAACAGCGTGCGAGAAAGGGTTAGTACAGCGACGCCACGCGGAAATATATTTAGTTATGACAGTTATCCTGACGCACAGTTTACCAAGCAGAAAAGCCGGTAATAGTGATGTATTCTCGAACGCTGTCATAATATTAGTGTTGACTATCAGTCACCGACTCACCGGTTTGTGTTGCAACGAAAACGTTCCACGCGGCTCTCTGATGTAGATATAGAAGTGACCCGAATAGATTAAAGGAGCAGTGTCTTTCCTGCCGCGCTACGCTTTACCTTACAAATACTATGTTCACATACGATACAAGAAAGTTATTAATTTGTAAATGCGTAGTAACCGCCGTAGTTATCACACTTTTGCATGGAAAACCAACTGAAATGCTGCACTCCCTAGATTTAGTGAAACTAATCTGCTTTCTTTTTGGTAAGGGAGAGAAAATGTGAAAATTTTTCTACAGGATTATGCCAACAACGTCGATAAAAATTTTTTCAATGTGAGTAAACAAAAATCTGTTGCAGCCGTGGATCATCTCAACATCCTCGGAATGGTCAGCCAAATCTCTTGCGATTTCGATACTGATTTATGTGGATGGACAAACACCGGTCCCGCTCCTTGGATTCTAACCAGTCCCAGTGAGGCGCTCGCTGTGCACAACCAAACCTTTGTCAGTACATCCCAAATCCAGGAAGAACACGTTCTGTCCAGTGTCCCTGTACAAATACCGATGCCGCAGAATACATCGCTGGCTTTCTGGTATTCCCTGCGGACCGGTTATGATTCGGTCTTTCTTCACTTAATCGATCCAAGTGGGACGGAGTCCCCAGTGATCGTATGGGAACGGCTGCGTCCGTTGGGAACGCATGACGTTACGTGGGCGTACGTGGAGATTCCAGTTTTTGTGGAGTATGGTTGGTATTTCCGCTTTGTCACCAAGATCAACCAGCGAGGTGGTTTGGTAGCACTGGACGATATCGTGTACTTCGGCGAAGATCGTGATGTTGAAGCTAGACCGGTGGCACAACGGCCACGCCTCTCCTGTCGCTTTCAGAATGGCTTATGCGAGTGGTCCAATCAGAAATCAGCTTTTTCCCAGTAATAATAATTATTTTATTCATTTTATTATGTCAACTTACATAATTTAGTAGGTGCAAAAGCCGTCTGTCTGGTTGTCACGTCTTGGCACAGATGTTTATTGTGCCACTCTGGCCGGATAGATACTGAATAAGGAAATACTCGTAGTACCACATAAAATGCGTCCGCTACAGGTCAACACAGCCATGCGGGTTGCTACGTGCTAATATGGCGCGTAGCCACTACACTACACCTTCACCCTTAAAATGAAGTGAAAAAGCAGAACATTATGGCAAAATGTCGAAATAGTCTTCTTCGACATTGTAGACGGTATCGACCTTTTCCTTCTTCTTCTTGTCCTTCTGCTGGCATGCCCTCTCTATGTGGCCTTTCATGCCGCAAGCATTGCACCTGGTGTTTTTATACCAGCATTCTTCGGGCGTATGCCGCCAGGATCCACATCTTTTACACTTCCGCCGGGACGGCATCTCTTCGTCACTTCCACTTTCTTCTTCATTCTCTTCTTGTCTCTTCTCTCTCCTGCTCTTATCCTCTTTCTTCACTGTTGTTTCTCGCTTCTTAATACGGTTCACCACATTCTCTTCCACGTTAGTTTTTCTCGCCTCTTTCACGCTTGTTTCATATTTGATAGCAATTTGGAGGGCGGCGTCGAACGTCTTCAGCTCTTGCAGCATTAGGTAGCGTCTCGTTGCGTCGCTTTTGACGCCTGCCACGAGCACAGCACTTAAATTCTTCTCCAGCACTGTTGCCGGGAAGTCGCATAGGATCGTTTTGTCACGTAAACGTGTCGCGAAGTCCACCAGGCTTTCTTTTTCGTCCTGCCGAAGACTGAAGAACAGCGCCCACTCGGTTATTTGGTTTGTGTACGGGGCGTAGGCCGTTTCCAGCTTCGTGACCAGTTCACCCAGTGTGAAGTCGGACGGCATCTTGGGTTTGCACATCGAAACTAAAAGCTGCAGGGCCTTCGTGTCCAGACTGTTTATTAGCAAGGCACGGTGCTTGTCCGTATGAAGGTCGGTCAGCACAGTATAATTATCATACAAAAACTTCCACGCCTTCCAGTCCATGGTTTCCGGATTGAACTTGGTCAATTGATCGGTTGTGGTCGTCATTTTCGATCTCTTATTATATAGCGCTCGCTTTCCTCTTCTCCTTTCCCGCTTAAGAGTTCAGAGAATACTACACTTCACGCCAATTGTCACGTCTTGGCACAGATGTTTATTGTGCCACTCTGGCCGGATAGATACTGAATAAGGAAATACTCGTAGTACCACATAAAATGCGTCCGCTACAGGTCAACACAGCCATGCGGGTTGCTACGTGCTAATATGGCGCGTAGCCACTACACTACACTGGTTTTTAGAGACTTTGGCATGGCAAAAGTTTCTGTAGATTTTTTTCAACGTGCTGTTATCGAAGAGCCTGATTGCTTGTAAGTTGTAAGTAATTAAGGCAACTGAATGACAAGCAGATACGGAAGTTCCGTTCGATGCATCGTTCCTGCAAATTTTATAGCGATCTTTGCTTCTCATTATTCTAACTTCAAAAATTTTTAAAATTTATTTTTCTACAGATTCGTGCGTCGAAATTCCGGTGATAATCCATTTCCGGTGGCAGAGAATCCTATGGATATGCACCTCATCGCAGCGCGCCTGCTTAGTCCCTGTGTGACTATTCTACATCCCACAAAATTTTCAATAGATTTTCTTCAAAATCGTCCCACTAAACCGGAACTCAGTGAGCTTAAAGTTCTACTCATAACCCAAGACCGGCAATTAGTTGTTCGGCCGAATACCAAAGAAGACAATCTTCCCGCTACGATCAACGGCCGTATCGTTGTTCAAGTCATCTTACAGAGCAGCCAGTTCATAGAGTTGCGGGAGGTCTACGTGGCAAACGAAGCCGAAGTGATGTACGCCGGTACCGACTGCGTCGCTATTCCTGATGAACCGATGACAGCGGAGTACCCGTTAAGTAAGACAATCACCTGCAGCTTTGACCGGAATTTCTGTGCCTGGCAGCTCTCGCCCAACGACACCCTGGGGCATGCAGCCATTGCCCGGGAGGTGACGGTTAATTACCGCGACGAAAACGCGCGGGTGCCGCTCATTGGAGAGGGCGCACTAGTCATACAAACACTTCCGGTGGACGATGATAGTACGTTTCGGTGGCACGCTGGACCATTCTTTACATCGGTGATCACACAGCGGCGACCCACGCAGCTGTTCTTTTATTACCGGGGTAATGTGCATGTTGATCGGGCTGCCATGCACGCTGAGTATGCGGAGGGTGACAGCGTCATTTTATGGAGTTTTAAGATGCGACCGCAGATGCCCTTGGCGCAACAGCGAAGCCGGTGGTTCCCTGCGCGTATTGCCTTGTGCCTGCCAGGTCGATTTCGGCTAGCGTTTTACGCACAATTTCTATCGTAAGCGTCCTACCAATATTAGACTGCTTAATTTTTTCCTAAGATTTATGAACAGCCAAAATTTTAACATAGCTCAAAAGGATTAGTCAATCAGCTCGAGCCTAAGATTTAAGGAGGGGCATGAAAAAACAGAAGTGAACTTTACTGATAGAGAAAGCAATAATTAACTTCTATGCGTACCTTAAACGTGTGAATATGGTTAACTTGTATCAAGTTGCGCAGGTATCCTAGAATGGCTTTATGGATCGACGAATTCATTGTTGAAAATGAGGCGGAAAGTATGACTACCAGCAATGAGAACGTTCCTATTTTGGACTGTCAAACAGGTCATGAATTTCCGAGCTTGACGGTTACGTGCGACTCAAGATTGGCACAAAGCGGAACGGGTAACTTCTGTGGATGGCAGTGCCTATCCGCTCCAGAATCCACTGCAGATGTCCGCTGCGGCACAGCCGAAGTCCAGAGTGAAGGTGGCTATGCACCGCTTACAGCACTGAAAATTCATGTTCTTGAAAACAGTTTCGAAACGAACCAGGAAGGAGCGCTGGAAAGCCCGTCTTTTACGGTGGTCAACGGGTCGGAGGTCCACATTTCCTTCATTGTTGTGGGCAATCCGCTTAATTTTAGCGCTGTTGTTAGTGATGTCGAGAGTGGCACACAGACGACCGAAGAATGGGTTCATATAAAAGCCTTAACATTTAACGGTCAAGACGTGATCGAATGGTCTGGTTTGGATATTCCATTACCCTCACATTTTATTGGCCGAACCGTAAAGGTACACATTGTACAGTTAACAGTCGTTCTGAGTTTGTCATTGGCACAGGATACGACCAAGCCGAGCGAAGGACTTTGAAGTTTCCGGCCAATAAGGGACCAATGTCCTATAATGAACTTAGCCCAAGCCAAATGTATCTTCGTTTATTACATAGATGCGGCTGCTTGTGGAATTCCGGTCCACATCCCGTCCAGCCTACTTCGCCATTAACAGCATCTGGTACACTGCCGAAACGGGTCAGTCGTTTCTGCTGTCGTCTTTGATTTAGCGGAAGCAGTGTTGATTGTATTTTTATAGGATATCGTATACCGAAACAAACTGACGCTCCTCCCTTGGCTGGTAGGTTTTGCTCTAGCTGCTTTCCACCCGCTCCGGAATTGGAGTGACTTGTAGAAATAATGTCCCCGCCTTCACTAACTTATCACTTGTAGAGCAGTGTGAAAGTTCCCTGTACAAGAACATCAGCTGCGATTTTTCGAACGGAAAATGCGATTGGAATACTGGGTATCCAACGAGTGACACTATCGTTGCAAAAAGATTACCGGAATGGCAACTTATCTCTGAATATCTTGTTCTGACGCATTCTGATCCAGAACTCGACAGAAGCGTAGCCGAACTGCACACGAGTTACCACAGTCCAATCGAAAGCCGTTTAAGCTTCTCGTACAGAATCACTGGTTCCGCCTTTCTTAGCGTACTGGTCCGCACGAACGGTTATGCTTTTCGACTGTGGACAGCCTCTGACGATTTGACTTCTGAAAGAAGGGAAGACTGGAAAAAGGCGCAACTGGATCTATGTATCAAATTTCCATATCAGGTGAATCTTCTCAGAATACCGATGCGCTCAGTTTTGGCAAAAATGTTAAAATTGCAGCTGATTTTGCACGCTGCGTCAATGGAGCCCGGTGCATCGGTTACGTTGGATGATATCGCCGTAGATGACGAATGCCACGTGCAGCAGCGCAACATTCACTGTCCAGTTTTACGTCTGGTTGAACCACCAATCAGCACACAATCGTCCCAAACAAAACTAAGTAAAACATAAATCATTTATCAGTACATAATGCCTTTATAAACAACACTGCTGCTTAAAAAAGGAATGGGGTGGTACGGAAATCTCAATTGCACATCGAGAGACGCTGTTTTGTGCGCTTGGCAAAACAACGATGACACACAAATACAGTGGACGATGGGTCAAAAGCGGCGACCGGATGAAAATCCTCACGCTGTCACGTTAGTATGGGACAGCTGGTCCATCAGTCTGCCATCATTCAGCTATCTCATCAGCCCTCTGCTTAGCTCTCCTGAGCAGAACTTGCGCTTGGAAGTAAGACCATAAGTATTTGTGATTCAGTGAAAGAATCGGAATTATGTGGCTCAGTAGCGACTGTGTGCATAGTTCGACATTCAGATTGCCGGACGCAGTAAAGTTTTCATGGAACTTTATTGTACCACGTCGGATGTACTGGAGACAAGACACACACTCTGGAATTCCAATGCACTCTCGGCGACTCAGCCGGCTAGGAGAAGGGTGACGGTTGCATTGCCAGCGAACGACGGTGTGCAACAACCCCGCCTCGTATTTGTCGCTGTCATCCTGGATGTCCAGGGATATATCTTTCTGAATGACATTACGATAGGATCGGCACCAGGTGCAGTACATGCTGCTTTACGTTTTATTGAACTTATTCCATTCTAATCTATACATGCTTTGAGCATGTGACTAAGGAAAGCGCAAAAGTATTTGCTATATCCAAAACAAAACATGTCGTGATTATTTTTTCTTAGTAGCTGTCTCATTGATGGATTGGTCCACAGCGTGGCATGCAAGTACGTACATATATCATGTTGCCTGAACCTGCTTCAGCCAGTTGACTTTTTAATCCTGTTCTTAATTAATGTTATCTGTGTTAATGTTAATTAATGTTCTCGTTAGGCTTTGCCGGGGTTTCAGCAGTTTTAACCATCGGGATCTTACTTGGAGTTTACCATACTTTATTAAAAAAGCGAACTGAGGTTAGAATAAAGAAGACCAGTATCATATAATTATGTGAACGCTTGGTATCTCTCTCTCAAGCAGAGGCCTGATGCGAACCTCGAACAACTTCCGGCAACTTTCTTAGAACTGCTTCCCGTGTTTGAGCTGCCCAGCTGGTGTTTGCAGCAAGGTCAGAATTATGCACAAAGCTTTTACAATGGAACAACAGTTACAGAGTTACAGTCAGAACTTTACAGATAACCAGCGTCTCGGAGCAGGACGCTTCGGCGAAGTGCGGCTATTGTGGTTGACCTCGCAATTCGGAAATCAGCCAGTCGCTGTAAAAACGCTGCAGCGACAACATAGCGAAACACATCAGGGCAGTTTTATCAACGAAATGACGATGATGATGAAAATCGGCAAGCATCGTAACGTGGTCCAGCTCATCGGGATCATAACACGAGGTTAGCAACTCTGCGTGCCTCGGAATATGAAATAAGAATGATGACCTTTAATAAATTAAGGTTTATCTATTGTAATGGAATACTGTGAATATGGATGTTTGCTCACCCATCTTCGCAAAGAAACTATGTTCCCTGTGTGTTCGGCCAAGCTGTGCAAGAACGATGATTCACCGTCATCACAAGGGGAAATCAACGAAATGACTGGTTTCGCGTACCATGTGGCACGCGGCCTGGAATTTCTCTTCAACGGGCATGTTGTGCACGGTGACCTTGCCGCTCGCAACATACTACTGGATAAAAATAAACAAGCGAAGATTGCCGACTTTGGGCATGCCCGATTTGAAACCGATGCTGATTCGTTGATGCTAGAGAATCACGTCAGTGCAGAAAAATTTGAATTAGACAAAAAACAATAATATAATATCAAAAGGTCGCCCTTGATACGGTATTAAATTTTTTATCGAACATAGCAAAAGTTTCGCTGGTAAGTAATTCCTTTGTAGACCATCGTTCCCGCGTGTTGGATGGCGCCCGAAGTGCTGATTGGGACATGGACAGTGAGCACCTGCAGAAGCGACATTTGGTCCTTCGCTGTTCTGCTGTGGGAGATTTTCACGTTAGGCGCCGATCCGCATGAACATTTTGGTATCGACGTGGACGGTATTTCGACAGGTGCATTAGCTGAATACCTGCAAGCCGGCTACCGACTGCGGCCACCTATTCTGCTTCCGGAGCAATTGTATGTCTCGGTAGCCAAATACATGTAGTCTCTCATAGCAGTTTACTTTGGCAGTTAATTAAACTAATAAGTATGTACTTATTAAATAAGGAATGCTGTATTAGTACTCATGCGATAAAGAAGATTGACTTGATGTTTGTATATTAGAAAACCCATAATCAACAGCTGCTGGGAATTTCAGCCGGAAAATCGGCCCTCTTGCCAAGAAATAATTGCTTCCCTGGCGGCGTTACTGCCACCGGAATTTATGGAAATCTACATCTCGTGCGGCGAGGAGTGCAGCACAAAGCTGTAGTTTTAACATCTCGTTAGATGTAGTTTTCTTTTTGTGCTTCTGCCGAGTATCACTGCGAATAAGCTTGACTAATGCTTTAGTTTTTACGCTTTATTTCACAGTCCGACAAACATAGGAATTAGCAAAAAACGTATTATTATACAGATACTGAAAATTATAAATGTTTTCACCTTTTCAAAATCGTAGAACCATGAGACGAAATAACCCAACGTCCCTACAAAATCATTTTCATGGTTTAAGAGTAGCACTAATTCTTGCTTCGTGCTCGCAGCGCAATGAGCTCGGCGAAATCGGCTAATAACTGCCGGCACAACCGGCTCGAATCACGGGTGAACACGACAGACGAGGGATCCTCTCCAGCCGTCACATTGCGATTTAAAGTCAGGGTATTGCCCCGACAATCCACATACAGCGGCAACGAATCGGCATCCAAACAGGAATCTTTGGAAGTTGGTTGCCCGCTCTTAGTCTTCATTGTCGCCATGTCCGTCTCATTTGTTAAACTGAAGGTCGAACTGTGATCTTCAATGTGGAAAGATGTCGGTTCGGATAATACACGTGCCGTTGCTGTTAGGTTGGGCGTGGCTTGGGTGTGGAATGGTTGAGTGCTGGTCGTCGTGGCCGGCGGTTCGGGAGGGGGTTTGGTGCGGCTTCCTGGCGGTCCTAGAGAAAAACTCTTCGTACGCTACGGAAACAGAAAAAAAACGTGTGAAAGGTGTTAGTTTATACCGGTACAGAAATCCTGGTCTTTCTGCTGCGTGGCAATATCGGTTGCTTCAGGTATGGCTGCGAAATGTTCCGGACATGTTATTCGATTGCCCTGGCAGAACAGATCCCGGTGCACGTAACCCTCCAGAGAACCACAGTAGTAGAAGTCGCCGAAATGTTCACCGGTATGACTATCTAGACAGGTATTCGTTACAATTAGCTATGACATTAATTCCATTTCGTCCATGCATTGTACCGAATAAAGCGAACGTCTAGTACACTTTGATTTGTACCTTTCACAATGGTGTAGTCCAGTACCACCTGGTGATCCCGATTCGTTCGTGCCTGAGCAGCGTTCGGCGCCGGTTTATACGAGAAGATCAGCGTGGGTTTGCTGGAGTAAGTCGATCGCAGCTGTCCAGCCGATGATGAGGCGTTGCTTAGTCGTCCGCCTGGAATAACTTTACGAAGACTTCCACCCTCGGAAATTCTAATGGTGTCGTTCTCACGGATAAAAGACTCCCTAATTAATATTCCTCACTATTCACTTAAATTCTTTTGCTTAAATTAGAATTTTTACAGCTGAAGAAGAACGATATCCGGGCTAAAACCGATATCAGGACGGAAACCAAAATCAGATATTTACAATGAATATGAAGTATTTTATCGAAGCACTCGTGCACTTACCGAATATTTATGTATATAGCGAGTTTCGTATTCGAATTGGGGAAGCATTTCATCCAGGTGATCGTTACTTTGCAGTGATCCCGGGGAATTCGCCAGAACCGTAGCTGCCCGCCATAGCCGTCTTTGAATTTTGATGCGGCATTAGGGCAGGGAATCTCCAGGGTTTGCCCACACTTGTCTTCCAGAAACGTCGTACTCTCTAGGCCACAAAATGAAAATATTCTTTTACCATGTTAGTGTGTCTGTGTCGTTTTACACAAGCGTTCTAGTGTGTCCCTGTAGAGTTACACGCACCTAAAGCGAATCCTGATGCCGAATCCTGTAGTAGCATTAAGAGAATTCCCGCGGTCAATAGCATATACAACCTAATATCCATTTCTGACCATGTAAATATGTTCAGGGAATCAGGTATATCCTGTGATATTCGCACTGTGGATTATGAAATTTTATTACCGGTCAAAAATAAATTATCAACTAAATGTTATGTGCAAGCAAACACAAGAATCTTGGCAGAACGGCAAATTCCCCGGTGCTTATTGGAGTTATTCTTGTTTCCCACAAATTTTCCATGATGCGGCAAAGACTGTAGCATGAAGCGATACACTTTGCAGCAGACGTTAATGGCAGATATAATCTGTTGTTTCATAAGCCACCAGATCGTATCGGCGGCATGCCAGTTGGAAATTGCTTCTGTTTTGAAAATTTTCCACATTAGAGTACGGTATGATGTTAAGAATCAAGATGATACGCGCTACAGTTTAATGATAGAGATTAGAGGATACCGAATCCGTGTAAAACTACATACATATGTAATTGTACACGGATTCGGTACTTGAGTAATCGTAAGCTTTGTACTGATTGTACAGTAAATCGTTGACAGCGCAACATCATTTTTTTTAAAAATGTGGTAAAATGCAGTTTAAATTCGCACTGTTGCATGTCAGAAACAGTTCAAAAACATTTTCGAGCACCGTCCTGGTTAAATTTAATTTAATACTAACATGATTTTTGCATGTGTGTATGTAACAAATTTTTAGAGAACTAAATTCAGTCCATATCAGTTTTAAAAATATTTAAAAAATTAGCATGAGTGCTGCTTTACCGAAAGTGTTTGCTTATAGATAGGGTTGAAATTTAAAGACTTTGGGGCGAAGATGAAATAATTTTAAATGGCGTTTTTTCAAAGGGTTTTAAACGCACAAACGCCCTGTTCGATTTTGAAATGATGTGATCGGAAGCAATGTGAAATTTCGAAGGTTTGGTGCCAACCGTACACAGTATTTATGCACCTCGTGCGATCTACTTAGCTTAAATGTAAACATTTCGCGTTGCAGCCGCCATGGCCGGCAAGCCAGAGATAACGCTTTACTCAACCCCGCGTTACGCAAGACGTAAGCAAATAAACCGCTAACAACAAACCGGAAACTGCTGCCAGTGCCGGATATTTTTACGAGTATTACGAGCAGTAACCATGCTGAACCGTGGCGTTTAATATAAGCACTTCACACGTTTGCTAACATGCTCCATAATGATGGTTTGTTTAAAATTTAACTCCATAACACATGTTATTAAATCATCATGTTTATGGATGCTAAAGGTTCATTAGGCCTTCGGGACCAAAAATTTAACTCGACACTTATTGAAGGTCTTAACTGGTTCTAGTGATTTCAAAAATCTAGTACGGACACGGTGAATTTTAGTATGGACTATATAGCGAAATCATGATTCCAAACAGGGATTAACCCGCACTCTGATCACTAACAGCGTCATTATTTCGCTCATCTTTTTCACACGAGATGTAGACTTCTTTGGCTTGTGACGGTAGTAGTCCTCCGGTGATTCTCAAGAGTTCCCGAAAAGATGGCCGCTGTTCAGGTTTGAACTCCCAACACATCTTCACCATCTCTTGCCTACATTCAATAATAAACCGCTCCAAAATTATAATTCTATTGGAAAAAAATGAAAGTGACCATGAAAACCTACAGTTTTTCCGGCAACAGTGTGGGTACCGGTAACCGGCATCCGGCGTTAAGGTATCCCCACAACGCCGCGCACGTAAAATCCATCGCCGCGAACATCGCTTCATACGGTTTTGCACCTAAGGAGAAGATCTCCCAGACCAGAACGCCGAACGACCATACATCGCTCTGGGATTGGCACGGATTTACGGTGGGTGCCAGAACTTCAGGAGCGACCCAGCCTGCTGGAAGCAAGCTCTACAAAACCCAGTTTAATTAAAAACTGCATGAAACTGCGCTGCTACAAGCATGCTGGTTAATTTAATTTTTTGTTGCAACACTTGAGTTCATATCTGTCTTTATACCGTCCCAGGCGAATTCGACTGAAAAACTTTGTTGGTAATCCAACGTTAAATCGAGTAACCGCATGAGTGCAGTCTGAACAGAGTCTTGTACGCTTACGTTTTCTAACAAAGCTTTCGTGTCGAAATCTCCTTCAAACTTTGCCATCCCGAAATCTGCAATTTTCGCCCGCTTAAGACTATCCAGCAGGATGTTGCGCGCGGCAAGATCACCATGCACAATGTGGCCATTCGACAAGAACTCCATTCCACGCGCGACATCGTAAGAAAAAAGGACTAATCGCACAATTTCTTTCTGTACCGCCGAACCATCATACGGATTGTTCTTCATATGTGCATTGCACGCCGGAAAATTTGAAGGATCATGGAGATGGCCCAACAGCGAACCACCCTCACAGTATTCCATGACAATCATCAGCTCTTCTAAACAGGGTAAAGTTTTTAAACGCTCAAATTATTTTTCGACCAATTGTTCGACTAACTTTGTGTTGTGATGGCCAGTAATTCGACAACATTGCGGTGTTTCCCGACTTTCATGAACACGGCCATTTCCACCAGGAACCGGTCACGGCCCACCGTTGAGTGCTGACGGTTCAAGCGCTTAATGGCCACCGGCTGATTACTAGGGTGGTATGCAGTGGGTATCCAACCAAGTTGCACGTAGCCGAAGCGCCCTTCGCCAACGTGTCTTAGCTCTGCATTTGCATTGAGAAGCACGATTAATACGGAATTAATTTTTACGATGCAGTCCTCTTGCTTACCTAACTGGACCGACCAATGCGGCTGCTCAAACCGTTGAATAATTTCCCATGGAACAAATCCCGCTAACAATTGTCGGTTAACGTCCGGAATCTGCAAGGCACTTGCAAAATCTGGATGATAAACTTACAAATAAGCTGTTATGTTGGATATTTTTTACCTTCATATGACGTCGTACAAAGATGGATAGGGCTCCCGCGACTATGCTGGCGACGAACACGCCCAACAAAACCAACGCCACTGCAACAAATCTTTCCACATTTCACAATCAAGGACCTTACCAGTGACCTGCAACTGGCATCATCACATCGACTAGTTCTCAACACAGGCATTGGTTTACCTTGGTACCACAGTAGCGGATCCGTGGAATCTGTGATTAAAATGAAGTTAGCGCTCTGCAGGCAGAACCATCAGTGAATGTTACATATGCGACAAATGTTGCAGAATATCCAGATTCCAGATAACCTGCTTCATATGGTACCTTGTGCAACACGCAAGAGGATATCATCCAGAAACACAGTGCCCCGATCATGCAGCATGGCTACAGCAAAAACCAGTTGGTTGATATTGGCAGCGTCAAGCGGCGGTAGTTCAACGCCAACAGATATCCACTGCGAATCGTCTGTCCGCGGCAGATTATCGGAATTCCAGAGAATACTATTCGGGTGCAGAGTTCCCGTTCTGGCAAAGTACAGCTCGACATATGCTGTCTCCGTGTTGACGATTCTAATGCTAAACTGTAAAGGACCGAAGTACAATAAGTATCTACAGTATTACAAAAACTACCTTTATCAGCGTATGCCAGGCAATAAGCAATGGAATGGCACTATTTACTTGTAGCAACAATTTGCGTGGAGTAGTATCACTTAGCATGTCGACTGTGGCGATGAGTTTCGGGCTGATCAAATACGAAAACGCCGGCAGCCTCATCTGCGGATCATTCCATGCCAGTTCCGCTACGTTGCGGCCTGTCTCCGCGGTGCCGAATGCGACAGCGCTCCACTGTACTTGATTATTATCGTTGTTGCGCCATCCACACAGGTCGCCGTTCTCAAATGCACAGCTGTGCTCACCGCTCCAGGATGACCCTTTTTAAGCACAAACAGTACAGCTGCACAATGTACTGGCTAAAAAAAATCCTGGGAATCTAGGTGAATTTACTGAGTTCAGTCTCCTGTGGTATTTTGCTCGTCGGAGGCCCTATTAGCTTCATGGCCGGACAGTCGATATTGTAAGTTAAAAAGTCACACTCGTTGTCCATGGTCACATCATCCAGCAAAATGGAGATGTTCTTGGTGACGGCTGACGCTCGAAATACCAACTAGGATGAAAGTATCACTAACGAAATGTGTTATCATCGCAGTGCTTGACACTGATTCACTACTACAGATAGTTTGTCATTACTGTCGTAACAGGGTAACAAACGATGCAATAAGATTAAGAAATTAAATACTATTATTTTTTTACCCATATAATAATCGGTAACACAAAGGAGGTGGTGCTGCTTAAACCATAGTATAATACTTCGTAGCCCAAGCAATCGAAGAAACCATCTTACTCTAAATGGAAATTTCATACACAAGGGAATTTCGACAGTCTTCCATGCGCTAACTTCCTGTTTTTCGGCATGAGTCGGCAATGGGAATGAGGAAGCGGGAGTCTGTCTGTCCATAGATGAATACGTCCATAAGCGGAAAACGTCATTCTGTATTTGCGCCAACAGTTCCAAAAATACCCGCCCAGTTCCCTGGGTGCGGTACGAAAAGCGCATAATCTCCGCGATTGGGCCGTGATAACTGGTATGCATTTCGCTTGTGCTTTTATCTGCAGCGGCCGACGATGCGCTGAGCACTGCATATTCCGGGCCGATTACCCATGATCTCTTCCCGCGCTCGGTGCGATGCGGACTGCTGTTTACGCTCCAGGCGCACGCGGTGTTTTGGAAATCGCATGAAATATTTTTGTAATTGGAACTGTTGCACGATTCTGCAGTAATATATGTTTCAGTTGGGTTAAAATTATCGAAGAAAACGACAGAAATAAAATCTAAGTATTACTTCACAACGAACATTTGGTACCTGGTACAGGAATCGTGTCCGTTTGCACTGGCATAGTGTGTCCTGTAACAGTAACGGTTTCATCTTGACAGACTCTCCGTATTTTTGCTCACCTTCTTCTGCAGTGTACCAGATGCTGTTTATGGCAAAGGCTGCAGTGAGATATGGAGCAGGCGTTTTTCTCGGCAGAAATTCCACAAGCAAATGCGCCTAACCAAGTAGCGACAAAAAATTCAAAATACAACCTAAATTAATTCCATTCATTCAAAAACTTCCAAAAGGTATACTATTTTCTACATTTTTTCACCTGGACAGTGCGGTCATAAAAAGCCGATGGAAAGGTCACAGTCAGTCCAAACCATTCTCGAATGTCGTTCGTAAAATTGAACACCCTTATTACCACCACTGATAAATCTTGCGCGGTGCTGTTGCTAATCGCGACGGTAACCCGGATGGGTGCTCCGATCACTGTGTAGGAAATGTGCAGCTGTGAAGCTGGCCGGACAGTCAACGGCGTACTAATTACCGTGGCACTGGTTCCGTTCGTCAGGTCTAGCGCGTTGGCTTCGATGACTAACGCCAGGAGCGGATGGTAGTCGCCAGCACTGGATGTTTCGGCTGTACTGCAACGAACCTTTTGATTCGGCTGACACTGCCACCCACAAAAATTTGTACGGGCGGTTTGCGCCGTATACGAATCACAGGTGATCGCCGTGCTTGGCTGTACTGCGGTGGGTATACAGCCAACAGGGTCAAAGGTGTCGGTCAGCGTCGTTATAGCATCAGATTCTTGTTTCAAGACCAGTTCGTCGAGCCACAACGATAATCTGGGGTTCCTGTCAATGATGCAGAAGAATGAGTAGTTTCACGAATTTGTAAATTTTGCTGTGCAGTACTAGCATTGGGGTGACATCTTCAGAAGTACCATTATTTAAAAATTTGTCTTCTTTCGATACTATAATGGTTTTGCAGTAATTATTGAACCGATAAGGCCCTTCGTTAACGATAATATCGTTAGTGAAAGCTAAAGTTTTGATAAAAATATAACGATATGCAACTTAACGTAGTTACGGAACTTTCGGCTGCATTGATTTTCCGTTAAACCCAGAGGTTCGGTCTCTTGTGTGGAAACCAAAAATCACGGTAGTTTTGGTAACGACCGTCAAACGTTGCCGATACCGAAACTGGAAAGCCGTTAAGACGGGCAAATTTACGCGGTAGTCGTCCAGACTGATTCAGGTATGCAGTGTATTATACGAGAAACAAGAACCCCGCCAGTGCGGCCACTGAGTAAAAACTTCAGCCTCAGAAAATTCTGGCATCACCGAAACTATTCGGCATCTCTCTCAAAAACAGCCTTGTTTTATCCCAGATATGGAAACTTTCCCTCGGGCGCCAACGATAACTTACATCGTGAACTGCACATAAAAAGCCAACCGGAATCGACCTGGTAAGCATAGTCCAATGCGGGCCGGTAACCACTTATAGTTCTGTGAAATCATTGGCTCCTGAGTGCGCATTTTAAAGCTCCACAGCATTACACCGCTCCCGTCAGCGTACTCCGCTCGTAACCACGCTCGATTAACGTGGTGGTCGACACGGTAATAGAAGAAGAATTCTGTCGGTTTTCGCTGAACAATCTCCGGTGAGAAAAACGGTCCGGCTTTCCACGGTCTCTCATCGTTGAACACAATCAGCTTAGCCTGAATAATCAACGCGCCCACACCGGCTACAGGAACCGGGATAAATTTTTTGTCAACATCGTCAAAAACATGCCGGCCAATGACCACCTGTCCTTCTGGGTCATCTTCCGATAATTGCCATCCACAGAAATTCCGGTCAAAACTACATGAAACCGTTGGAGACGTAGGAAACTCGGATAGCAATGGTTCGTCCGACAGCGGCGTGCAGCCCTCACTGTAAAAGATAGATTCGGCTTCGTTAGCCACGTAGATGCTGTTCAGTCGCACGGATGTACCGGGACGCAGCACCACTTGGAGGATAACGCGGATGTTATCAGCCGCCCGCAGGTTGTCGGCGTTGTTGTAAAACGGGCTTATTGAAGTGCCGGTGTTCTTTCTAATTACGATGCGTAGCTCGGTTTGGTACGTGGACAGTGCAACGTGGTAATTAATGAGTATCTTCGTGCTGTTCCGGACATTGATACAAGGACTGATCAGTGACGCCATCGTCAGATGTGCAATTGATTGGTTCTTGGCTAGCAAATACCGATGACTGTTGAAAGCGACCTCTTCTAATGCAGAATCAACGTTAACCAACCGAAACCTGCAAAGTAGTGCGATAAATCGGTAAAGCGTATGCACTGACCGCTTGGGAATCGGTTAGTTTCGGAAGAGATAAATGCTTACTGGGACGTTGCGCTCCGGTGATTGGACCAGTCGCAAAAGCCGGTCTCGAACGTACAGGAAAGTGCCGGATGCCGGCGGCCCGGTTTTCCCGGCCCCCCATCTTGTTCTCCAAAATACACGAAGTCATCCAGCGCCACGAGGCCGCCTTCCTTCTTAATATTGGCCGTGAACTGCAACCGAAAATCGTAGTCCACTATAACCGGAATTTCCACATACGCCCACGTGATATCATGCACTCCCGACTGGGGCGGGCGGCGTTCCCATATAGCTCTTGAGCTGCGCTGTTCCGTCGGATCGGTGATATTAAGGAATACTGAGTCGTAGCCTTTGCGTAACGCATACCAGAAGGCTAATGATGTATTACGGGGAAGAAATGAGGAAATGGGTGCTGAAGACAAAGTGTAGTGGCCGAGTGCGCCGTTTGTTGTGCTGACAAAACTGCCGTTGTGCTGAGGGAGAATGTTGGTGCCACCGACGAGAGCCCAGCGCAATGTGCCGGTATCCGACCAGCCGCAGAAATCCCTATCAAAGCTGCAGGTGATGATTCCAGCAGATGGGGGCTCTGCTTTGGTGAATTGGAGTAGTTCTGTTATACGGATACAGTTGCTTTTGGTATGAGACTCAACGACACCGGGAATTAATGCAACGATTGTTCTTTTTTTTATTTTGTAAGTAGACTTACCAAGTAACAGAAACAGGAGACGTAACGCTGAGGACATGTTTGTTTCTCAAGATGCTATTAATACGGATTATAAATTTAGCGTTATCCCGATTTCAGCCACTCTAAGAATTTTTTTAAAGCGAACGGCTGTTTATCAGAAGGATGTATGTAGGTACTCTATGGTAAAACCTTCCCTTGCCAAAGTCCGAAGTATTAGCTGCGCACCGGTGTGCAAATTGTGCCGTCAAAGAAGCTAGAGGATTTTCTGGAGCATCGCTAATGTATAGGCAGGCGATAATGAATCTGGGGCAACTGTCCTATATTCTGTATATGACTTTATCACCGAATTACTGAAGATTTATTAGGTTAACAACGCAGCTTATCTCTTCATATTGTTGAACTTGTAAAAGCGGTGGCGACACCATACTCATGCTGTCGGCGCCATAATGAACTCAGCCCAATAAACACAGTCATTGTCACTTCCTTGAAATTATCACCGCCTGTGTAAATATTTTTGTTTTGACCTCATTCTAATGCTGTTGAAAATGCACAAGCAATTATAATTCCGCCATGCAGGCATGCATGGCCACCACAATGTCCTTAAAAGCCGGTCGCTCCACGGACTCCCATTTCCAGCATTCAGCCACCAATGTCGACCTATCAACATAATCACTTAAGCATAACAGCATAGTGGTTTCTCAATAATTACGTACATCCAGCGTGGGCAAATAGTCGGCAGTGTCAACCGCTTGCCATCTTGAAGGAATTGGAGCAGTACGCCTAGCTGGTTCTCTAGTCCATCGGGAAAGTGTTCCGTATCCGTGTATGGCAGCTGGCCGAACGTAAAGCTCTCCCAGACGACAACACCAAACGACCACACATCGCTCTTTTCAGTGTAGCGCCCTTCCATGGAGATGAGTGTTTCCGGGGCCATCCAGCCCAATGGCAACTTTACCTAATCCAAACGACTGATAACATGATGTTTTGTCGTCAAAGCTTTTGAATATCGCTTATTACGGTCTGTACTTGCAAAGGAATTAATACTGTGGTATTACTGCTTTAGAAAAACTATTTCAGAGACAACAATTAGATTTGGACAACGGACTTACGTTGGAACGTTGTAGAATGTATTCGCTGTGCGCTCTGGCTAAGCCGAAATCACTGATTTTTGCGTTGGCATTATCGTCCAGTAATACATTGCGAGCGGCTAAATCACGGTGGAGGATATTACGACCGGACAGGAACTCCATCCCTTTAGCCACTTGGTATATTGTCCATAATAAACTTCTCAGCTCATTTTGGAACTCAGCTTCGTCTGCAGTTGGGTTGTTTGCTTTGATGTGCGCATAATTGATTTTGTCGTGTAAATAATTCAGTAGGCATCCATTTGCACAGTACTCCATTACAATCATCGGACGACCTAACAAATGATGACACTAGTAACCAACACCGGAAAACGATCTCTTTTCGAATTCTGAATTTTTTACACGGCTTGTGTTTTGACTCAAAAGCGCTAGTCAAAAGAAACTATGACGGATTAAGTTTAACCTTTGAGTATCACTCCAACCAAACTGACAGTGTTGTCGTGTCGGCCCGCCCGCATGAAGGTAGCCATTTCCGCCAAGAAACACCGCTCGTCGTCTCGTGTATGTTTGTCCATCAGAAATTTAACCGCTACCTGTGTGTGGGCATCCAGTGATCGTTTCGGATAGGCTGCTGTGACGCGTGCAAGTCCCACGCGACAAAAGCGGCTATCCATACCACTGTCCACGGCGTCCAGTGGTTTATCTACTACACAACAAGTTCTATGTTAAACAGCCTGAGGCGACGTCTGCGGTGTGCGTAGTCGTACGTAAGGTTAGTAAGTTAGCAGGTAGTTCGAATTCCTTAAGCAGAGACAATGGAACATCGCAAAAAGATATCCGCGTGTAATATTCCAGCTAAAAACTAGCAAATATTAATAATGCTTATAAAATGCCAAGTACAATGCATACCGTAAATAAACTGACCTTTGAATGCCATCGGCTGTACCAGACCACCCCGGCTAATATAAAAAGTAAGCCGAATGCACCCAAAACATTCCCGTAAACAGTTGCTGAATGCTCTGAAAAAAGGCACCTACATAACAGAGAGCCCATTTCTAATGTACACGACTGACTAACCTGATTTATCGAGATTACTATCGTCGGTCAAGAGGGCTGTGTGAAAAAGGCTTATTAAGCTTACACGTTTACGTGAATTTAATCTGTGGACTACGAAGCCATACTATCGAGGTTGTTGTCGTATAGCTGGAAATCGTCCATCTCGATGAATGAGTTATCTTCGAAAATTCGCACTTCCAGGATCATCCACAATGCCGATTCGGTGTCCGATAGATTCACCGTAACGGTTTCCCAGTTGGGAAATTCGTTAAGTTCACTGTTCCATAATCCGACCGATGAGAGAGTTGCGTTAGAAACCAAAGCTAGCTTCAGTTGAACTACTTTTCCTTCGGAAGCTCTGTACCGCAGCTGAAATGTACAACGCGGCAGTCGTGGTTTCTCTATCTCGACTCAATGACGTTCAAAAAGAGATATATTATTATATCTACTATATTTAATTTTTTTAAGCCAGTGCACTAGGATCAAAATTCTGCTATACTATATTAATGCATACTGTGCGTAATTAATTTACTCGGGAGTTCACATCTGACTCGTTAACCACATTGGAACGTGTTGGCAAAATCTTACCTGAAAATGGCAGCCTTCTTCGCAGAAAATAACCGGACTAATCAAGTAAGCGGCGACAAATACCCCTTGCACTTGGGAACAAGTGAGTATGGCTACTAAATTGCCGGTTGGAAAAGACGGCGCAATGCTCCACACGGTCGGTTCGGTATCGTTACTGATCCAACCACAGAAATCCTGTCCGTCGAACGTGCAGCTCACGTTGCCAAACAAGGACGGTGCTGGAGAACAATTATTAACTAATTTGATAACAGCTTATTGGGGGCGCATTTTTGGAAAACATTGTGGCATATTCCTTACCAAAATCGCCTTTAAAAAAGCGTTCTGTGGAGAACAGGTGTAAGTGTAGATCAAAAGACCACGACAAAGCAAAACGAAGCCACGATACTGTATATTTTTAAAAGCCGGCTTTTTGCAAAATATTATTATCTCTGTAAATAAGTAACATACTTAATAGGGGATCAGTGGCTGCCGTTGGAAAAAATGGATCCTTTGGTGCCCGCAGTTGTGCGCATACTGTATTGTGTGTAAGTAGGGCGCATTCATCGACCAGCACTATATCGTCCAAAGCGGCCACATAAAGGTCATTAGTGGTGGAAGCTTCAAACACTAACTATAACGATCCAAAATCTGGCATTAGTTTTCCAGCAAATTTGCAAATTCGAGCAACGCACCCACATGACTACACTGCACTGACCTTGAATGGTACTTTTAGGCAAAGGTCAACCTGAACATTCTGCCATTCTCTGAGCGACGGCCTACGCAATTCTGTCGAGTCCCACAGCAAGTAACGATTGGCCATACTTTCTGCATGCAGTCGTAGGTAGTTCAATCCCGGACCAAAGATGAACGCAGAGAAATTCAGTGTCGAATGAGTTGGACCGATATGTCCAGATTCCAGAAACGCCGTGCTTTTGTTCGTTGCATTCAAGGCCATAAATGTACCGCGATTCGGCATATGATTCACGTTGACCATAAATAGAGAATATTCCGCAGGATCTTCCACGGCTATCCAATTGTTTTCGATGGATTGCCAACTGCATGAATCGTTGTGTTGGAAGGTACAAGTGATGTTGCGATATTCCATGTCGTAGCAGGAAGCTGTGTATACACACACTTTCATGTAAAGCGTTATTTTAACTTTACAGACCTTGCGGCAGATTCGAGACGTTTACCATAGTTCGGCAAGCGATCTAACTGCGCATCCGGGCGAAAACCTGTCTGACGCAGATACTGTTACGTAATGGTAACCCGATGTTTTAAAGCACTATTGAGCGCAGTAAATTACCTGCATCGCCTGTGTACCAGACTTGGCTGATAGCGAAGTCTGGGGATGCATCGGCCCTTTGCCGTTTCGCTTGTACATATCCGGCCGTTGGGAAAGTTACTCTGATAACAGTCTGTCGACGATGTGACACGATTTACTATGTTAAACTGATAAGCACTTTCTTAATACACATGCACAGGAAAGGCCAAAACAGTTGTAAATCGGGTAGTTCGCATCGGTTCACTGTTCAGTGCTTTGCGAAATCCCCGCATTTTTGTGCCTCAAATTTTACACATATAGAACTTACAATTTAGAGCAATTTTATTTCCGACCAGTAGACCATTGGAACAAAACTTTGATGACAAAATCGGCGCTCAATAATAAAATCAGCTTCTCTAGTCTGCCCAAAGAAATTCGTTGTTTGCGCCGCTTGCATCGCAGTGTTTTTAACACACCTCACTGCGCTTTGCACACATAAATAATGATTCAGTAATTCGTTTGTACTTTAAGCGATATTGTCCTAAATTGTGTCCTTGATTTATTAAGCATAACACGATAATGTTAAAAAGTGAAAAGGATAGGGTTATCTACTTACCTTAGCATTGCGCGCAGTCTGATTAATGAGGACATCTTCAACAAACCATTCTATCCTTCTTGCAGCGCCATAACGCCTTACAGATAGCAGACCAACTGTTGTGTTCAAATTGGAGCCTAGCATAATTATCGTTTCAACAACGACTGGTCTCCGACGCACTAAATATCGTATTTGCAGTTCATCTCCGGCTACTATATCTCGTTCTGGGCTGATTAATTCGAAACTGGTATTCTTTTGGGTGCTGTTAACACGGTACCCCAAAGCCAGTGTGTCGTACCGATGACCGTAAAAGGTATTTACAATCGATTCGATCTGTATTATGACGCTTGGATTGCTGATTATCTCCCATCCACAGAAAAACGGCGGATCGGACATTGTGAGCATCAGATGGTCGCATGTCCACGATGTAACAGGTGATTGTGGAATATCGTCACGAATATCGGACGAATTATCGTTAATGCGCTCATTATTTAAAACCAACTCATCGATCCAACATCCATCGCTATTAAGGTTGCTTTTCCTAAAAGTATGCAGTTAAAACCTTGTATTGTTTCCTCTTCTCGTCCTTCGCAAGCGAATCAACAGGAAGTAAGCAGTGTACTTACTCGAATCGTACAGTGAATTCCAGCGTATGAGCTTCCTCCGTAGAATAACTGACTCGTACAAACAGCCACCGATTAAACCGCCATTTGGCTTCGTTATTGTAATTATATACCCAAATCGCGTTCGATGCGTTCTCAAATTTCGTGTACAGAGAAACCGATTGTACGTTAACGTAAACGCGGAAGAAGAAAAATATTTGGCTTTTTCCTGTCCCTTGAATAACCGGTGACCGTAGCGGTCCGATGATCTTGTTACTGGATGAGTTTAACATTAAGGCCACAGCTGCGCCAGTCCCTTTGTATGGTGCCGCTGTAATATAGCCGTTTGCGATAGAGAACCCACTGGGACCATCGTTTATCCAACCGCAAAAATTCCGATCAAACGAGCAGCTAACGGTCGTCGTTTGGGGATAATCGCTAAGTAACGGTTCCAGCGGATAATCCGGGCACTGATCCGATACCTTAGCCACCAGGGTTTCGTGCTGCAGTAGGAGTAAAGGCAGCCGGGCCGTAGGGGCGGAGCCAAACGGGAACGCATGTTCGATGACAATGCGCACGGCTTTGACTGGTTGGAGCTGCACGGCGGCATTATATGCCATCATTCCCACGAATTTCTCGCTGGAATTGTGGTCAAACAGTTTTACAATGAGTTTATTGCCTTCAGCTTCGGTGTGCCCGTCATAAAGAGTTGTGGGCGCAATAATGTCGATGCAGTTGCTGACCAATCGGGCCACCGACGTCAGAGGACTGGTTTCGGTCGTCGCTACCAGGTCGAATAAGCCGGTTTTTTCATATGTATGGTCCTCTGGGAAGGGCTGCCTCGTCCAACTACATATATGCAAAGATTAAGATGATAAAAGGTTTTATAAAGGACACTTCGGTGCAGTAGTGCAAAGAATCTATACGGGTTCGTGTTCAACAAAATTTTACATCGATCACAGCTAGTTATAATTTAAACTTTACAATAACCACTGTTGATTTAACATTTATGTATTGAACTAAATGCTACCTGTACCTATGTCAGTTCACGGTTGTAACAGTTAGCCGTAGATGGCAACTCATCTGCACGTAGAAAAGCGACGCAGCTGCGCCACGCTTAATAGTAAACTAGATGGTTGTTAACTGCAACAACTAGCACTACGGGCACGAGAACCAGATTGACTCGGATGAATGAATGCGTTGGTGGCTCGAATAGATGTGATCTCGAATTCAATACTTGTCGGGTTCACCAATCGATTTTAGGCAGAGCGTCTGCGTATCTGTACCTGAAAATAAGCATTCTTATAATTTTCTTTACCGTGATGACACGCTATACTGTTCGCTCCATCCGCACAACGAATGATCGAAGGTACAAGAAATTCCCGTACAGGAATCATGGCGCACCACACTATCATTTAGCTCTCCATGGTATACGAAATTCGCCAATTGTATTTCTGCTCCAAATTCATCCAGTGCAGCTAAAAAGCGCAGCGGCACACCGACTTGCAGACAAAGCGGCAGTTCCACGTGGATCCAGCGGCCGACATTATCCGCCGCTGATTCCACTTCCCATACCAGCAACACATCGTACATTTCCACGACAAACAACTGCAGCAATTCGACCCGAACATCGCTGAACCGATACCAAAAACTGAAAACGGTTGTCAAAAGGTCAGCACGCAGCAGTGGGACAGTGCCCAATCGAAGACTGCGGTTCTTGTATACAGGATGTATACCGGTATCGTTGTGACGGGCCACCAAGTACGATTGCTTCCCGGCAGTTTCCCGGTGAAAATCTCCATCGAAGTAGTTCACCCAGCCACACAAATCCGCAATAAAATCGCAGGAAATCGTTTTACTAGAGTGTTGATAAGTAGTAAACGATGTGACGATATTGTCCACGGCGAATGTGTCAACTGATCTGCCGGCCATGTAGCGAAAGATTAGCGCCGAATGTTCACTGGTGCCCGTCACTGTCAGCGCCGCTTCCGCATAATACCAGGGCACCTCCTCACTGGGGTAGTTTTTGTGAACATTATCCCGTAGCATCCACAGGGGAACTTCTTTGACATCACCATGCAAAGCGATTTCTCGAAGAACTAACAGTAATGTTCCCCAGCCTTTTGGTACATAGTACCAGAAACTGACCACCATGCTTAACGGCTGGTTTTTCCCAGCGCTTTTCAGGTTTTGGCTGGTGATATCCGTCCAAATTTCAGCGTTATCGGTACGAATTGCCTTCGGGATGTACATGAAATTTGTTCCTGAAACTAGGGCTAGTAAATCAATATCAACAATGGTTATTTTTGTGATAGCCTAATGAACTTCAATGTTATCAGCAAGAAAAACACCCTCCACACAAATTTCGTGCAATGGGTGGCACGAAATTCCTGTTCAACTGCACCGGTAAACAAAATAGTTGTATGTCCACCTAATCAAATGTTGCTTTTTACCGTTCAGAGTATGCATGCTGCTGCTGCTGGCATTATCTGCGTGCTGACTGCCCGACACGACCCACGATACATTGGAATTACTGGTAAAAACTGTCCAACCCGGACATAAACCGTTGTCAAAATCACACGAGAATTCTGTCACAATGTCCTGCTGCTGCAGTCTTGGTGTGGATGCGTACAGTGGATGCGATCCGCAAATGACGATGTACAGAATTAATGCTTCCGCCGTCAACATTCTAGACAATTTTTTGTGAATCCTGGTAAACATTTTTAGGTTTTTAGACACTGTAGAACATTGATACGAAGTACAATGCAGCTGCGTACGTAGCACTTAATTGTTTGATATAATTTATTGCAACACTAATTTTTCTTGTTTTGATTACATATTTCCTTGAGTCCTGGCCACTGTTTACTGTTTACACTGTTATCATAATGCCATGCGGTAACACTGCCCTAGTTAATTGCTAGTGTTTATTTACTCGGCGTCGTAAACGCGTGCGTAGAATTATCTTGGCCAAAACTGGAGCGCGCCACGGCAACTACAAAGCGAACTAGCGGCACCAAAGCTAGGTCGTTGTGTCTGGAGTTCGAGCAATTTTTAAATAAATGTTGAGTACACTTGATTTTGTACCAATACTTCAAAATTAACATGCTCTCACAAGCCGTGGTGACTCAATACCGAGACGTCGCAGCACACGTGCAGTTAATGCAAAAGTCCTGTTAACTGTAAATTCCATTCCGAAATTTACGGCATTAATATCCCCAACCGCGATACCGCCTGCCTTAAAAATGCAGTTAACGTCGTTTAGGGCGAAATGCGGACATGCCTAGGCCTCGTATAACCTGCTAGTGAAGCCATCAACGCTTTTTGCCTTTTTGTAAGGTTTCGTCCAGCAGTTTTCTCATTTCTGACAGAATTAGGATTATAATTTAAAAGATTTTATCAGATCATCAAACAGTGTTCGTAAGTTCTAGCATATTTAATGGCGGACGTAGTTGCGATCACTAGACATTACGAACAGTTGCAGATGCACCGTCCTTCTGCCTCTACATAAGTAGATTCGCTTGGAATCGTGGCCTTTGTATAGTACAGTATCAGTACTTCGACATTCTCAATAGTTTAATCAACTGATTCAATTTCGCCGTATAAAACAACATATTAGGTAACCACAATACACCTCAAGTTTCCCCGCACAGTGCATCAGAGCCCGTGCAATGCACTGCACCACAAATTCTATCAGTTGGTCAAGTGATTATCATGTGGATTTATACAGCGAAATTCATTAAAATAATCAGAATGCCGAAGTATGTATAAAAATCACTGTAGAATCTTTAGACAATCAAACCTTTTTATTTATGTTTACTCAGCGACATAACAGCCAGTCAGTCCACTACGGCCAGTATTGCACAATCAAGACTTAAAAACCAACCAAAATCACTATTATCAACAACTTTAGACTATTTTACAAGGAAGCCGGCAAGCCGTTATGGTAGGCGAGCCTCTACTCGAGTACTGCGAGCTCATTAATTTTATCCACTCCTGGTATGGATAATTACTGTACAAGAATGGCATTTGACGTCAGTTAACCAGTGTGATAATGTTGAACGGGAGGGATGCGGATTTTCCGGCTGGGAAGGAATGAAAAGAGCTACCAGGCTGTTTATAATAACACCTCATGGGCAGATTATCGCTTGGCGGGAAAAATACCGTGGCTACACATTTGTACATACTGGACCCAGAGAAGAGGCTTGCGATTTCTAACGCTTGGAATATTTAGCCAAGTAAGCTGCTCTTCCGGACCGGCGTACTTGACGTTGGCACATCGTAAATAGCAAGCGGCAAGTAACCGAAACTGTAGATTGTTCTGCCCATCCAAGACACAAAAGGTACCGATTTCTTTGATTATCGGGTTTTCCTGGTAGAAAAGGTCGGCTTTCCGCTAAGTCAACTAATTTGTTTTTCCACCTTTACCGCAATAACCACTCACACATGAGATTTCTCCAGTGAGCGCATAATCTGCTGCATATAATTTGCTTTTTATAAGTCACCCGTTGTCAGAATGTTTCCAGGACATCATGCTACATTGTTTAACAAGAAAACACCGATAATGCCCATTTTAGCGGGGCACGGATATAGCGGGTTCAATAAAATCCAGGAACTTTTTACAGAAACTTGGCAGTTATAATGGAAGGAAGACGTTTGTCCGCGTACTGCCAAGAAGATTCCAAGGGTTTAGGATCATTTAGCAGCCATGCTGATCTGAAGTCGGAACTACAGTTTTTTCTACAGTACTTCTCCAATCCCGTTTCTACAGTACTCTAAAGTAACTATTATTTTTCATCATTATTTTAAAGCTCAGCACAAGTCTTTCGGCAGTTTTTCTAAGCGATTCAGCAAGCTGTACTTATCATGATCGAGGCAGTCAACAATACATCTGCCGTCGCCGTAATTCCGGTATGGATGCAATACCACATGCAAATCAAAATCTGGTACGTTTTCATGATGTCCTTCATAATAATCGGGACGATATCCAGTACGCTCCTCATAATCTGCATCCTGACTTCCCGTGTATGCTCCAAATCTCGAGCGCTCCTACTGAGCCTCCTTGTAGCCGTGACCTTGCAGTGTGGACTGGGTATCCCCCTAATGGCTACCGCCAGCGAAGGAACCCCGTTCAACCGGCCCATAAGCGATCGGTTTTGCCAATGGGCGTTCTGTATCTTCCTGTGTTTAACATCCTGGATCGACTGGGCTGACTGCATGATCGCCGTTAACCGTTTCATCGCCATTTGTTTCCCCCATTTATATCCAACATTTACCAGAAAATCCGCATTATACACCATGAGCATTCTGCCGGTATTGGTCGGATTCACTCTGACCGGGATGCAGATGGCGCAACTGGCGGGCGTCGTGAAGCGGCTGACAGTGTGGCGTTCCTGCAATATTGTTTACAACAGTCCAGTTTGGTCCGGAATGTATACGATTATTCCGTTTGTCATACCCATCGGAGTGTCGTGCCTGTGTTATTTATGTGTTTTCCTGATGATTGTTTGGCGACGCTGTGGAGCCGGTGCGCCGCTGGATGAAAATATCCCGGGAGGACATCGACAACGACGGCGTTATCGCAGCGTGTACATCTTCTTTGCCGCGTTCGTATCTTACAGCAGTTGTATTTTACCGGGACCAGTCATTGCGTTCTTGTTTAGTCGGTTGCTATCCGAACCGTTTCTGCAGCTAACGCTTCGCGTGGTTGGGCTCGCTGGCTTTGCCTCGATTTCGGTATGCGGCATCCCGCATGCTTAATTACTACCCGTAGTACTTACGTTTTAGCACGTGGAGAGTGACTCGGCAAATTCGTGTACGGAAACTTTCGCTTTCGCGCACTAGAAAAAACACTTATTGGCATTTTTTATGGTATTCTGTAGCCACATGATTCGTGCATTTACGTTAAAAGTGTCTGCGCCCGCGTATCCGGCAGGAGATATAGATGGGTGGATGGTGGACGTTCTATGAAATCGCAGCCACTTTCCTGCCGGTTACATGCACGCAGCATCCGGTTTGGGAGTTATGGCAGTAAGAAAATTTCAAAAAGGTTTAATCCAACCGGGTCGTATCTCTTTATGGACTGATCTTCATGAATGGCGTTCGGCACCGAATCAGAGTTTCAACATTTGTTTTTCAATTTTAAAATGAATTTTAATTTTTTAAGTCCCTTTCGTATTTCCAAAATAATGGGAGAGGTTTTGATGGATGTAAAAACCGTCCTCATACTTATGTGCGCAAACGTGCAGAGATTGAAGAGACTGGCGAATCACAGACTTTTAGTAAGAAGCACACCCGCAGCGATTTAACTTTGTGCAACCTTGATTTCGCCCATAACTCCCACGCACAAGCGGCTTTCACGTACGCCAATGTGTACAAACCATTTGGTTACCGAATATCATAAACTGCTGAAAAAAATAGTCGGAGAGTGCCCGAAGACGGAAGTTCCCGGCATGTTGACGAGTTTATCATGTTGTAGCCGGTCACTTCTCAACACCCTAGTGCTTTTCCTTTCTCAGGTTGTATATTTTATGCTTCGGATTGATTATCAGCAGCAGCTATGGCAGTTAGGTAAGAAACTGAGAGTCCGAATGCTGTCGCTGGTTAGATCTTTCGCTCGCATCGATCCAGCCCGAGATTCTTCGTTGGATCGCGCGGTTAATGTCGCATCCTCTAGTGTTCAAGGCACCGACAGATCAAGATCAGGTTGGTGACTTCATAAGCCACTAACTGCTAATATTTACAGTTTCTGGGCTCTTTTACAACCGTGTGTCGTAGGAGGGTAGTATGACAGACCACTAGAACTATACGAGTAGCTTAGAAATGGAATACTACAGTGCTATTCATTTTTTAGATATAATGCAAATGCGCACGGGGAAAAACATTCCCGAACGGCGGCACCAAGGCAGTGGTCCCCATGCTAATAAATTATTGTACGTGTGCTAACATTATTCCCGATAGCGGATTCCATGTTGGCCATTTATCCTTGTGACCGCCTGTTTTCTTTGCTCCTCGATAGAAAGAGAATTACTCATAATGCTTATGCAGAGACGTGTATAACAATACGATCAGCGGACAACCGCTTAAAACTCCCCTGTATAATGCTTAAAAGTGTAATGTTGCACCTTTAAGTGGGTGTTGCATTTTGTTGAACTTAATAGATTACAGTCCATGGGATTTCTGTGGATATGTAACTAATGATGATCGTCGCAAAAGCTAGACATAAAGTGCTGTAGTCAATAATCGGCCAGATCTCATGTCCATTACGCGATATTTGTTTGGAGTTACGTATTTTATTAATATTGTCGAATTTATCAGTTGTGTATGGGATAAAAGTAGTCCTACATCAAAATATTCGTATAACAATAAAAGTATTTTCAGCTGAGCGGTGTGCTGCGCGGCACTACTAACCTTCAATTACCGATTTGGAGCCGCCCGCCCCGAAATAAACTCGGGTTACCCCGAAACTCGGGTTATAGAAATAAACTCGGGTTACCCCAAAAACTATCGAGCATTTGAAAGAGATTAATTTATGGTAGCGGCAAGTCTATTTTCTATGTTACAGTACACGGAATTTTCCTGATTTCCGAAAGCGCAGTCTACAAATATAAGGTACCCTAATAAGCGTCTCCTGTATTAGAGGCGTTCCTTTCCGCGCCCTGTGTATTATAAACACCCTTTTTAATTTGAGATAATACACAGTAGTATTATAAATATAGCCTCGAACTTTCCTATATTTGTTCTGGGAACGATTTTGGAACAGACCTCTCAGAAAAACTTTGCACTGATGCGTTTTAAAGCAAATCAACCCTCGGGTATAACGTATATTATTTTTGTCGCTCTATAGGAGTAGTAAACAGTTTAAACTGGTAGTTGTTGCGGTAGATATTATTTATCATGATAACTCTCGTGTTAGGCCATTTGTTAATTTTACCGGTGTTTTGAAATATTAAGTCTGTATGTACAGCTTATCGAACGCCATTGCGAATTTATCGCAGTTGAAAATATATACTATATTCAAAAACCAAACCAAATATTATACAATCGCACTTGAAAGAACTTTGTAAAATTACACATATACAGAGCGGATTAACAGGATAGTGGTTTTATTTAGCCAACAGCATCAGCTGTTGATACTCAAAGATTTGATGGAGTAGCGGTGATAAGCATCCCGGCACTGACCACTTACTGCAACCGGCATACATTATATTATGTAATTGTACCGTACTTGCTGCTGATCCACGGCTGCACAAGCAGACACTAGACGATCAAGCCGTCGGCGGCGGCGTAATCACCCGCGGACAGCAGGATGATGGCCATGGCCTGATAGCATAATCTATTCTAGTCAGATCAGCCATCTCGTGAACCTTCTCCAGTAATCTCTCGAACTGTCCTCCCGATTTAATCGTTACGCTACCGGCTGCGTAAACGCCCGCTTTGTGGCCCAGGTATGGCAGACAACGGCCGGTTGTCATAGTATACTGCGCATATTTGGACGGTTCCAAGATTGAGGAATTTGATAAAACCGGCCACTGCAGGAACTCGAATTTCGACTCAATCAGTTTTGGACATTCTCCTCATTTCTGACACACAGTACGTCACACGCAGTCAAACGATTGTACAAATTATTTTCTGGAAGGCGGAATTTTTTTCATGTATTAATCAGTTTTTATATATACGGTAGCGGCTGTATACAGCACATGGGGAGATACAGAGTAACACAGTGATAACAATTTTGCCCCGTTTGGCATAAAATCTCCGTTAGATTTTGCTATATAATATTTTCTGTTTAGCCTACTAAATTTTATGCTGTTAATTTTTCGACTTATCTGACTATGCCTGTCACCCCGATCCGTGGTAAAATGCCTGATATGGCAAGTATAGCGACCATTTTGGGAGGACATTTCGACCAGGACACGGTAAACCGGTAATATTGCAAAACAAAAAGGTTTAATTATGCAAAGCGTGACAATAAACTGTCACATTTGGATATAACATAAATGAAGATTAGTTTGATGTAATTTTATAAAGGCAATTTCTGGAATAATATCAATGTTATTGGTAGATTAACTGGCTTTTATTCAACTTTAAATTCGATCCCCATCGGAAAGCGACGATGCCGCGAAATTTTCTGTACCACCAATATGAAGGTTTTTGCCAAATTCAAGGAAAACCGCCCATGAACCGATCATCCTTAGGCAAAACCGTGATGGCGTTGTTTCCCGGTCTGCAGGCTCGCCGATTCGGCCACCGGTAATTCCTTATTATTACTGTCTTATTATTCGTATTTTTACTTGCTGATATTAATTGCTAACGCAACTACCACCAATTAATTAATGCTCTAGTAACAATTAAAAAATAAATTTCATTTACTAGCCGCAAGGAAAATTGAAAAATGGTAAAATGTCAATTTACAGCGGCAAATGTATTTACCATTATACCGGGTTGGCGGTAAATCCTAACGGAAAATTTGGCGGGATGTTGCAAAAAGATTCTGACGACGAGCCGGCACCTGAACCGGTAGCCTTTCGCCAGAAACGAGCAAGGTTAGCCAGACACTGGCATCGTCTTCAGGTTATAGTAATTTTATTTATAAATTATGTTCAATAAATACCTGCAATTTTTATGTTAGTGTCCCAACTATTATTCAAACCAAGAAGCGGAAAGCCCCTTCAGCGACGGTGGCACCATCTGTTCAGGAACCTCTGCAACGGTACAGCAACATGGAGCCGGAAAAGCGGTGGGCCTTAGCGCAACAACAGTTGAAAAAGCTGCTGCGCCCGCACTGCAATCGCCGGCTCATTCCGCTACAGCTGCAGCATGGAAACCTAATGGACACCGTGTATACTTTGACATGGAATCACGGCGCACTGCCTTATGGACTACATCCAGAGGATATTTTTGCCGTTCTCCGCGATTTCCGTGTTCACATCGGGGTAAAAAAAACGACTCACTTAAAAATTTTTGTCGAATATTCACGGATAATTATTTGTTCAATAAAGTTAAGTCATAAGAGCCCTTAAAAGGTCAACCGGTTGACCAAGTCGTAAGTTCATAACAGTATTTTTGGTGTTTATTTCGTGGGACCGCTCGTTGCAATCGTCCTTAACATTTTCGTGTTATGAGCGTAGCTGTAAGATACCTACAGTTTTTGTTCGCAAATTGCTGTTCCTAATTTCGTACGTGATGTTACACATTTATTTGAAACAATGAAACAGTATCAAAATGATGATTATTTTTCAGCTGTTAGGCCACTCTATTGCTAATGGCATATTACTGGCTATCCCCGAAATTCTGGGGAATTTCTATCTCTGGCATAATCGAAGGTAATATTAATAATATAATATTGTTAACCGAATAATATCGAATGAAGAATTTTAACTAACCTTAGCCATGTTTTCATTTTGTGCGGCATTTAGCTTACAGATTCCAGCAACCTCCCAACCGGAAAAATTCCATCTGGCTTTGCAGTGGCAGCCACTGACCGAGGTCATCGGTCAGTGTCTGGTTGACCTGTACGGGTCGCTAACCCAACAACTTCTGCCATCGATGGACGAGCCGCTTAACGGTAAGCTCAGAACCGCTAATAACGCTGAGGCAAGTAAGAACACAATTTCATAGTCACGATGTACGTATTTTTGTTCGATGCATTCTCTTACCCGTAAATTAAACCTTATAACGGCTTGCTTACAGAACGAACACTGCAGTTTGTGTATGAATTCGCCAGCAAATATGCTGAATGGGTAAAGGCGGTCGCGAGCCAGCTGTCTGTCCAGATGCAAGTGGTCTTGGTGAGTTCGCTAGTAAAATTGTAGTACAGAGGACAGGCAGTACTCTGTAGTTTGTTGACGGATCGGCATTCGTATTTCGCACCAAGTGAAATGCAACAACCTCTTCTTGGCTGAAGAACTGATCAGACAAACTATAAGAATTATAGTAGCTAGACATTAACGTATGCCGATTTTTCATAGAATGCTGCGGCCATAACGTTTTGTCAAACGTTGAAGCAGTTGACTGCCATCAACAGGACATTGGGGATTACTCAAGAAGTCAAAACTGACCCGGACGTGATCCACAAGGAATTCCAGGCTATTTGCGAGCGCTTTATCCTGGTAAACATTCTCCACTTTTTGTTTCTGATCTTACTTTAACAGTGATACGCGCACTTCTACTCAGTCTTTTACGGGTAGTTGCCAAAAGATTAGGTATATTGAAGTTTGTTTCGGTGACCAGTGTAATGAAGCGGAGGTATTACGGTTCTTTAACTATGTTGTTCATCATGGTTTGACTGCCTGTTTTGACCAGCTCCCTGCTCTTACACGTAATTGACGTAATATGACGAGTTTTATATCCTTCTTACGGTAACGGGAAATCTAAACTAACCATAAGCCCATGATCCGGTGAATTTACATTCTACACACATTCTCAATCTGCACAGCTAGAAGCCTATCAAAAGGCCGAATCAGCAATTTTTGTTGAGTGCTTCAAGCACCATAGCTGCTACTTTCTAGTACTGTTATTACAAGTTCGACAGAAAACAAATTTTGTTAGCTGGTATTATCTCTTAGGTAAAATATATTTCACCTTCTCCACAGATCTCCAATGTAACCCACCCGCCGGCCAGCATTCTTATTGCACTCCATAATTTAGCCATCATGGGACCGCTGGCCAACAGCGTTGCCCTCGTGACGCGATGGCGCGGCTGGCTAAACAACACCATCGCCTTCACCCTAGAACAGGCCGAGCAGTCTGCGGCTGACGTATCCCCGGTGGAGGTCGTCTCGCTCAAAGAAGCCACGCTGTCTGGTTTGCGGGAAATCTGGATGGGATTCCTGTAGGGCTTCGATCGGCTTGAATTGTCTTCACCGTCTTTCAATTGACTAACGGCTGTTTTATCGTTAGAACGGAAATTCAGAAACTTGCCGACAGATCAGCGAAGGATTGCTCTTCACCGTTGTCGCGCATTCTCGACTATTTTCTGCAGTACACCAACTATATTATGGACCATTTTATGGCCAATTTGCACGGGACGAGCTTGCTGCAGCACGGTTACGAGGTAAAGGTTAAAAAAAGAAGAAGAAAACTCAAAATAAAACCTTTTGTAATGTTTACCTGTTTTAGACAAGCAAAGGTGTTCTGGAAAGCACGGATTACCTTCATTTGCCGGCAATGCCTATATACGACATTAGCTTCTTTTCCCGGCGTTTGATTGATCACACACACGTCAGCGTGTACGATGTCCAGTATTACAGCCAGTTTACGGAGCTGCGTCGACTGATTTATGCGCCCGACGGCATGAACGACCGTGATTAGAATTATTTTCCAAGTGGAATAATTATATAAACTAAATATGCAATTATGTATAATTATGCGTGTTAATTTTGAAATCCTGCTTGTATTTAACTGGAAGGATGACGGTGGACGTATGAAAGTCTGATTTAGAAGTGATTCCCTGTAAGCATCGATCCTCCTTATCGAATTGTTTTTTTATTAATTTTTCTGCTTCGTGTTATCGTTTGTTTGAAATATACTTGTTTAACACCCATTTTTCAATTAAACAGCCCTCAGTTATTTCGGGTAAACATAGTGCTATAAACATGTACCGTATACATAGGGTAGAGATTAAATTGAAATGCTCAATACTCAACAGTTAATTTCCTTTCTGTATTACAGGAAGAGTCATCAACAGATCATTTTTGGGAACAATATTTTTGCAGTACTCTTTAACGCTGCATGTGCAACAATCTTTTCTGTACCAGACAGTACTGAGTTTCCAACGCTTATACAAAAATTTATTGTGTTACATAAAAATTAAAAAAACTGATACAGTTTTTCATTGAACTGACTCCGGGTTAACCCGTAGGTCAATTATTGTAATGGGGGCCGCAGTACACATCGGGATAATACCACTGATAATAGCACGGCGGCTTATTGGGATATTTCTGGGGTATGATAGCCGCACGCCGCAGGCGGTTGGCATTCACAGCATCTCTTTGCCATCCCGGATTTCCGTTAAATAACAACGGTGACCTTTGCATACGGAAGGAGCTGAAATCGGCGGTGGCAATGGTGATCTGTAATTAATAAAAGCCACTGATAATTGTGCAGTTCAGCAGAGAACCTGGTCGCTGCATATGCCCTTGCCGGTAAGGATCACTTACCAAGGCCAAAAGAACCATTGTGCTGAAAACTGCACATCTGACTTTCATCTGAAAAATAAATGAAACTTCTCTGAAAAATCCTGTTGTTTTTGATCGGCAAAATAAATAGATTTATTTGTTACTTATTGTAAGATTGGAAATTAGGTGAAATACTGCACACAAAGGAGCAAATAAAAAAGGGTCACGAAAATGTAGGCATAGGATATGATAACAATATTCAGAGCTGTTAAATTATTTAACAGTTTCAAATTAACATGAATTCTGGAAAGTAAAACTTCACGTTGCTGACGTTATAAATACAAAATAAGATTAAACGACATAAAAACATACCAGAAACGACATCAAAACGTACCTTTAATTTTTAAATGACCAGAAACGACATAAAAACATACCTTTAATTTTTTGCGACTTATCGCACGATTGGCTGGGAATAAAACAATTAATTCTGATCCGATTAAATCTTTTAATACGTTCTACCTATCACGACATTTAATATGAAATGAGTATTCAGTACTTATATCAGCAAACATATAGAAAAACTGCCCAGACGGAGCCCAGACGTGTTTTTAAACAGTTGCCCAGAAACTGGTTAAAATTACTTATCAAATCAATGAGTGTTTTTATTTTTAAACTGCTACAATAAAATAATAAGTCAATCATTTGTGCGCATATTAAAAGCGACTGTACGGGTATATGTAGAGGAATTTTATGAAGTCACTGTGTACCCACGTTATCGCTACGATTTTGCCCGGAAATATTTCTTTCGTAGTATCTGGAGTACTACTTTAATATGTAGTACTCCAGATACTTTCCATTTTATTATTCAGCAGTAATATCGCTGAACAGTTCTCAAGCAAACAACAACAGACAAATAAACTGACAATAGTGTACTGTATTCATAGAACAGCGTGCTGCGTGCATCCAACGCAGTGCCAACCCACACAACAACACGGCAATCAGAAACCGTGGGTTTATTTAGGTAAATATTTGTTATGGAACAAGTTTAATTCGTACAGATACAACAGGCATGTATCGTTCAGTTGCATTTTCCTTGTAAATACAAGTAGTAGTAGCAAGGCGGAGGGGTGGGACCCGGATGCGGGCGGCCATGGGGTGGAGGGGGCGGTGGCCGCCGTACGGCGCGGTTGAGAAACAGCGGTAGATACGATAGCATTTGTCCACTGTCATCCTGACCAATGAGAACGTTTGCTCCGGCTTGCAGGCAGCTAGTCGCCTGCAAACGTTTCTGTAGCATTATACGTACATATCTACATATATATACAAGTACAACAAAAACTAAGTACTAGCGCTCTAGCAAGTAAAATGTACGTAAATACTAACGAAGTTTAGGGAATTGGCATAATATAATGACCATCCTATGTACCATTTAGTTTTACTTTAACTTTAAGTAGAGCATTTAATTGGCAAATTAGTAAAGTTTATTATTTATTCGTACTTAATTCGACCAGAAATACGTCAACAGAGGCATTCGATACGAATCGATTGTCCTTACCAGTAGTACAAGTATGACAGCAGTGGGTAATACATGATACAGTCCCATTTTTTTCTGCAGCTAGCACAAAATAAAGAGTTCTTCTGTAGTACGACGGTCGCAAGATAAGCGATGTGTTTTGTGAAATTTTACCACCCAACGAAAAAAAGTACTTCTTAGTTAATCAGTTCCCTTTATTACGGTAACAGGTAAGGCATAGGTTATCGTTGCTAGCTGATACTGTGGATTAATCGAGTTTTCCTTCTTTTCCGGAAAAAGTGGTATGCGTGTTTCGAATTTAAATACTTATATGCGATGACATTTTGTTTTCTAGCTGATATAACTTTGTTGTTGAACACGAGAAATTTCCCAATCATAACCCCCAATGTGCAAACACTAAAGGAAACACATATACTGCAAGATAAACAAAAGCAAATGCCTGAGAACACTGCGTGATGGCATGTGCCCAAATAATAATGCATTACGTCCATTACGGCCAAAATTCGATACCTGTACTTACCTTACTCATTCAACAACTTCGTTTGTATATCTATACAAATTACAATAATACAAAGTTACAAACGATGCAATACTTTGCAAGAGGACCTCACAATTTTGGAATATGAGCTCTGCATCGCATTTGCTGCACTGCATAACAGTATTTCCAAACTGAAGCAACCTTCATGTATAAAGAAACAACGTCAGTTCTCGACTAGTATCATCTGTCTTCTTCGTCTGTAACGCTTGAAAGAGACAACGGTAAGCGCCCGGATGGATTGACACTGGTGCCGGTTCGAGAGGGAAAGCAGCTTGTATGGGACGCCACCTTTGCGGACACGTTAGCTCAGTCGTACCTTAAACGGTCTGCAAAGGCAGCGGGTGCAGCGGCACACCAAGCAGAATGCCGGAAACGATACAGTTATCGAGATCTGGGGGAACAGTATTGGTTTTACCCTTTTGCCGTGGAAACCCTTGGAGTGACCGGCGAAGCAGCCAGAGAAATGGTCAGCTTCTTTGGACGGAAATCAAGGAGAGATCCGGAGAAGGCAGATCCACGGCTTTTTTAAAGCAGCGCATTAGCCTTGCAATTATTAAAGGCAACGCGGCCGCGGGTTTTAGGAACTTTACCGAGAAAGAATAAAGTTGTTGATAATAGTGATTTTGGTTGTTTTTTTAATTCTTGATTGTGCAATAATGGCCGTAGTGGAATGACTGACTTTTATGTCGCTGAGTAAACGTAAATAAAAAGCCGTTCAATCTTGAAAGAACAAACAAATACATACAAGTACCAAGCTGTTTCTTTGGAGCATCTGGTATCATCGTTCCCCAGTCGTTCAGAATCTGCTTTACACCACATCGTAGCCCATCGTAATAACATGCCCAACTAAATAAATAACAGTACAAGCAGGTTATAATTTTTATGTACGACGGTACACCAATCGAACCATAATTTAACACAGATTGCAATTAGTCGTGATAGCTCTCTTCCACATCGAGATGCGCGGCGGCCTCAATGGCCTCCAGCGTCATGAGATCCTGTTCGGTCAGCAGCGAATCACGGACATGGAATACCGGAAAACTGTGCGTCCCGTCGGCCTCCACGTACTGCTCCACGGAGGTGCCCTCCTCCATACTGACCGGCACCACGGCGTCCGTGTACGGTGGGGCGTCCGTGGACGGCATGGCCACCGGTACGACGGCCGCGTCCAGCTGGAAGTTGTGCGATAAGGTCGGGAACGCCGGCTGCTGACGTCGTCCGAAATGGGGTAGATAGATCAGCGGGCGCAGCTCGTCAAAGTTGCCGTAGTAGTGGAAGTCGTACACGTTGATGTTCAGGGTGTGGATCAAGCGCTGCGCGAAGAAGCTGATGTCGTAGTGGGGCGCGGCCGCCGTGTGGAGGTAGTCGGTGGTCTGCAGGACGTGTTTGCACATCTAGCAGGACATGGGATGCCGTTGAAGTGTCAGCAACACGATAATTTAGTACCATACAGTTCTTCTGTTTATGTATTCTCACAATTGCACATACTCGTATGAGTCGTATGGTAAAAATAGTAGATGATGCTAACTAATCGTAGTTTAAAGTGAAAGGTACAGTATGTACTACTTTTAACAAGGCACCGGCAAGAAAAAAAGAGTATGAAAATTATAAACGGAATTCTGCTGATAACCGATACTTCTACATCAGGAACTTCATTTTGTTCATATTATTTTTACGACGGTTCATCTCGCTCCCTCTCGCACAGCGGAAGGTGGAGGGGAGTTCAGTCATGGTCGTTCGCGTAAATGAAGGCACAACGAGTAGTACTAATTGATTACCTGATAGCCGTATTGCAATAAGGTCATTCGGTGTAAGTTGGCCTGGAAATTATCCAATGCATAATTCGCATAGTGGATGTAGTAACTGAGAACGTAAGTCAGCGGCGTGGAGTAATCGCGGCCCGATCGCTCCACGTTCTTCTGCATCTCGGTTCTAACAAACAACAGCATTAAACAAAAATTATAAAAATTGCTACAACATAACAAAACAATAAGAAACTGTCAAAGAAAGAAAAATATTTTCCATAATACTGTTACGTACAACAGACCCATCCAGATTTGTCGAAGATCGGACAGGGCCGCTTCCTTAACCAGCATAGCCTCCCCGTCCGACAGACCAGCTGCCGCCTGTTGCGCCTGCTCCACTTTAATGGAGATCATGTTGTGAGTCCAGCCGCGCCAGCGCTGCAGCATGGAATCATGGCCCACGATGGATTCCATGATGGTCAGATTGTGGATGGCACTGATCAGTTGCTCGCGCGGTTGGCTCACGTTGGCAATCTACCAAGCAATTCCCAATCATAACACTTCAAAATAAAATTTTCAAATATGTACTCGTTAAAGGCTTTTAGGTGCACTGCGCACCCGTTATGGGCCCACAGCCGGCTAATAAGCATGAAAAAGCGCATCCACTAAACTTGTACCCGAAGAAGTTGACATTGCTAACTGGTAAATGCTGGATAGCATGTCAAACATCGTGGAATATCAAGCAGCTTGTTTCGTAGATCATTAAAAATTTAAGTCTTATTGAAAGGAGGTGTGATAAAGCGTTAGCGTTGCTGCTGTATAATAATAATCGTACCAGGATGAAGCGGTCGGAAAGCGCGCGAAACCCTTCGCTGATCATGTTGGCTTTGGATCGGTCTCGTTCCACTAAGTCCACCATGCTAAGGGCACTGTTTAGCGCAATCATCTGTTTTAGTGTTTGGCAGAAGGTAACAGCAGCGGCGTTCTGCATAACACATCGCAACTTGCTATCAGGTGGACATAACTGAACTGTCTGAACATAATATTAATTCGGTTTTTACAATTTAACCGCGGGCGTAAAAGGCACCGGGTGTTCTAGGAGAACCAGCTAAAGCCGTAATGCCCGCTCTATTGGCACTAGACAAGAACTTGTTCAGATGAACGTAAAAACTGTAAAAAAGGGCATAACAACAGTAGAACAAGGGAAAGCAGTACTCACGAGCACTACTTGAATCTCGAACGACAGATGACTGGCGGTTGCTTTCACCCACTGAGCATATTTGCTGGCGAATTCAAACAGGAATTCCAGAGTTTGACCTGCATTGAACAAAAAAACAATTTGTACTGTAGGTGTGTAAGAAAATAATGATACCATTTCCTTGGAAATTAATTTAATCGACGCGTGGATGATCCGAAAAATTTCTCTGATAAAACCTAAATAAGTTGAATTACCACAGTTTTAAAAAGACGTCAGCAGTCTTTTTAAAACTGTAGTAATTGAATGGTTGGCCATGCTTAGGGTGTAAAAATTAGTTAGAATGCCAAAGCCTCGTTAAAAAATGAACAAAGGATTTCGTCACAGACAAGTAAAGCCAGCGTTGAAATACCGTTAAGAGGTTTGTCCATTTTTGGCAGAATCTGTTCGATGACAGAACCGTACAGTTCCACCAGACAGTGTCCAAAGCATTCCACCAGCGGCTGCCACTGTAGTGCCAAGTCAAACTTTTGCACGTCAAATTTTTCCGGAATCTGCAGGCTAGGAACGTACCAACATCGTTATTAGCATACTATGATTCGCCAAATCGGAAATGCTACCGTAATATGCTGGTGGTTACCTGGTAATGTGCGTCATCCAGTAATTCTCCAAAATACTCGGTATAGCCAGCAACACGCCGCTTATCATGGAGTGACCTAAAAGCTACAAAAGCAACAAACCAGTATTAAATGGTACATCGTCCAACAAGAACCGGTACTATGTACCGGGTTATTTCCCGTAATATTGAGATTAAGAAATTTTCCCGAAAAAATCTTAATCGCTCGCGCTTGTTAATCGGACGCGCGTAACATTTAATCGACGCGCAGATACGTAAAAATAACTAAAAATCAAGCGGTACAAAAATTGCACGGTGCATGTCGAACGAAGAATCCGCGATATGGAACCGGAAAAAGCACATAAGCTGTATTTTCGTGGAAATGCAGGATTTACATACAATTTCCAAAAATTTTTTTGAAACCCATTGCAGTTACGTGATAGAGCTGTTATAAAATGTATCGAAACGAAATCATCGAACAGATGGGTATTCGTTACTCGTGCAGCACGTACCCCGACATGTACGCGAAAATTGCGGAGAATGTCGTGGACATCCTGTTTGGTGAGTCCATCAGGCAGGAGGTAGTAGTCAAAGGACAGCATCGAATCCCACAGGTGTTCCTGTCGGAGGCGAGGGGGAATGAGGGCCCGGTTGCGGCGGACAGACAGGAGCTTATCCAACTGGTCCAGCGCCATCTCCAGCCGGTTGTCCGGGTCCATTGTCTCGAACTGCTTGCCAACGGGGTTGTCTGGGACTTTCTTGGCCGCCATTGTTATGCGCGAAATTCTGCGATATAAAGCACCTCAGTAACTACTCTAACCTTACTCTGTACTGCTGCAGAACACTGAGACTCTTCAAAGAATATTGTTTTACATGAATGAATAAAGATCGTTAAATCAGCTTAGTTCGATGTATACAGTCTACAGAGTAAGTAAAAACTTGTACCAACTGAAATGAGAAACAGCTGGAAAACAATGAAGTTTTGTTTATCTACGGTAAGCGGAGCTTCGGACACAGCCAGATACCAGTTCGCGTGATCGCTAAACATAGTCACACAATCACACTCATAAAATTAATAGTTTGCGGCAGCAGGTTACGTACCTTCGCCGCTTTCGCTCGCCTTCCCCCGGTTCGGGTGCTGGTTCCTCCGGTTCCAGCGGCACCATGCCCGCAAATTCGCCTTCTGGATGAATGGCCAGGCCAATGTAGTGGTAACGGGATTTGCCGCTAAAAAGTTGCGCTTGTATTAAATCATTATTAATGCCAATTTATTTTTGCGAACTCTTTATTCTTGGTGCTTCCTAATGCCTTAACCAAGAGAGAAAGATTACATATTGTACCATCATTGCTAAAGGGAAATGGCGCGGTACACGGTCACATGAGTATACTGTATACTAAGTTTACTAACCAAGTAATCATTTGTACCAGGACTTTGTACAGAACCATAACAATCTCAAGGAAGATATGTTTATTTAGGCTCTTACCGGCGACCGAGCCGTCTTGTTTCCAGACCACGAAACAGCGCCCGCACGGTCTTACCCATGCAGGCTTGATTCATCAGCAGTTTACCATGGGCATTGCAGAATGCTTCGTATTTACTGTACAGAAATCCCCGTGGCATCACCGCGTTGCGCTCCAACTTGAAATTGGCCAGCAACCAGTAAATCTGAAATAGTTAGGTATGTATGTAATTTTTAATTTTATTAGCGGTTCCAACAAATTTTTATAAGGCAGAAAATTTAATCTGTTTAATAATTATTGGGATTTTTAGTATTAACTTTGGTACTACCGCGAAATTTGTTTTACATCATTTTACGCGAGGGGCGTGTCTTGTGTCTGGGTACGTTTCTGCAAAGTTATAAAGCTCACGTTATAAACTTATGGTTAGTGCAACAATTTCTAAAATCTGTTTTGGTTTTCCCAAATCCGATGCTTTCTAACGAGCACTTCAAAATTAAAAAAAAAACGGTACATACTGAAACATCGTTATACCGTACCGTATCGCGGTCTACATGTCCACCTAAAATGGCCACCAGTTCCCGGTCGGGCACGATGGCATAATGCGGATGGTCAGCGTCTTTTTGAGTATGGAACAGTTCATGGGATTCGCTGCCGTCCGCGGACAACAAGGGAATATTGGCCAGTTGCTCCGCCAACCAATCTTCTGTAGAAACAAGAACAACATTATGGGTAATTAGGGTAATCGCCATAGCATTGTTTTTTTACAAGCATCTCTTTCTTTTAATTAGACAGAAACACTTTCTTGTTGCTTTTTAGCCTCTAGGCATCCGTTCATTAGCTCCTTGGTCATATTGACCATTGCCCATAAAAGGAATTTTCCGAACGCTCTGACCTTTCATTAACTTTCTGTTCCTGATCAGAACTGCTTCAAGTCTGCTTAGCTCAAGGAGCACCCACAACTTTCCGGTAACCATTAAGTCAAAAAACACCGCCACGCAGGTAAATAGGAATCAAACAAGAAAGTCATTGCTTCACTATGTACGCGTATGGCGCAATATTGCTCGAAATTATCAATCCAAAACCTGACTGTGAGGAATGGACCACAAGAAGCGCGACCATGGGTAAATGACTAAGTGTAACCTTTCTCGAAAAAAAATTTTACGCACCGCCATAATCATTAGCGTAGCTGCTGGTAGCGCCTTGTTCCGGTAATAAGGCCGATGTTGTGGGATGCAGCGTTTCGCTTTCGGGAAATTCGCTCAAATTTGAAGTCGATCCATCCGCTGTAAAAGGCATACTGTATTTAATTTTTTTGTTTTATTTAGATGCGGGTTTACACGAATGCCGTTTCTGGTTTAAATGACCGATTTCAGGTTTTACGATATTGTATACATTTACAAATTTTGCAAAGAATTTTCGAGGTACTCGCTGAGAAAGGTAGTAGGTCAATCTTTGCCGCCCGCACTGCGGTAAAACAGCATGCGAGTACGTCTAAATTCTAATGCACCGCAGTGTACGGTAAAATAGTACGAGTCACCGAGTTTTTTGGGCCGAGTTGCGGACCATCGGCACATACCACAAAAAATGCAGCAGCTTAAATGCAGCGGCAGCAGAATGTGGCAGTGTCAGAATTATTGAATGACTGAAAATTTATCTTTCGGGAAAGAATTACTGAAAATTTATGTAAAAATTAAATGAATTTGAAAATGTAATAGAAAAGCCCCACTTTAATTTCAAAGCTGTTCGAAAGCGTCCTTACAATATCTGTTGCAAAACCAACTCAAATGAAAATCAGGAACACTTTATATCAGCAACATATTATAATAAAATAATGTAATAAATAAAATATTAAATTATGGAAATATAATAAATATTTTCATAACAGCATAAAAATTTCAAAAAACTTCAGGGCATCTGAAAAAAACTTTATAATAGCAACAATATTATAACAAAATAATAATTTTCATAATCACATAAAAAATGATTAAACAATTTTAATGATACAACAGCTGTTTTTGGTTTTATGCTGCATTAAGTACAATCGAGTGCGATTAATGTGCTAACTACCTCGTACTAACCATGTGTCGCCCACCAGCTCCATTGCTGGACATTCAAAGTTGGTTGGGTTTCGTTGGAAAACGCCTTATTACCGTCCATTCCCACACCGACTACTTGCGCAGTGTGATTATCAGGTTATGCGCAATTTGCAGCAGAGCGACCTTTCTCACTCCCAGGGTTCACTCCCAACAATCCTCTGGCTTAATAGGCTGAATTACGTTGCATATGCTTTTGCTTGCCGTATGCGCAGCTAAAAGCTACTACGATGTCTTGCGAAACCTCTTGTTGTTTCGCAGATAAACCAAATTACATTTATCGTTGGAGCTAAAGAAAGGTTACACGGGAATCTGAGGCCCAACGTTCGCGGATACTGTAGATTCGAAACACTGAAAGGTGATGCGAGTGTTCAAGTGAGTTCGAATCTCACGCTTCAGCGATTCAGCACTTAGAACGAATACGAGTATCGAATGCAAGTACGACTCTCTAATATTACAACTGTATTAAGTGTACTTAAATGCTCTAATATGAAATTATTGGTTTTTTAAAAAGTCAACACATACGCATTTCATTCGAATTCTTGATATTTGTTGGGTAATAGTCACCATGCATAACACTGACAGCGCACAGATACAATAATTTTTTTTTATTGTTTTATAATAAAAGGAGCAAGTACAGAGTACACAAGAAATTATAACAATCATTATAATTTTACTGGATACAGTGTATGGTACGAGTATAGCAATACTGTACATATTATTTCCTAGTCTTCGATCGGCCTGGGCACCGGTGGATTCCGCGGCGGCGGAAGTGGACGTGACGTGCGATGGAGCGTCAGTATCCACACATGCTATCCGAGAAATTGTGCAGCAAACTTCATTTCAAAATATTATTATTGGCTATTGCCAATAATAAGGTTCAAGTTCGAAAAATGAACCTGGAAGTACAGTAAGACAATACTGTTACACTGTACACTGTAAAATTGAAATTTAAAAAGTTTAAATTATTTAATGATGTGCAGTTAAATCAGTTTGACACTGGAGTCATGAGGCATCGGTATCGACTCAGTTTGCCATCTCGATCTCGATTCCTGCTGTCCTTGAGTCATGACGCCGGCCTCACACTGATTTATACTGGCAAGTGAGTCGTGACTGACGGTTCATTTTTCGAAGCTGAAATAAATGAAACTCAAATAATTTGAGTCAAATTATCAAAATACCTTGTTGACGTACTGTAAATTACTGTTAATAATATTATTTTTAAATTACGTTTGACGTACGAGTACAATTTTTCCAAAGAGCTGTACACTGCTGTACTGTTGCTGGTTTCTGTGCTGTTGATCTTCCCTCTCTGATCGCCACTGCAGCATGTCCGCAGGTACTTGCCGTGCTTCTTACTTTTTAGACACACCGCCATCGCGGCTTCTGACTGATTTTCTCTGCCTATTCCCTCCGCAGTATCCGACACTTTCAGCCGTCTGCGCGGGCCGCATGTAACCTTCCAGATGGAAGCGGACGACGCCGCGGTGCACCGTGCGCGTCGCCGTGCGGAGATGCTGGAGAAGCTGTCGCAGGAGAAGCGGGCCAGTGTGGCCGAGGAGCAGCGCCGCGCCCGCCAGCGCCAGTGGGACGCCGAGGAGGCCGAGCGCAAGGTGCGGCTGGGCGGGAAAGTGCAGGCGCTGCAGGAGGCTCTGCAGAAGCTGCCGCGCCGTCCCAGCTCCGGGGCCGTGTCGCCGTGAAACACCAGGTAGGGTCTGCGTTTCGAATAATTGCCGTCAATTTGCAAAGGCATTAAGTGACATGATTGTGCCGTTGCCTGTTTTCTAGCCAGCTATTTTTTTTAATTAATCAACAAATTAAATTTTTAATTTGATTAATCAAATTATTAATGATTTCATATTATCAAATCACTTGTTTTTAAAACTTATTGCAACTGTAGAAAGTAATGGTAACGAGCACAAATGTGCCGTTGTGCGTTTTCCAGGCAAAGTATTTAATAAATTGAAAATTTTAATTTTAACTTTAATCTATACAGTTAGTATTTATTTAATGTTAATTTTATTTGATTACTGTAATTTTTTCATAATGCTTTTAGATGCATGACTGTTGGAAACCTCGTTATTCTCAAAGCAAAATTCTGAGATATTCGTTATTCTTAATCTCCTTATTTAAGCAAAATGCAGCGTTACGCTCACTGTCCTGATTTTTCTTGATAATTGTTGACCAATAATTAAATTCTTAAAAATTTCAGTTAACTTCGTTGAAAATAACTTTTGAAAATTGATTTTAAAATTAGTTAATTATTAATAATTCAGTTAATAAATAGGTCATTAACGTTATCGAATTTCGTGGTATATCTTAACGGTGGAAATGTATAGTTCCCGCTAACCGGTTTCGTTTATCGCCCGTGTACGAGTGCTCAAAACGCGTGGACGGTATTTAGGTTACCGGCATTTTTAAAATAAATCTTATTGCTGATTTTATTTCCTTATAGGTTTCCCGCGCCATGGATATTCCGTTGTTGAACTTAGCCATACGTGGGGAAATAACAACCCATTTTCCGCATGATAATTAATTGCCTGAGATGCAGTACATTCCTGTAGTGTTTTTGCGGTTCATGTCGTTGAAATTACGTTAACTTCATGATTTTCATCTCACAATTTGCTTGTCTGCTAATGTTTTTTTTATTCTGCTTTTACTTGTCATAATTTTTTACGCCTGTTAAAACACTCCAGAGTTGTTGTAATTTTTTCGTTGCTTAATCAGTGCTTGTTGATGCGTTGCGTAAGTATAAACTTGATTAATTCCGGTTTCTTGACGAGTTTCGGTAATTTGAGCTGGTTGATGGAGGTGTTGGAAGTGTCCAGCATGTAACTGCGCAGTCGGTCGAAAGCGCCCGGCTGCAGTAGGTACGCTTTCAGCCGGTCCAATCCGCCTTTTTTCCGCTGGAATCCATAGCGACCCGCTGTTTCCACCATCGCTTCATCCAGCTACGAACGAAAAAATGAAAAAAATGGAATAAATGCAAATAAAACCAATTAAATAAATCAGGCAATAATAAACAGAATAAATAAATAAAATCCATCAGTCCAATGTCTCGAATAAAATATGTACTCTAGATGAAATGCCATAAAAAACATAGGTATCTAATTTTGATTTTGCGTACTAATTTACGCGTTTGTTCTTTTTCTGGAAAAATTGAAGCAGGGTGACAGTCACAATGTTCTTTTTTAATTTTATATAAATTACGCTGTTTTATTTTTCTTAATACATACTGTAAATTACCTTTTTTGTTAGTTCTTTTTCCAGCTCAGCGATTTTCGATTGCTGAATTTCCGATTCGGTTTCCAGTAACACAACGTAGAACGGTGCCTCGCATTGGTCACTCGCTATAATCAACAAGTCGCAAAAGCAAATTATGCATAAGTAAAAGCAAAAGTATTCTGGTTCCAGTTAATCATGTATTGTACTGGTTTAATTTTTACCATAGGTTAATTCAATTTGTTTTGCTAAATTTGTGAGTCTTCAGTTTGTCGTAAATCATAAGCGTTTACTATTGGCTCAAAAATGTTTTTATTAAACCAAAAATTAATCATTTTTTGCTGATAAGAAATACAAATATTATATTCTAATATTTCATTGCTATATTAATATTCCATTATATCATCAATATATTAGTATTCTATTATTAATATTTTATTATATTGTTATTAAAATTTATTGTTGCAATATTTCTACAGAAAATTTTTACGGCTTACGGATTTTAATGCCGATCGTATCTAGGGCCGGACTTTCGCAGCAGGCGAAATTAACGAGCTCTCCTAATTGCGGCATGTTTGTCAGGGTTTTGCGAATGCTTTCCAGTACCGCTGCTTCTGTGGTTTTCTCGCCTTTAAGGTTGAGCAGTTGTCCTGTGCTACAACAAATCATTTTGTATAGAATTAATGTACAGTTCTGGAAAGGGTCATAGTAGAAAATTCTGTGTACCGGTACAGAAATTCCACAATTGGACATTGTCCGTAAAAGTCCACAACGCGAATAATATCGCCCAATCGGTACCGATACAACCCGGCATGTGTGGTCAGAACCAGTTCGTACTCTTCTCCGGCTTTCACCTAAAAATAATGATTTAGGTTTAAGCTTTTACGAATTTAGCCGATATTACAGTAAATTTGTGATCGTTTGCAACTTTGAGTAAAGCATACGTACTTCTGTATCAAATAAACATCCATCATGTAAAACATACATCAAATATAAATACATTAATATGAATTCTAAAAATTATTTTTCCTATTGAATAGTAAATCAAGAATACGAGTATATCTATGCCTAACGTTTTTAACTGGAATAGGTTAGTAATTTTCCGTAATAAAAAAAGCAGTTGATACCGTATCTTAAGAAGTATTCTGTTTCTAACAAATCGGCGTATTCGCTTCTTACTTGGTCCATAAAAACTGTCTTTGGCTGCTCTTCCTCAACATTCTCGAAAGGAATAAATTCATAGAAGATATTGTAGGGCCATATCAAATACACAGCCGGCAGACGATTCGGCCACAAGTTCAATCCGTAAAATCCTTCGCTTCCAATGAACCATGGATTAAATGGCTTTATATCTGTATAATTTGACCATACAAAAGCAAACACATTTTATCGACGTAATCCGACAGAATAAACTTGTTTTATGTGCAAATACCGTAACACGCAGAATTTTTGTTGTAGAAGGGAGCGTTCAGCGTGCAGTACCGAAGATACGAATGTTATTATTTAAATAGATCAGTGAAATCTACTGCACATGTACAGCGGAAAGCGTTTCCATCATACCAGGTTGAACGGTTTTGTACCTGCCGCATACTGCTGTTGCAGTGTCTCGGTGAAGTGCAGAAACGGCCCAGCACTGATACAGCCCAACAGCTCCAGTTTGGGCCAAATGCGTTTCGCAAGCGTCTTATCGAAACCTGTAAAAAAACCGTTAACGTGATCATCACAACGGTCCTTCAAAGACTGATAACCTTTAGCACACTATAACACAGTCATTAATACCTTTCTTAAACTCGCATTCCAGCTCATCGGCTCGTGCCGGATCTGGCGAGAGTTGTGACTCCAGCTCTCGGCGCTGACTATCCGATAATCCTGGTAAATCCTTTTTCAGGGTTCCTCGACGAATGTCATTCACCAGTTGTTCCCATTGCTGCTCCATGTCGGCGAAGGCAAAGTAGATCAGCGAGACGAAAGTGGTGTCGATGCGTTTAATGTTGCGATTCCGCAGTCCGAACAGCAGATGGATGTAGCGCGTGGTCTGCTCGTTGGCGATCTCGTAGCCCACCGCCGGGGTCGTGTACAGGTTTTCCGCCCCGAAGAACTCTTTCATAGCGGTTCCCGGGCCGACCGTGGCTCCGCTGGGCGTTATGGCTAGACTGCTCAGCGGTGTATAATACAGTCGCATCATCTGATAAAAAGCAGCATGAACATATAAGCGTTTAAATGACGCAGCTATTCAGCGAAGCGAGCGCAGCTGCAACATACGTATTACGCCCTAATGGTGTGTCAACCCTGAACAATATACGAGCAAGAAATCGGAAATCGGCCACATCGGAAATCGGCCACTACTGCCGGATTCAGAACTTTGACAAAATAACTCAATAAACACCGTGCAACAAGAGCACACTGAGTGCACATAAGGAGCCAGCGCCCAGCGAAGCGCTTGCTTACGCACTATGCGTAATAATTAATATCGTCATTTTCGTATTACACTGTATCTGTAGTGACTGTACGTTGCGCACTAGGCCAAAATAGCGGTACACTATTATTAATTTTATTCAACAAGCCCAGCAATTCAAGCGAGCCAAATATAGTTTTCGTTACTTTAAAAAATAAAACTCTAGTTTTACCCGTTCCAGTCCTTTCCATTGCGGGACCTCTTTATCCACATAGTACAGCGCAACCGCCATGTATTGCCCAAACACCTTCCAGAGCTTCGGTAGAAACGGCAGCCGACTGGGTTTTCCGGTCGTCCCGGAGGTCTCAGCAAAATGCATCGGCTTATCGGACGTCAGAACTTTCTGCTCTCCAGCCATCATACGTTCAATATACTTCTCAATCGCCGCGTACTTAATCAACGGCAGACGCCGCACGAGATCATCCCGGGTCCGCACTTTATGGATACTGTTGTTACGATAGTATTCCGTATCGGCGTTGTACTCCAGGATCTCCAGCAGCTCTTTTTCTTGCGTTTTGCGGATATCTTTAACGTCCTTATCCAGATTCCAGGACAGGTACATCCCGTAGAAATACGTCTTGCGATAGCGAAAGTACTTCTTTAAGGTTATCGAAAGTGGAGCAGTGGCATCTTTGGTGGTTACGAAATCCAGAGCGAAAAACACGAAGGTGGAAACTAAGGCACCTGCACAAAAATTGAGAACTGGGAAACGATTCTTCGGAGACACAGCCAAGTACAGTTGTAAGCTGTTAATAAAAACGCGCTTACCAAAAATTAAGGAACATGTTGAGCAAGATCCCTGCAGCGCCAAACAGATTCCAATTGCTCCCGCAACCATAAGTTTCAGCGAAGGAATTTCCATTTTATTTTTCAACGAAGCAAACTTTGAAATACTACTACTCTACGTATTTAAGGTCTAAAGCGCAATGTACAATACCTTGTTAACCGGTATTTGATAGCCCTGCATAACACGGCATTTAGCAATGTACACAAGGCGCAGAATGCGCACATGCTAATGTAAACACGGTCAATCTTATCGCTTATTGCACATTGTGCTGATTCATGATAATGCGGTAAAGTGCTTTACCCTCGAAACCCATTAGCGGCTATCCGAAATTACGCGGTGGTGCATTCTATCGCTGTATTGCATACGATACACCGGATACCGGTAATTCAATGGACTAATTGCACAGCACTGGCTAATCATGGAACTATACTGATGGTGAGTACATTCACACGACAAGAGTTGAAGAGTTATTAGAGTTGAATCTGGACAAGTGTGAAGTCTACGGTGTGGGACGTTTTTCTGCGGATCGCCAGCACGCTGTCCAGTCAGTACTTAATGTTTGGCCCAAAATGCGTGTCACCGGGGAAGATGACTTTGTTTTGTTGGGATCACCACTAACATCAGCAGCGTGCGTGACATTTCTGCAGAGCAAAACTGCGCAGCTGAAAGAGTTTCTCGGCCGCCTTAAAGAGATACCCGCACATTTCAGCCTTTATCTCCTCAAACACTGTCTGCTAATCCCAAAGTTACTCTATGGTTTCCGTACATCTAGGTGCTACGAGCACATGGCGCTCACTGACGTCACGGATGAATGTGTACGTGTCGGGATGCAGTCTATTCTGAATATCCGTGCTACAGATCTCCAGTGGAGCCAGATGACCTTGCCTGTGAGGGACGGTGGACTTGGACTGCGAACCACCAAAGCGCTAGTTTTTCCCGCCTTTCTGGCGTCGGCGTTTTCGGTGGTTTCGCTGGTTTCCGAAATCTACCAGCCTGCGACGGTGGCGTTACTGGATTCCGTTGTAGAAGAATTGTCCAAATGGTCAGATTGCAAACCACCATCCGATGAAAGCAGGAAATTTCAGTGGGCCTGGGATCGACCTTCGATAGACTGTGTCGTGTCATCCCTGAAAGCGGCTGCTGTAAATGAAACGGACAAGGCAGTGCTGCTGGCTGCTCTCCAACGTGACTCCGGCGCCTGGTTAAATGCCCTTCCAGCACCTGCTCTACATACATTCTTGCGAGATGAAGAAGTCAGAGTTGGTGTTGCTCTTCGATTTGGGCTGCCCGTTGTGGAGGAACACGACTGCGTAAACTGTGGAAGCCGAGTGGAAACAAACGGCCACCACGGTTTGTCTTGTCCTAGCAGCAAAGGCAGATGGTCGCGACATGTTGAGCTGAACAATGAGACGAAACGCGGCTTGGAGCTCGCCGGCTATCCTGCCAAAGCGAACCGGCTGGATTGTCTGACAAGGACGGCAAGCGGCCGGATGGGATGACTTTGATTCCTGTGCGCGAAGGAAAGGCCGTGGTATGGGATGCAACTTGTTGGGATACTGTGGCCGTGTCGCATGTGCATGCTAGCTCCCTGAAAGCCGGGAGTGTCGCACAACTGGCGGAAAATTTCAAGCGGCGGAAGTACGCATTCGTCGAGGGCTTGGGCTATTTTTCTACGCTCTGGCGGTCGAGACGTTCGGAACTTTGGAACATCGTTTGCGGAACTGATTCGTTTTGTTGGCCGGAAGATCCGCGACGCTACAGGAGAGCCTAGATCCACGGCCTTTTTAAGACAGCGATTAAGTTTGGCTGTAGTAAGAGGAAACGCAGCAGCTGTTTTGGGTACCTTGAGTGCACATCATAAGATTTTGAATGACAATAATGATTATGGGTGTTTTTTCAATGTTTAAAATTTAATCATTTTAATTAGTGTAAACCTGCTGAAGCATACCGATATGTGGATTGGCTGTTGCCCATTAAATGTTCACACGACAACGGTAACACACTGTACGGATTCCATGAATCTACCTATACTGTATACTATACCTGGAGGCTGCTCGAAGAAATTTAGTTGGCGGGACATCGCGCCGGCGGGACATTTCGTTTCAAGGCCGTTTCCACGCCGAGACAAAGTAAGGCGAGTGTTTCATAGGCGAGACACGCCGCCTATGAAACAAAGTTTACCAAGACGACATCTTTCTATTATCATTGTGAAAACTTAAGTATGAATTCTGAGCTTCGAAATTCGAAGCATAAAAAAAATGGAAGTCGTGAGACCACCAATTATATCTACATGTAGCGCGACACATGGAAGATGGTGCCAAGTTGCCTACAGACAGTTAATACAGTACGTAGTACATACCAGGTACGGTATAATTATGAAAACGCAAACCTGTACCCGTTCCGATAACTCTTGCTTTGTTTTGCGTTTTGCTTTGTGTTTACTCGTATTCGGAACGTCCAGTAAGTTATAAGGGTCATTCTTCGACTTTGTCTCACAAACTCTTGAAATAATTTAAAATCGTCTGAGAAAAGGATTTGTGTGGGGCCCCAGATATAAAAATAAGTGAAACTTATCGTTTGCATGTATATGCGAAAACTGCATTTATAAGTTGTAGTGATCAAAATACGTACTGCGACAATTCAAAGTACTACAGCCCTATAACTTAAAACATTTCTTTAACATTATGCTGCACCACGTACCGCCAGGCGCCAGTTAGTAATATTATATGTTCTTATGTAATTAAGGAAATCTGCATCGAAGTAACCTTTTCGACTCCAATAGTGATATAAAGCAAGAAAAAAGTGAAGAAGTGTATGCTCATTATTTATAGGTAAATAAATGAATGCACATCCTCCCATATACATATTTAGCTTCTGTTGTATTGTTCCTACATTCCTACTCGTAGTACCTACTGTATATGTTCATCTGTGGTGCAAAGAGCTGCCCTACAATTTGTCAGTCAATTTTGTATTCGACAGTAAAAGTCCGTAGATCAATTTTTCCAAGTAGCCAACGCAGCTGCACTTTTGTTCAGTAAGTATCTGTACGTAGGGGCAGGCGATACAATACTCTGTACATCTATGTCACACAGGATACATCACCAGCAGTTACAAAATCCAATAAAACACCTTTGCTAATTTGTCTTACAACGGCACGTTATTTAAATTTAAATTCATCTGCAAGACTGGAACTGTTTCTGCCGACGAAAAAGGCAAGCTGCTGGATACAGTTAGGTCAACGCAAACAAATCAAAAAATAATTCTACTGCAGCAAATCTGTGATTAATTTCAAAAAGTGATGATGAGAGTGCTCCAGTGTTTCCTTATAAAATGCGAAGGGAAAGATGCGTGGGCAGGGAAAGATTTACAATTGTAATGCATAAATAATGACATTATTTATGCATTACAATTGTGATTCTGTCCAACAGCACGGCAACCATGGATTTATAACACTGTTACAAATCCATGGTTGCCGTGCTGTTGAACAGAATCGCTATCCGGTTTCCGGACAATCCCGGACAAGCGCCTCCTGCGAATCCCTCTCTCCTATCCCAAAAAAACAGGGCTGCCAGCGCGACTAGACCGAGAACCTGCAATTGCACTTTCTCAGATTAATGAGAATACACATTGATTCATTGCAAATTGCTCTTGAAGTGTGACATAGCATTGTGGCAGCAGTGCTATTTCCGGTCAATAAGTTGTATACCGACGGACGGATGGGTACAACCGGCTTTACAAATGTTAAGTTCCGAGAAAATCAGTGCTTTCGCTTTCTGAACGAGCTTGTTAAGGTTTTCTAGATGTAATCTAAACTATGCTATAATGCGGGCCGGAAACATCTTAACAGCCAATTTTTGAAAAATTATCAAACAGTGAAATTAAGATTTTTTGACACATTACAGCGTAATATGAGTACGCTATATACGAGTAGATCATTGCATTAGTGTAGTGGTATTAATTTGCTTGTCGTTCGGTAGTGCGTCGGCAGATTGAACTGATCTTACAGAAAACATCGTGACGCGTTCCACGGTGATCATACGGAAAGCATAAAAATGGGTGTGACAGTGTGACTTGGCTGCGGTTACCACTCTTTGCATTACCGAAGCAACGGTAATTACCGAAGCAACGGTAATCCGACTGATGTCTCCATGCCATCATGGATGCCGCCTAACGTGAGAGTTGCAGTTGGGAATATTTGTATGCGTTGTGGAAATGTTTTATACAGTAATGTACAGACTGTAACTCGAATCACAGCGAACTACAGATACCTACAGGCTACAGGTACCCTTTCACCCCCGTTTGCTATAGGCACCCCTATTCTGTTAGATATTTCTCACCCCCGTTTTTTCCGCGCACTATAGGCATCTATATTTAATTTTATTTCCCCCAAAGGACTGAACGGATTTAGTTTTTTGGTTCTAAAAATTTTTTTGAGTATAACATGACTAAGAATCAGGCATTCACATAAAAATGTCTACCTGACGTATCTCCCAAGCTTTCAGATGTCCGACTACAAACATTTGGAACGTATCTCTTTCATACTGCTGGGGTGCCTACAGCATTCGCATTCGACGAGGAGCAGGAATTATTACGTATACGAAAACGAGTGCCTGTAGTCTAAGTGGGTGTGAAAAGGGGTGCCTACAGTTAACGGGGGTAAAAGGGGACGCCTACAACCATTTCCTTTATTATTTACCGTAATTGTTTTACCTAATAATTTTATCGACAGTACCCTTTTATTTACTTGTCATCATATTTAAAACTTATTTATTTATACCAGTATATCAAATTCAAAAAATAATTTATCAGTTTCTTATATTATCCGAAGATAAGTTTTTAAATAAATTAATTAATCTTTTAACTTTGCCATTACAAGGTCGCACACAAAAAACCGAATTATGGTAAGCAAAAGGAATTCCCCAGTCTTTACCCACCTAATATTTCCAGCTGCCTTTCGTATTGGCTAGCCTGTGGTAATAATTCCACGGCCGACAAGCGTGAAACACGCAGGGACAGAGTGTTCAGCCCGTCGAGGATTCCTTGGGCGGCCCGCTTGAAGCTGCAGACGATGGTCGTTATGGCGGTAAAGCTGACAGTGACGATAGCGCAGTTTATGGTCAACATCACCGCATACCACACTTCCACTACCACCGTGGGTACCGTGACGTAAGCGTACCGCACCGTGGTGTTACTGAACATACTGACCACCACCGGCCGGATGGCCAGCGGCAGCAGGACGGCCAACAGGACGCCGGTCGGACCAAGTGCCAGCAAAAGCGTTAGCCCGCCGTGAGCGCGGGAAACGGTGGACGGGAAGTCGCTATTACCGAGATCCCGGCGTAAGATCCGATACAGTGAGCGTTGCTTCCCATAAACGTACAGCGACACCAGCAGATGAGCAAAGGCGATTGTCGTGGTCATCTCAGAGAAGGTCGTGGTAACGACAAGCAATACGGGGTTATACCTATACCGCGTACAGGCATGCGAATAGTCCGCGGTACCGTTGACGAAAAAATCCACCCAATCGATACCGAGAATAAAGGCATGCGCACTGACCAATGCCCCACTGAGAACTATGCGACGGGCGGAAGCGAAAAAGGTCATGACGGCTGCGCGGCCGACTGCGTACAGTAAGAAATAAAACAATTAGAAATTATATGTGAGAAGCGGCGCGGGACAGTCGGTATCTGAATCTGGCAGCGCTCGTCGTGCGGCAGTTTTCGCAATGCACCGACGTTTTGCGCGTGGCTTCAAATAAATCGTCTGACTGAAGACATTTAGATACAAGTGTAGATACAAGTGTAGTGTACGCTTGCACACTGATATGCGAGTACAGTATGGTAGCAAAGAGCTGGCCGGACGAAAATCAGACAATCAGATTGCGTTAATGACTCAAACTGCTTACTAATAAAACAGACCGGATTATCTTTCTGAAAATTGCCTCGAGCCACTACCCTGGAAGTGACCCGTTAGTGGTTATAACAGGCGGTAAGAAGCTTACCTATACTAGTGCAGTTCCTGAAAACGCTATTTCGTTTAAATTTATTTGGTCTGTTATAAACTGTTGGCTCATAAATCGGCATAGCGCTGCCATTTTTATAAGTACCTAGAATTGTGGAATCATCAGAAAGAGTGACAGAAAAGTGAGTACGCCTGTGGCCCTGTAACGCACATGCAAAATTACAGAACATGGAGCCGAATCATTACTTTTTACTGCTAGTCAGCCTTGTGGTTACAGCACATTTTTACCCGAATCAATGCGAGCACAGAAAATGTAAACGTGAGTCAGCATTAACCAGCCGGCAGCCAGTTCTAATCGTAGGTAATTATAATTTATTGTGTATTGTATGCCGCGCATTATGTAGAAATGGCAGGCTTTTGAAACTAACATCCGAACATGATTCCGGAAACCCGGTTTGGCAGTCAGTAGGCAGTCAGTAGAAGTTTAACTGGTGACTAATGCAGCTTTTGCTAGAAAGCAAATGCATCAAGCATAAGTAAAATAAATAGCTGGTAATAGCTTACCGGTTCCATTTTCAGTTGCTACGAATTCGCAAAATCCAGGGATGCTTAATCGGCGATAATCGCCCAAAGACATTATATACGAGAACAGATACTTACTAGCATAATATTACTAAACCTTAAGGTATTCCATCGACTGGCGTGACGTCACGCTATGTGACACGCGGTGTGCAACGCAGTGGGCAACCCCAGCGGCTTCTGTGTTTTTCAAAACTTTCAAATTAGTACAATCCGTTCGTACTATGGCTCAAAAAATGCAGAAAAAAAATCTAAGTTTGTAAACTAAAACTGACAAGTGAAACATTGTCAAGGAAACGAAAACTTTATGATTTTCGTTAGCATAGAGGTCTATGAGGTGGTTTGCCAGTCCAGAGACCTCCATGCTAAACGAAAATCCTTGGTTCTTGATCAAACGAAGCGACCATAACCTGATCAGTCAACCAAAACGAAACAATTAAAATTTAATCAATCAATGAAAACGGTCGAACAATTCAGATTTGATCAAAACAAGTGATCTTTGTTTGCGTAGAGGGCTAAGGCAGACTGCCTCATAGACCTCTATGGTAAACAAGAATTACGTTAATCGTAAATTTTTCGTTTGTATAGCAGCTTTTTGCTTACCAACTTTCACTTTCCAAATTTCAAATTTTTTTCCGCATTTTTGAGCCATAGTACGAAGGGATTGTACTAATTTGAAAGTTTCGAAAAACACAGAACCCGCAGGGGTTGCCACTGCGTCTCACTGTGCGTGTTCTCTACCTTGACGTCATCGTAAAAGGTGCATGCTCGATGGAATGCCAGTTAGTTTAATAATATTATGTTACTAGTTACTGGTGAGCGTTGCTTCCCATAAAGATGCAGCGACACCAGCAGATAGGCAAAGGCGATGGTCGTGGTCATCTCGGAGAATGTCCTGGTAACGACAAATAATACGGGGTTATACTTATACCGCGTACAGGCATGAGGATAATCCGCGGTACCGTTGACGAAAAAATCCACCCAACCGACAGCAAGAATCAGGGCATGCGCACTGACCAGTGCCCTACTGAGGACTATGCGGCAGGTGGAAGCGAAAAAGGTCATGATGGCTGCGCGGCGGACTGTTTACAGTTAGAAATTTAACAATTACACATTATAATTATATGAGAAGCGGCGCGGGACAGTCGGTATCTGACACGGGCAGCGCTCGTCGTGCGGCCGGAATTATATGCACAGGATGGATGCATGATTAAGAAGCTGTACAATCGTCACGCCTATTTCCGCGTCCACCCTGAATGCTGGCGACCCACCTTGTGGGTGCCGTCGAATCTGGCTTATGGCAGCCGCTATAATCTGCTTTCCGGTGCAGATTTTCAATAGTACGTAACTGCTGTACTCGGTGTTTCAAGCGCTACGTGAATTGGATTCAAAATGGTAGCATGCATGGAACGCGCACAATCATGTTCGGCAATGGCATTTGATTTTTTCGTTTTAAGTAGATTAAGTACTACATTTAATTAGCTACTTTGTCATTTTGGAGAAAGTTTTTAAAAAAATATTTTCACCGGTTATAAAAAATTTTTGTTCGTAACACTGTTTATATAATCTGCAACAGCTACAAGAACAACAAAGAAAGCACTGATTGACCAAAAATACGTTTAGATATTGGAACTTTGAAATGTGTATACTCGTACTTGTGCCTAATTGATCGCAAAATTGTGCCGCAAAGAATATGTTTCTTACCATTTTTTGAAACGAACTAAAAAGGTCTTTAACTGACTTAATTTCTGCACATGCCAAGAATGCATTCTTATCAGAAACATTTGCTGGTTTATTATTGCTGTATTGCCACTCGTATTATGCCCGCAGGTTATTGAAGTGCGAAACGCGGTGCAATAAAAATTTAAAATTTAGCGACAATGTGGTATGCGCGTAGATACGCAGTTAACGAAGTTACGTGCGTTAGTTAAGGAGTTACGTATCAGTACGTTATGTAACCGCTCCACAAATCCATAGAAATTTTCAACGATAGCCAGAAACTGGTTGTGGTTTAATAGTCGTTGAATCACCTCTGTTTGGCGGTGATAGGATACTAGGATGCAGTAGTACTACTTTAATGATTTACAGAGTGATTAGCACTGTTGCATTCAAACCGCTAGGCATTTATGACCTGCTCGATTTGCGTTATCCCCGTTGGATTCACCTGCAAACTTTCTCTGTAGAACGTGAGCGAAATAATAACCGTGTTGCGGCGATCTTTAAAAGTTACATATCACAGAACGACCGTCACATCACAACCGCTACCGCGTGATATGAAAATGCATCTCTGGCCTTCCTTTTACCAGATCCCTGGGAAACGAAATCACAATGTCATATAATCAGCACCATCACATACAGAAAAGGTAGTAAAAGCAAGGAAAGTGGACTGTCCCATTCATGTGGCAACTTAGACCATATGCATTTTGACCAGTCTGACCAACTCTGCGCTCTCCTGTGTCTTTTGATACGAAGTAGAGAGGTGACCAGGTGATCAGGACCTATCGGTTCAAAAGGGCGAATTGGGCAGAGATGCAGAGCTAAACAGCGAACGGTTATCACACAAGAATAGGTCTGATTCAGACCGCTTGCCATTTTTATAGCACTTGCGATGATAGGCATCGGTGATATGTGACGGTTTAATAGTCATCGCAACACGGTTAATAGCAACCTGATTACGAAACCAGTTTGTAAAAATCTATTGACGAGTACAGTACTGTGTAACACACATGTAGCGATGCCTTTTATTGCCGCAGCGCTCGCTAATTTCAACCACTATTCATTTTTTTAACACTTCATGGATGCGTGTTTTTAGCGAAAAGATTATTCTGTATCTACAACATTTATAAAGCGGTTTACGTGCCAACATTCACGTCAATAATCGACTTCCAGAAAACTCTGCTGCCTGAAAGTATTCTTATAACCATGAAAATTGTTCTGACCTAATCTTAAACTTCTGGAGTTTTATGAAAATTTTTTAAATCAATTGCAATTACATTGAAATTGTTTTTTAAACACAAGAAATGAAACCTCGATTTGATTCAGAGTCGTTTTCGCGGTTATTATTTACTGTATAAACATCACAAATTACTACTGTGTACTCCTGACGTGCTTGTAATTATGCTACTTTAACCGGCTTCACCGCCATCGTAACTGCTGTGAAATGAATTCAGGTATAATACAAAGGTAGAGGTATACGATATTCCATAACCATATTAATTTGTATACTCATACAGGAATGTGCGCGTTTTTCGATAACGCACTAAACTCTTTAGTAAACAGTCACAGCTGAGAACCACTGCAGTGCGGATAGAGCACAGAAGCCTGTTCTTAAGGAAGTCGGTCGGTTCGGTAACTTTGGTTCAAACAGTTGTCCTTTCAGCTGAAAGGCCAGTCAACATTCAACAACGCAATCAAGGTTGATTACAATCACCAACGCCGAAACTGTTATTGAGCATTCCAAAAATCTGCTCAATACCACCAACTCCGTTGCAACAGAAAAAGAAACTTTTATAAATTGAAGCAGCAGGGCATCGCATGACTTGCAATGTCATTTCCGCTCCCGCGTTTAAAACAGTTACTGTACATTAAATGCCTCCTGTACACAGCGCGATGTCAGTTCCGCAGCCAATTCAATATCAGAGTGCACTCTCGCCAGATAGTAACGATTCAGTCTAAAATGCAAACCGAAATCAAAAATGGCTAATTATCCAAAAACAGTTTCCTATTATCCAAATTTCCACACCTGGTGCTATTCTGTCGTGCTTACTGGCAGAAAACGGCAACGCCCTTCGGTTCCGTTGTCGCCCTGAACTCTGAAGAGGATGAGAAAATAATTTCACCGGTCCAAGTACCAAACCCTTTAGGAAACTGTCGTGTCGGTATGACAGTACGCTCTGGCGTTCAATACCCATACCGGGCCTGCGACGGTACAGAGCTTGATCACGGATAATTGGGCGGTCTCGTAATAATATACGGGTTTACATTTAAGCGTTCTCTGACGACACCGGGCACTGGGTGCGCAGTTCACGTATGCAGTTGTAGATGACGTTAGCATGGCTAAAAAGGGATACCGCATTAGGGATACTTACGTGCACTAAACACATCACATCCTGTGGAGTAACGCGTGCACAACTGCATGTGCAATTTACGTTCATCACGCTCGTAGAATCGGGTTGACTTATCGCAAATTTTAATACTTCAAGACGGTGAATTCAAAACTTAGAAAACTTTTGATAAATTCTCCACCAAATGTGTGTAAGAATTTTTGGGACGAAAATTGAAAGCAAAAGAGGTCTTCCTAATAATTAGGCGAATCAGTTATAACGCTTTTTACTAGTTATAGCAATTATGTATAACAGCTATTTTGCGAGGGTAGGCACACGTCGGGGAAAACTATGGTATAGCTTGGTGAAGGCCCGCGTTTTAA